AGTGATTTTATTCGCACTGAGACTGGAATCCAGTACTCATCGCTTCAAACCCCAAACTATTGCCCATCAGTCCATTGGAGGACATCACTCACCGGGGCGCAGGTACATTCGACTGACGAGTTCCAGAGAGAACGAATTCCACATCATGGACTCTACTTCTAGACGCCAAGTTGACCACAGTATAATTAATATCCGAGCAGCATCGAGGCATCTGCATATGAGCCCATCTTACAACAGAGGTCGAGGAATTCGGCCAAATAAAGCAACGAGAAATTTCAAATACTTTTTTGATCCAGTGCCTGAGACAACAAATTGAATAAGTGACCAAGCTGCATACGTGCTTATCACAACTACTGATTTGAAATATTTCTTCGATGCATCTAATTTTGATCGGGATATTGGTATTATTTGAAACACCATATGTATTATTTTATCATGTCTGGATCGGTAGTATAAGTATATAAATTGAATACTGTAGCAGAATGCAATTCCAAATTAGTTTTTTTTATTTTACACAGCATACAAGCACACAATAATATTTAGTCTAATAAGATTATGAAAGACAAATTTTGCTGAAAACGACTTCCATGATGCAATACTCTTTAACTGTGTTTTGAAGCAAGTAAACACACATAACATAAAACTGAAGTCACTTATTACACAACCTTTTGGGTTCATATATGATACTACTATCAGCTTACCCTTAAAGCAACTACTAAAATAACCAATATGGTTCATTTATTTTATGAAAAAATTACCTGTGTAACAGAAATAAAGGAACCATGTCGGTCTTTTCAGTAGTTGCTGAGGTGGTCTTTTGAGTCACTTTCTTACCACATATATGTGCAATTCAGATGCACCACAATGCATATATCCTTTCTGATTGAGTGGTAACATTCAAATTGTGTTAAAAATCAACCCTACTTAGATGGATTTATTAGAGTATGAAGCTACGATGAAATTCAGTGTACTATCCGGTGCTTCAGGCAGCTAGTGAGTATTCAAATACTTTAGAGTTCCAGCTATCCCAGGAGAAACATTTAGAAGATATCAATAGAAAGCTTACTCCTAAATATGCATAGCAGCTATCCAGTGTTCAGTTCATCTATATCTGGCAAACCAACACTACAGATTGGTGTGATTGGTCGAAACTAATCAAGTCTTTCAGTTGTACACAAAGTAGAGTTTCTATGTTTGCATTTACAAACTGGTGTAAATGCTTTCGCTTTAAAATGGAACCGTTATATAATCCAATAGTTGACTGTGACGTCACTTTGTCATTCGCACCTCAGACTGAGTAATGCACCAAGACCTAGGTAATTGTTACATATGGATCTGGTTCAAACTAGAGAAACAGTTATCTGGCATTTCTATCACTTTAGTGGGCTTGTTGAATCTTCCAGATTGGTATGAGTACTGCTGTAATATTTTGGTTCATTTTACTTCCTTTCATGTCAACCTGATGCTAAAAAGACTTCGACTGCTTTAGTTTGAAAACTGTTAGCACTGCAGACGCTGAATAGATTGCCTTATACACTAAATCCTATTAGTAAGATTGTAACAACGCTATCCAACAACAAAATGAGTACAGGTTCTAGAGTGAACTGTTTATTGCTTTGATTTCTGTCGATTAATGACATTTTGTTAGTCATCCAGAGGAATACGCAAAAATTATTATTATTATCATCATAAACTGGGTAACAATCAGTATAATCTAATGTTAGCATGCTGACCACTGTCAAGACAGCAAAATGAATTTAAATTTCGTCTACTTCGATGAAACAATAAATTAGAAATAAATTAAAAGAAATCTGTTAATAGGTTTATCCAAAAGGCTAGTATATATATATGTTCATCAGAATGAGTGAAACCTAAAGAAAGTCTGGGTGACGGCAGAACTGCAATTGGGTCAATGACATAGAAGCCTCTGGTTTAAAACCTCTCATTTTATCCCGTAGACATTGTTTCATAATATGAAATTAATAGAAGAGAGGTTATTTTGGCGTTATGTACTAACATAAGGCCCGATTTCTACTCTTGTGATAATGCTGCAGTTCCTATCAACTTCCTAGTTCATACAACTGATTGTTGAAGTAGAACCGGAAACTTTTTTAACATATGTCAAGTTCGATCACTTTATTTACACAATTCTCGTACTAATTTCCTTAACTTTGTAATGTTTAAACCATGACTTTTGATTGAATATTTTTTTGTAGACTCAGGACTAATAACTGAAACCAGAGTCAGTGAATGATGGAATGTAAATTACAACTGAAATATCAATTTTCAAGGAGTTATCTACTGACAGAAGATTACTCAGAAAGATTACTAAAATTTCTACCATATTTCCTTGTTTATGAAATAAAGTTATGAACTAACACTTATCGCAAGTTTTCAGTAGTGGTCGCACTATGGAATTCATGAATGAAGAACACGGATTGTAACTGTAATGTTGTGTTTGCGCAAAACCCAATCAGCTGCATGACAAACAAGAAAGTCATGCATTTTTTGGTGATATAAACTTTGAAATGTGTAGCAATTCATGGCCAGTTTTTGTAGTGTTTACAAAGCTCAGTAATAAAATTGGATTTTGTCATAGGAATATAAATGTCACTTCGGATAACTAATACGATCTCTTCTAGGCGCATACGTTTCACTCAGAAGTTCATTGATTGATTTTAATAGCAGTAAGTAACTAATGGATTTGAACTGAATCGCGCTTCATAAACTGTTACTAACTACACTGCAGTGTAAACAGCACAGAATTATGTGGCAAGTATAGGTAACTCTAACAGCGTACCACAGTTTTGCATCTCTTGGCTTGGTGGCGATATTGCAAAACTTCAGGGATAAACTTCGATCAGCACTACAAACTAATTACTAGACAGCTAGACAGGATATTGTCTGTTCTTTAGTGACCAATTAGCATATCACCTTTGACCTCACAGTAGATCAAGTACAGCTTAAATAGCTCAGTGGTAATGTCTTTAAATGACCCTATTAGACGATACGGGTTAAAATCAATGACAGAGCATCAGTTCCCAGATTATTCTAGCTAATAAGTTCTAAATAACACAGATGCTTGGTCTCCAGCTTTCTGTTGGTCGGTTTCATCCTAATGGCATGAACAAATCAAACAAAATTTACGCAGAAAGCATCAGGATTCCAAATAGTGGTAATCTTAAAAGTCTAGCTGGTTGCATTGAGGATCCCAGAGATAAGAATGATGCTTGATCCTTGACTCTCAAACAGTAAATAAAAACAGACTTGAAACAGATGAGTAGAACTTAGATTTAAGGGTTGATCGATGAAGTTTATCCTGCTTCAAAACTCTGTGTTTGGAGAAATATGAACAAATAAGAAGAAACGATAGGAAGTCATGAATCTTATTCCTACGCTTGAAACGTCTTTCAACAGTTAAATATATCAAAAAGAGATGGAGTGTATCGGCAATTCAATTCAACCATAATTGAGACCGCTTCATACCCTTTTCAGTGATTCTGTCACACCTGCGTAAAAATGCGCAATTGTCTGAGCAGCCATATGTGTCAAACCATCCATCCATAACAGTCATGTCTCATAGAGTCGGTTCTCAAAAGGGTAAACTACTGTTCCGAATGCTCACTATTTGTTAGTCAAAAGTACAATGAACGACGTATACTAGTTGAAAGATAAGTCTTATATTTTCTGGATATTAGATAAAGTATCCTTCCAAGTAACATGCGTTTCAGTAATGTTGTCAATGAAAGGTTTGCTTAAAGTTAGGAATTCGAAAAGCGTTCCCGAGGTCGCTAATGTTTTCACGGTAAAAGAGAGTAATTATATGAATTCAGAATAACTTGTTTCCAATAAGCTGAGGCACTTCCAAAATTTAAAGCTATAAATTTGAAGTAAAAACCACCAAGTAATTCTTCGATATATAAGTCAAACACCCAAGTTTCCCATAAAGTTCAAAGTTGCTTATAACCTAAACAAAAGATTGAACGCTCGAACTACCTAAATTTATAAGAGAATAAAAATCACACTACTTACTATTAGTAAGTACAGCAATACAGAACATTAAATTCGAAAAACATGAAAAGCAAAATAATTACATTATTCTTTCTACCTTTGAGTGCTTACAGAAACATAAGGCTCCCTTCAGTAGCACGTCTCCAGTTCACTCTCCTCTCTGCAGTATTTTCAACCTGGCTCCACCACTGCCCACAAGCTGTCACTTCTTCCTCACACCATCTCCTCCATGTCACCCTCAGACCTCCAACTCGTCGTTACCCATTTGACTTCCACTACACGGCATGATCTGGCGCGTGATGTCCCCTATCGGTCTTCTCTTAGTATGTCCAATCCAATCCAATCCATCTCCACTCTCTTCTTCTGCATATTTGTTCGGCAATGGGTTCTCGGTTTGTTCGTTGCCAGCCAAAGTGAGTTCCTTGTTGCCCATCCTATTCTTATTCTTTCTGGTCATCTGATCTTCAGTATCCAGTGAGCGTAGGCGGTGGCAGCTGTTGATCGTTTATGTCCACAGTTTGTTGGAAATGCTTCTCGTAACGCGCCAACTTCACCAACCATCACATAAGAGCACTGACTTGACTGACATTAGTGTTGAAAATCCGTATCTTGTTCACGCTTTATGCTGAGTGAAGTGCAGTAGATCTCCACACTGATTTCAGGTTAATGAAGGCCTGTCTTGCTGTCTTTCCTATCCGGCCTTTGACATCGTCATCTGCACCGCCGCTGTTAATATCATCTAGTCGGTCAGACCTCGATATAGGGAGTTGGGTTAGGGCTAATTATCAAATGTTTATAAATCAACCATCATACCACTATTTCAGAACAACTAGGAACTGCGAGGATTCTCAAACAGTAGCGCAGAAACATGTTGTTCTGTGTAGCGATTTATTTCTGTTTCGCCTTGTTGAAATTTAAAGTTTAGCGATATAACAAAGATCAACCAAAGTTACAACATCTACACATTATATGCTTGATAACATTACGTACGGGGATCAGCCAGCCACTAGATAGAACATATAACAGCACTAGCACTCTTTGCACTACTCAAATCTTATTCTACGGATTTCGTTCAAATAAAACAAGTAAACTAGAAGTGCAAAAGATTGCATGATAATTTCATATTTTGTAATAAAAGGGAAAGTAAACATTTAGGACAATATACATATTCATATACTTTTTGAACAAAAATTCTTTATCCATATATTTCAACAGTGAACAACTGTACACATGTAAGAAAGGAAAAATCAGTAAGAAACAGCCAATATAAATTATGCAATATTTAAGTAGGGAGAGGTGGAAACAGAATTTTAATATGTATAAAAGTAATCAATAAATGTGCTTTTCTAGCGCGCGGACATGCACGCATAACTCGGTTAGTAATGAGAAAGATATTAAATTGGTAGGTATATATAAATCTTCTAATTTATCAGTTGAAAATCGTCGTCGTATTGGTGCCTCCACATCTACTTCTTGTCGAGTTGATTCCATTTAAATGCATACAGTACGAACTGTTAGTCATAATCATACAAAAAATAAAATTAATACTATTCATAAACGTTCTAGTTATAGTTGAATCACTCATAGATCTTTTCATATTTTCTGAAGAAAATTAACCGACATAAATCAATACATATTGCCCATCTATATTATCCGGAGAATTGTATACATTAAGAATAGTAAGAATAACATTTATAACGTTTTCATTTACTCATTTTGTAACTTGTTTCAATTCTCTCCGATCTTCTTCCCTTTTCTTCTCGTCGAAATCCACTCAAGTTACAAAATGAGCAAATGAGAACGTTATAAATGTTATTCTTACTATTCTTAATGTATACAATTCTCCGGATAATATAGATGGGCAATATGTATTGATTTATGTCGGTTAATTTTCTTCAGAAAATATGAAAAGATCTATGAGTGATTCAACTATAACTAGAACGTTTATGAATAGTATTAATTTTATTTTTTGTATGATTATGACTAACAGTTCGTACTGTATGCGTTTGAATGGAATCAACTCGACAAGAAGTAGATGAGGAGGCACCAATACGACGACGATTTTCAACTGATAAATTAGAAGATGAAGAAGATTGTTGGTGATTTCTTATTTCAGGACGATCATAACAAGCTGCTGTACTGATTGCGATTGGTGTCACAGGCACATATCGAGCGATCGGAATTCCAGTTGAATTTGTCATTGTTGTTGATTGATTGAATGATGAGTAAGGTCGCCTGTAAAAATTCAAATGTTAATTTTGTTAGGAGTATACAGAGTGTAATCATTTCATAAAAGGCTGTATATATAAAGTGACAATGGCAGCATGAAGTGATCGCCAGGTGGGAATCATAGTAGCATTAGAAGCCTAAGACGTGATCAGTGTCTATCGATCATGCGATGCCAAATGGTCAATAAGCCTTGTACGCGTGACTGAATTTAATGTTCCATCTTTTCCGAACTTCATTTAAAGCTCTTTTGAATGTATATGCTTATTACCGGTATATCAATACATAGAAAATAACCTCAACATCAATTTGGCATGAAAGTGCTACTGAAACCTTTATGAAAACTACCATTTCAACAGTAATCGTTTTTAAAACAAACAGTGAGATACGATAAAAATTCATCTTTCTAATTAACAGAAGCAAACGAACGAAGAGAATTCAGCAACCTTGTGTACATCAATGCAGTAGGCAATGAGCAAAAAGTATTATGTGAAGCCTAGTGAAACTACCCGGCTGCTCAAACCTCAGCAGTTAAAGCGAGGCTCACAACTATGGCACATCAGTTGTTGGTCATCAGCCTGAACATTTGAACTATTATTATTATTATTTGCCCTTTCAGTTCCTAGTGGAACATAGGGCTTCCTTCAGTAGCACGTCTCCAGTTCACTCTCCTCTCTGCAGTATTTTCAACCTGGCTCCACCACTGCCCACAAGCTGTCACTTCTTCCTCACACCATCTCCTCCATGTCACCCTCAGACCTCCAACTCGTCGTTACCCATTTGACTTCCACTACACGGCATGATCTGGCGCGTGATGTCCCCTATCGGTCTTCTCTTAGTATGTCCAATCCAATCCAATCCATCTCCACTCTCTTCTTCTGCATATTTGTTCGGCAATGGGTTCTCGGTTTGTTCGTTGCCAGCCAAAGTGAGTTCCTTGTTGCCCATCCTATTCTTATTCTTTCTGGTCATCTGATCTTCAGTATCCAGTGAGCGTAGGCGGTGGCAGCTGTTGATCGTTTATGTCCACAGTTTGTTGGAAATGCTTCTCGTAACGCGCCAACTTCATCAACCATCACATAGGAGCACTGACTTGACTGACATTAGTGTTGAAAATCCGTATCTTGTTCACGCTTTATGCTGAGTGAAGTGCAGTAGATCTCCACACTGATTTCAGGTTAATGAAGGCCTGTCTTGCTGTCTTTCCTATCCGGCCTTTGACGTCCTTATCTGCGCCGACACCTGTAGTTACAATGATGTTGCCTAGGTAGATGGAAGAGCTTCCTCCTGTTAATGGTGATCGGTGCTTCTTGTTGCCTGGGTATATTCATCTCCTCTGTCTTCTCTACGTTCACTTGGAGTCCCATCTTCGCTGCCCTGACTCTTCTACCAACTCGTTAGTTTCCGCTTGTAGATCTTCGAGTTTGTACGACAAGACATTATGCAGAAATCATCATCGTCGATGAAATCCAAATCTTCTAGGCTCTTTTCATCGATCCAGCCAGCGTATGCCCATCTTCTCGCAGCTCCCCACTATTTGTTGCATGATCCAGTCCAGTCCAGTTGACCACAACCAGGAAGATCATCAGTGATGGTGGGCAGCAGCCCTGTCTTACTCCTGTCCAAACTTCAAAGGCGTCACTCAGCTTCCCATTATCAATCACTCGGCATGCAGCATCATATAGCGTAGCATATAGCTGTTGAATGAGGTTGATAAAGGTTTGTGGCACTAAAACTGTAGTGTTGGAGCAGCTGTCTTCCAAATCACTTCTCGGTCAACGCTGTCGAACGCCTCTTCAAAATCGATGAAGTTGATTTAGAGAGTTGACTGCCATTCTACGTTCTGTTCTATGATGATGCATAGCGTTGCAATTTGGTTCGCATATTGATTCATACTTCCTGAATCCAGCCCGTTCTCATCGTATTTTGAATCCAGAGCAACTTTTAGTCTCTTCACGATGATGCGGCTTAATATTTTGCTTGCTCAGGGTGGATAGGGGAATGATTCCGCACCACTTTTTGTAAAGACTTAGGTCTCCCTTGCTTGAGAGTATGGCAAGGTAGCTCTTCTTCCAATCTCCAGCTACCTTTCCTCCCTTCCTCTCCACCCTCTATCAGCTCCCATGGGTCCCTCGAGATCCGTTCCCTGCCTTGCTTCATCTTCCTTCCGAAAACAGTTATCTAGGTTTCCTTTCACACCTCTTTCAAAGACTTCCAGTGTTCTTCCATGCAGGTTTCTTCACGGATGTTGCTCAATGTCTCCCATTTTTTCCTGATGACTGGCTGACGTGAAGATGTCTTTTGGAGTTTCATCCTTCACTTTCTGTTCTGGGCGTCCAACTTCAACTGTGGTCTATCACCAACTTCTTTGAAGGCTTTCAACTTGATTTTGAAGGTAGACTCCTTGCAATAGATAGTGAGTAGTGTGAACCTACATCTGCTCTCCTGCTTGATTTTGAGTCCATTAGGTTGTCTTCCCTTTCTTCAGATTGGGATGAAGTCGACCTGATATTTAGTGTGTCCTGGTGCCTGGTGAAATCAAATCCATGTCGCTTTGTGAATATTCTTGTGTTTGTACACACTACCCCCCATCACCAAATCGTTGAATGCACGGAATTCTGCAGACAATTCTCCATTCTCGTTCATTTCACCAACTCCTCGACCCATGGTTAGTTCTCTTCTTGTGATGTCTGCTTTCAGTTTGGCATTCATGTCACCCATAAGTATTTGGATTTCGCCATCTGGGCTCTTGTCCATTACTGTTTGCAGTTTTCTGTAAAATTCCTCCTTCTCTTCATCTGCATTACTTGTATGTGCATAGCGTAGCACTTTGTGATTATGACTTTCCTCCCTTTTGATATGAATGTTGCTGTCATGATCCTGACTCTGGAAGAGATTGGTTCCCAGTACATCAGAGTCTTCGATGCTTTTGGGGACATCATGATAGCCACTCCAAAACTCGGTGTGCTCGTGGTTTTCGGCTAGGTGACAATATCGGTGTAGGCTATTGATTCTCTAGTTAACAGTCCGGCGAGTCTACTTCCATTTCATCTGTTCTCGCAGATACTGAGCACTTCTATGCCATTTATTCTTATTTATTTTGCATTCTAGGCAGCCTTGTTGGCCTCAAACATTGTTCGGACATTCCGTGTCCCTATGCTTACTTTTGCTTTCATAGAGAGAGAGTGAAGATACATCCGCCAATTGGCTTCCCGAAGACTTTCACCAACTGGTGTAATTTCTTCTCTCCGATTCCAGCGAGGAGTAAGTTTATATCTTATATTTCCTCTTTACTTTAATGTTAGTTTAATTATTTGATTGTTTTAGCAGTGTAGGATTGCTAGCCCCACGCCGAACCTTCCCTCCTTATCTCGGCTAGTAAACTAGGCGTGGTAAACTTGTTATATATGCGCTACTATTTATGAGCTGAACTATGCATATTTTAATATGATAATTACCTGGTACAGATATTGAATTTAACAGTGAATGATGTGGCTAACATTCAGGTTCAACTGTACGAGAAGCCATTGTGTTTGTGTGTGTGAAAACGTTTACCATTGTTCTTAAACCTGCTGATCTTACCGAGAATGGGTTACGTTTAGTAGCAGTCTGAGTTTGCTCACTTGACCTGTAGCTCATCGGTTTTAGCTCTTGACTTTCAACCAGTGGGTCATAGGTTTAAACACAATAGGCGTGGCTTATTGTCTGCTGCATGAATGTGCCCAAAGTTCCTGAGTGCATTTGCATTCCATTTTCTTCTGCTCGCTCAGATGGATAACATCAGGATCTCTAATAACGCACATCTTAAAATCTAGTTTTCGTAAACAATAAAGTAGTTGTAGAGTTTAATATATGTTATTTCCAGTTTGAATTTTCCCTATTCCGACACATTTGCACAATGAATGCTAAAACAACCAGTAGATACCTACTATATATGGCTTAACTATTCACTTTCTGTTCTGGGCGTCCAACTTCAACTGTGGTCTATCACCAACTTCTTTGAAGGCTTTCAACTTGATTTTGAAGGTAGACTCCTTGCAATAGATAGTGAGTAGTGTGAACCTACATCTGCTCTCCTGCTTGATTTTGAGTCCATTAGGTTGTCTTCCCTTTCTTCAGATTGGGATGAAGTCGACCTGATATTTAGTGTGTCCTGGTGCCTGGTGAAATCAAATCCATGTCGCTTTGTGAATATTCTTGTGTTTGTACACACTACCCCGCATCACCAAATCGTTGAGTGGGCTGAAGTCTGGAAACCGTAGTTCCAGTAGTAGAAAATAAGGTTGGTAGGTGGTAAAAATTACTGCGATGTGACATCTTTATATATTTCATTACTATGTTCATTTTTATTCACTTACTCGTAATAAGTAAATAGTATACAGATCATGTAAGTCATTGATGTGTACAACTCATTTACCTTTGTGGTGCCAGCGGAGTTTATCTTCTGTGCTATATGATTATAGTTTCCTTTGTAGCTATTCTTCGGTCAAAAACACAGCTCGACTAGTAAAGAACATACTCACAATAACTTATAAAACGTTGTAATTGTCTGAAAGATATTTTGGTGTATGTTTTTACTAGATCCATTACCTAAACAGCCTTTTTTACATGAACAGATTCAATCACGAAAGAAAAGAACTGAAACGTAGGAAACAAGTAAGTATTCCAAAGAAATGTGAGTAAAACACTGAGTCTGATAAGATAATTTTGACTATCTCTTTTTAGAAACCACATGCATATTTTAGTGATAGTCAATGATCGAGAATGAACAATTCGATAGGGAAAATGTTCAAAATAATTTACTGAATTCACCAAATAGTGCAAGGTAAACTAATTATGATGAACGAAAAACATACCACCTATGTGAAACAGCTTTGGAAACTGTTTGGTCTTCACGAAGTGAATTGTAACAACTAGGTGAAGTTTGGACTTGTGATACTCTAGGAATATAGTTGGAATTATTCAGTAATAACGGTTTTCCATTGAAGTTAGAAGAATTTTTTACAACAGATAATGATGTATTATTCGATTCGTCAGTGTGCAATTCTCTTAAAGGTGTTCGTAAAGAGCTATTAGGATTTCGATTAGTTGTAATTGCTCGAGCTGATTGAAAATTGAACGATCTATGTTGGAAGGGTGGAACATAATAGGAGTTCGGAGGCACGGTATTAGCATGTGATTCTGTGTAGCTGAAAGGAGTAGACTGCATGGAAGGAATACTTATGACACCAACACGTCGCCATTTGTTTACCAAATATCTCATCCTGCAAAATCAAAACAAGAAGTTGTTGAAAAAAACAATGTATGGTATTCTAAACATACTTTGTAATTCAATTCAAATTCAAGATAGAATAAAGATAGTTACATCGAGTGATGGACTGATGTAAGATGAGAATGGTGGTCGAAGGCATATATGGAAGAAATCACTTCCTGGGTGAGTGCAGGAAGACAACTTTCTAAATATTCCCACGAAACTAAAAGATTTTGATAACATGAAATGTGAGCTAACTCAGCATTATTAGCAGTCCCATGATCACATTAAATGATATTTGATTTTAATTTAAATGACAAAAATGCTGTCTTACCGATGAACAACTTGAACAACACGACCGATTATACGGAATCGTTGTAGCGGACTTGAATTTAATCGTGAAGGAAAACCATCTTCAGAATCTACTTGTGGAGCAATCCGAGATTCAGGACAACCAAGATTTGCAACGACTACATCTTCAGAATATTGGAAGTTACCCAAAAGGAGAAGCAAATAGCGTTTCTGGAATGACAGTGCACGACGATAACTTTCGACACGAAGACAACGAGCATAGAGTGCGCGATACTGAGCAATTAGGAAAAATAATGAACAAAGAATAGGGAAAAATTTAAACATCCTCGTACATTATTCTTGTTCCGAAAACTCAAAGTTTAAGATTCTATGCACAGAAGCTGGTTTATTCCTTTCTTCACGCATTAATTTATCGGTTGAAATTGTAGATGTCTCGAACGAACTTGTTCACTAATTACCACAAAGATGAAGGATGATGGTGAAGACAACCGAAACGCTATTCCAATCAATATTTTGTTTTCGATGATTTAAATAAATGAAAGTGAGTGAGGATGAGGTCAGACATGGAGTGTAGGGACACGGAATATGAGACAGTCAATAAGCTTATGAAATTCCCTCGACTGACGTACTGTAAGCATATCCAGCCACCATCTACCTGGATGTGTGATGTTAGCTAACGTAGAAATAGGTTAAAGGAAAATGGAGTGCAGTAAGACCAAGCAGTGGCAACCATTGATTAAGTTTCTTACCGTTTGTTTGAGACGTGTAGGGAAAATGTATGCTAACCGGCCATCATCTTATAAATAGTACGAATAAATGGTCTCGGAATCTTAGCGATACGGTTGAAAATCGGGTCGCAGCGAATTCACTATTTACCATCTTAAAAATTCCCAACATTTGATTAAACTTCCCTTATTTCCTTCCCTCTCACAGACTTTTACGTACTCGAATACCATTCGTGAAATGTGACAAATGATGCATTTCTGTGCCAGAATCTGCAATAATTTGCCCATGATTGCAAAATGGAATTTCGAACCAGTTTTAGAAGTATTCGTAACCTACAGACCTTTTAGATGTGATCAAAAAAGTCAGCAAACAGTCAACCTTATTTAAACTGTTTAATTTTCGTATTTGCATCGGTTTATCAGAGTTGATCAAAGTTACGAGTGCAACGTAAAGCTAAAAGCAGATTTTAGAAGCAACATTTTTCAGTTCTATTCTGCATCTATAGATATGAAAAAGTCAGCCACCATAGCAAGACGCAACACTGTTCAAATTCCAAAACAACTTTATATGTGAAATTATTGAAGTTTAGTCAAAAGATAAATGATTCTAAGTCCTGAGATAACTATCTTGAAATCTCGGTAATCATTTTTAAAGGAGACAGTTTGTTATTAAGAATTTTCATATTTACGATATGATGACAGGAAGATAGGATGACACTTATGTTAGTTTTTCGGACAGATTATAGGGAGGTTGCTTCAAGAAAATGATCCTTTTTATAGGTAGTGATTCGTGACATATAACTTCTGATACAAAAACTGCAATAAACAGAGAGTATATCTGAATAAAACAAACAATTATTCACAGCTATTCTATAATGACATCTGTTACTTGAAAATTTTTATTACACTTGGCGGAAGTGAAAACAACAGAGAAAAATCTTTAGGAATCAAATACTGATTTCAACCCCTTACAATTCAGTAAGCTGATTACAAGTGTACTGAGCTAAACTGTCCAATAAACAGGTGGAAACAAACCAGTTTTATGTGATTCACTGATAACTAGTAGTTAAAAATCAGAAGACGGAAGGCAAGTTAAGCTTGTAAACTTCTTAGATTTATACAATTCTTGTAGTGCAGCTTTTTGATAAGAATTAAGAAGTAGCTATGACAGTCAAGCAGCACACTCAAAGTATAGAAATACTGTAAAATATGGCAACTTGAACCTATTCATTTCTACACAAGATTGACGTGTTTACCTGTTTATCGAATCACAGGTATTCATAAGTGGAGGAGTGCAAGACTGGCTGTGAAAATGGAGTAGTGATTCTTTATAGTAGTCCTATACATATGCTGACAGGAGATAATGCTTTCCTCCTTTAGCTGTGAGGTGATAGAAGCACCAAGAGGTTTACTAAAAGATTCTATGACTCGAATGTGAAACCTACGCTTGTCTTCGATATTATATATCCACCGGTTACAAAAGTATGATAGTGAAACATCAACTCTACTAGTAACAACCACTGTTTGTTTACCACTATTTAACATGTATAATCTCTATCTGGTCATTCATGGATACATGCACAAACTAATGACAAAATAAAGACGATAGAGTGGCTGATGAACATTGAGTTTGAGCATAAAGTTTGTAGATGATTCTTCCGTGAAAATGAAAACGACTTTGAAGCTGGGATATACGATTACCTTTAGATAGCTAAGATACCTTCATAAATAGGATGCCTATGGCATACTCAGAAGAAAATAACTTCAATTATCGGAAATGTATACTAGAATGCAAATCACTTACTTGTTCTACAGACACTGTCTGATCTGTTGTAACACCAGAGGACGACATCATGCTAGTAGTCATAACAGGTAAAGTTTGAATAGGACTACTCATTCTGTTTGAATAACTTGCTGTGCTAGTAGATAAATCCGCAATTTTGGAATACTTGTCTGAAGTGGAGCGACACTTAAAAAAAAGTAATTAAAAACCAACGGAAATTAAAAATCACGAAGTTTTTTAATGGTTGAGCAAAAACACTGTAAATCAGTGGTAGCTCCAACTAGTTTTCATGCGTGTAATCACGTAAGCAAATAGACGTACTAAGAATTCTTACAAGAATGCTGACCCACTAATAAAGTTCAAAAATACTAAGCAAATCTAACAGAAAACACATTGGCTTCAACAAGTGTTATTGCTGCCAATTGGAAATAAAACTGGTTTCTAAGAACATGTTCGCCCAATCAGTAGTCTAAAAAGAAATAGTATTAAGCTTCTTCTTAAAAAACACCTAAGAATCAAAATGTGCAAAATTCGGTGGTCAAAACTTTCTTATCCATAGGACTTTTCTATCTGACATTGTCAACTGATAGACTCCAACCAGTACAATTCGACAGCCACATTCACTACCATCCGATATATAACCTGTTTGGAATTGTGGATTATTGTTCTGGTTCATAGACTATCACATGAAGTCCCAAATCATGGACAAATGAATAACCTATGAATCGGTATCAATCATCATCCACTTTGTGAATCCAACTAACGATTTCTGTTTACTGTCTTGAAAAAACATAATTCTTGAGAACAAAATTTAAGAGGTGAATCCTCAAAAAAAAGGAATTATTGTTGTTGGCATAGGCATACTTACCAAGTTATTCGAATGAATTCTCCTTTTGCTTTTACGGTCAGTGGATCCATGTGACACGGTAGCGTAGTTTTGCGAAGTAACATGCGTTGAAGACTTTGACTCTCTACCGCTAGGTGATAGGCTGTTATCATGTTCGGCAATTACACGATTACCAACTAAAGGATTGGTGATTCCAGATCCAATGAAAATATTTTCCTCAATACTGTCATCATCTGACGAATGAGAATTAGCATCATTCTCATCATAATCGTCATCCTGGACGTCACGTTCATCCATAGATACGCGTGACAACAAATCTGTGCATACATTTTTAAGTTTTGCAAATCTGGAACTTGGCAATTCTGACTGGTTTGCACTTACAAGTGACTTTTCCTTAGGAACATACTGTCTCACGATGCAACAATGTGAATTGGGTCCCGTGTTTGAATGATTCAAAGCATCCGGCACGAAAGATGTTAGAGTGGGCATAAGACGAAGCTCTGCTTCAGCAAGATTTAGGCGCAAACCCTGAGCAGTTGACTGAAAACAAAAATAAAGTAATTAAACTACTTATTTCAAATAATGAAATCAGAAGAAATTGTTTAAACTAGAAAATATGACACTGTAAACAACCACACGAGTAAAACGACAATATTTTGCACTGGCTGAATGTTGAAAGAATAACAAAACGTAGGATGCAAATAAGTAAAATAAAACGGTGGTCGGTTACTTTGTCCTTCGTTAGCTACATAGATTTATGAAGATCACTAAAAACAACCATTAATACCAGTGTGCAACATCACCATAGGTGGATACTGATCTGAGGGGATTCATGTGTTGATAGAGTTGTGCGGGTTGTTGACACTTCCCAGCTGTACACACCGTGGAAGGCTAGTTCTTCTTGAGTTATCTGAGAAAAGATTGGTGTGTAACCCCACAGCTTTGCGACATCTACTTGAGATCAGTCATATACGACTTCTTTAGAAGTGTGGGATTAAAATTTGCTTTGTGAAAGTCTGACAATGAAACTGCATTGTCGGCACCGGAATGCCACGGTGTAGAGGGAAGTGTGGTATTTTCGTAGGACTGATCCTGTCTAAGTCCCTATTAAGACAGAGAAAGCAGCTGGTGGTCGTCCGAAGAGAACACCTTACTGCTGTCACACACCATCCAGGAAGCAGTATGACATTGTCCTCGAACCCATCATAATAATGTAACAACTCGCACAACAGCGGTCGCAGCTTTTTGAATAACCACTTCATAAAAAACCTTTCTAGTATGGTAGGACCATGACGGGAGGACCCTCCCCCCCAGCATAGCTCGTTGGGTTATTAGGATATGCAAGCGCAACTATGATGTCAAGGTAACAGCTATCCGTAGAGTGGTCACGCGTGTGGAGTACAATCCTTTAAAAAGCTCTGTTAATTTGATATGAAATAGTGTTTCAGGTACAACATATTATCCAAAATCATATGAAGATAGCTATGATACGACCTTCGAGACCCATATTAAATAGTCTCATCACCTTCTTTTCTCTGATTTCAATGGTTCTGGTACTAATGGTTTACTAACTCCAACATCAATAAGACCAAAGAATATAAAGTAATGAGTATAGTAAAATTGTTTTTACTAGATATTATTCAAATAATAACTTCCAATAAAGACAGATGAATGGAGCAGTGAAAAGTAACTAAAAAGTAAACAGCTGTTAAAAAAACACCCAAATACTTGTAATTCTTTCACTTGATTTTGCAATTTTATTGCATCACGCCGAGTAGATGCCAAATGAACAGTAGCAAGGTTAATAGCCTGATAAAGATTTCGATTTGGATTTGATGAATAGTCAATAGGCACCTTATTTTCATTTGCTGCCGATTTCGATGTTACACCTCCAACACAATTACTGTTATATCCATTTGCATAGGATAATGTAGTGCTATTTTGAAGAAAGAAAGAAAAAGGAGGACAACAAGTGAAAACAATGAAGTTAGGAAACGAAATTGCTGTCATAGAGGAAAAAAGGGAAGAAATGTCATAACTACAATTTTCAGTGGTAGTGACTTTTGGGTAATTTAACCATTAGCCCTGTTTCGTGTATCGAACAAAAAAAACAATATAGAGACTAGACATTATTAGATTTTAACTATCCCATTACGTTATCAAAACTAATTCAGATTTTCAAGCTTTAAGGACTATATGTGACAGACGACTCATCAATTAAATGAAATTCTTAACAAAATCACTGTCCTAGGTGAATCACAAAAGCGCATCCCGTAACTATAGTATCATGACTTTATTCGCTGGAAAGTTTCGGAGGATCAACAAAATCAAGTTGACTTTGCGAGTGGAATCGGTGATGAAAACTGTAAAATCCAGGATGAAGAAGTGCATCAGTTGGAAGATAATGGCAGTGATGAATAATTAACTGATGTGGTTTGCTTAAAAATGTGAAATTTGCGTTTGAAATTACACTGATAGCTAGATGCGTCAATTTTAATAACACTAGAAAAGCCAATTATTAAAACACTGCTTGATTTAATGCTCAAATTAGACAAATCAATTCCCCACTAATTACTGAGCGATTTATGCGATGACAGTAAAGATATCTGTCAGAAACCAACTGAATACCCAATAGTTTCAAGAATTATCATTCACTGACGAGTTCATCAAGGTTGGCTAACAAGAATCGTTTCCTTTGAAAGCATACAGTTTAAGATGTATTATTAACCAAGATAAATTTGCAGAACAGGCTCTATCACTAAACCACTAAGAAGTGTCCTTCTGCTGCTTAACCATTAACTGGAACACTGAACTCACCAATTGCAGGACTCTTTCTCTTTGGAATGCATTTTTTTCAACTGCGATCAAATTTTTAAGTTTCCTAAGTCTATTTTCGTTTCTAATAGTCAAAAGATTATAGTCTAAACTAGGTTTAAGGCGTGAAAGTCATTTACATCTCGTACAGAAAGCAACATATCAAACGATGTCACGATTAAGATCGATCACTGGTCTCCAAACCGATGCAGCTGAGCGCTAGCAACACTTAAGGGACGTGAAGAATATAGTGAGTTAAACTGATAGCTGCTTGTGTATATACTCTTGACGTATTCTGGTGGTCATCAGTTACGATAAAGTTTTCGATTCCTCAAAAGAAAAGGACATTGCTTAAATCAGGATCACAAACCTTAGAAGTTAAGACAGCGATCTGTTATGAAAACAGCAGTCAGCAATGACAATAGATGGGAGCTATCCCAGGTCATACTAGCCAGCAATAGCAACAAACCTGGTGTCAATTTGAAAGTCTGTAACGTCAAGAACAAACTAATCAACAACCTTTGTTCGATACATAGAATAATGCTTGCGTTAGTAGTTTCAACCTCAATATACTATGTATAATGTTCGATTAAGACCGGCCAACATAAAGTGAGGGTTAGAAGAGAATCAGCAAGGTTAAGGAGAATAGCCGAAAAAATTTATTATGAAAACAGAAACCTGACTGACTACATTGAAGAGGAAGAAGCAAAAAAAATCATGAGACAAACATAATAGAATAAGATACGTTAACTTTTATTGTATTAACTGGATTATCAACGACGACGTAATATACCAGTAAGAGTTTTTGGCTTTTCCATTATACAGTAATCTACAATAATGATCTAACTTTCCAATAGGAAATTTGTTACAGGTAACTTCCTTTTTCACGGGTTGATTTTGTTGAAGACCAAACACATTTGTATAGCACAAAACTAATTACCCTTTAAGATTTTGAATTGACTTTATCTATTACAGCTGGTACTTTTAAACATTTTGGTATTCATTTATAGTCTATTTGATGGCTGGCGTTATCCATCAGGCCACTAGATAGTGCTTTGGCGTCTGAAGCGATGGGTACCGGGTTCGAGTCTCAGTAGGAACAACATCACTCCCTAAGAAGCAAGTACACACCCAGCTGAGTCCCAAATAGGACGAAACATGCATCCGGGATTCCTTTGCTAGCCATCAAACAGACTACAACTGAATGACAAAATGTTCAGAAGTATGGACTGTATTTATTTGTGGTGCCATTTGTCAAACGATCGTAAAACTTAAACGTTCAAGTTTGTACAAATCAAATACATAGGGGATACACTGAGAATCCGTAAACAAGTATCGAAACGTATAGTGGTTGACTCAGTGAGTGACAGATTAAATGAAAGTTTTCACTATATGGCAAAAATAATAGTGACTAGAAATTTGACGCAAAATGATCTTACTGCAAAGTATTTTTCTTGATTTGATCATGTAACTGATCTACTTCAATTTTCAAATTTTGAGCTCGATTCTTTTCACTTGACAGAGATGTTTTCAGTTCCTATGAATTTTATCAAAACAGTAACAATGTAGGAAAAACTAAGTATAAAATTTATGTGAAGAGATTGATGAGCAAAATGTCGTTGGCAAAATACTACCAAAAGTTTACTGCTCACGATTGGTTACAACTATAAACCAGTCCATTTGCAAACTCATAAATTGAATAATGTTTCAGCAATCTACGCAAAAATACTAGGAAAATAATTGAATTTCAAAGAAAACAAGTATAAAAAGTAAGATTTGAACGGGTGATTGGATGGAGGCTTACGTTCTAATACAGAGCATCACATATAATGATAATAATGCAACTAAGCTGTCAACCACACCTATCTGAACCTATTAAGATACAATTCTAAGTATTAGACAGAATAGTTTCTGAGTGTTTGATTATAGTCCCTCCAAAATATTCCTTTCTCAAGGTTTTTCACGTCTGAATTCTTTAGTATTTAAATACTAGAAATACAAAGTACTTGTAATAATAAAAAAAGAGTTTAAGAGTTTTTATTTATATAACCACAATTGATGACTGAAATTTGTGGAAAAGCCACTGAATTTGTTTTTTTTAGGAATGCTAAACAGTTTATAAATAGCTAGCTAACTATCTACCTTTTTACAAATGCGCTAAATTCTTCGTCATAAAAACCACTCATTTTGGTTAGTTTTTTCTAAATTATTATTATATCTACTGCGAAAGAATGATCGTTGCAATTCAGACGTTTAAAGCTGTGAATGCTGCAATCACTTCCTAACGGGAATAAATACACCCATACGAGATCAAGTGAACCCAAGTAATAAGTTTAAGGGAACATGAAATGTGAATGGTGTTGTCGACGACAATCGAATAATTCTAACTTTATCACACGTACATGAACACATGGAATTCTTGTATCGTTGTCATCAGTTTATTATACACAAAGCAGCAATCAATGCTGAATAAGCGAATTAAAAAAAAGAATTTACTTGTACTAAATTGTTTGACGACAATAATTCATGTTCAATTTGAACCTTAGCCGATTGAAGTAACTCAAGTTCCCTACGAAGTTTTTCTGTTTGTGCACATTCTTCAGATAACTGTGATCTAGATTTAAGATAGATAAAATTCTATGTTGCTGAATATGTATAATATGAAACACTTGAACTTTAATGTAAAATACCAAAACCAAAGGTGTAAAAATAAAGAAAATATTAATTCTGTTTCACATTTACATTCTATTTATGGTCATTTATAGTTTAATATTATGATTGTTATCATATGTGACACTAACGAACATAAATAAATAATGAATAACCTTATTAAGTGACTTATTTAAACATATTTGGTTAAGAGGAATGTCATTTGCAACCTGGACACACATAAAATGTAACCACCCCTCCCCTCTTCAGTCTGTTACAAAAATGGTAAGCAACTAAAATAGAAACAGCTATAAGTGATGCAGAAAAAGGCAACAATAGTGCAATTGAAAAATGTCGAACACTTTCTTTTTTATAGTTAGTTAACACACCTCAAAGTTTCCTGTAAAAAAGAGTTTAGAAAAATATATTGGTTGCAAGTATAAGCTCTTTTCAAGAGTAGCTAATATCAACTGAATAGAATGAACAGTATATTTGATTAGCTACCAGTTGGATAAAAATGATCAGGCTTAGAATAGCAAGAAATATTTTTCTTTGGAAGTAATTCCAATAAGTAACTTTAAATTCTTAACAAATATTAAGTTCTCTTGAAATCGGCTTGGATTAATTGAAATGATCTACTGTACATATATCTTAAACTAAACGTTATACATACTGAAAGATACAACAGTAAGCATAGACAAAGGTATGGTTGGATACCCAAGAACAACAAAAGTTAGGAAGATAGGTATTTTTTCCATTACATGCATGTTTCATCCCGTACAATATTTAGATGCGCAGATAATGGATATAAGAAACGACAGTATTAGAAATATTCTAAACAAGAACAATGATAAACGACTCAAGAAATGAAGGATTCCCACACAAAAGACATTGCCTAACAGATGTAGACCATTTGATTCCTTTCCAATGCTGTAAGCAACTGAAGGGTTTAATTTTGATGTTGTGCCATGTTGGGTATGCGTTCAAGAGAAGTTACAGTTAGGGTAGAAAAAGGTACTCCTCTACTTCATATCAGTTTATGGCAAGAAATCACAAGATCAGTACGGGAATATAATGACGTGAATCGGTTACATCCAGAAGTAAAAGAAGATGAACATTCACAAAATCAGGGTTTACGGTACTGAATGTCATAAAACAAGTGTACCTGTCGATTAAAAACTTTAACATAACTACTTACAAAAGACTATTACAACATACGTGAACGAAATTCTCAAGATTAGTAGGCATGATACTGGCTGGTACTGGTATTAAAATTCATACCAAGAGTGAAATTCACAAACTACGTAGATCTGACAAAGCAAGCGCATCTCCTTGATTTCTAACAAACTCTAACAATTAGCGCAACAAAATATAATGCTAAGAAAGATATATTATATCAACATGGGATCTGGCATTACTGCAGAACGGTTTAAGTCGTCACATCTCATATCAGAACATCAAGCAAGAATGCACGAAAATGAAAGATAAAGAAATAAGAAAGACAGAAGTCAAAAGTAGTAAACATTTCTGAAAAGAGAGCAAATAAGAATGCATCAACAATCTAATTAAGATGAAGATAATGTGTGCATACATCTTAACCACCAACATCCATTTTGAGTCATGTCACCTACAGTCTCCAACCACTGCTTTCTATTGTCACTCGGAAACTAATCAGGAAATCTATATTTCCATATCCGGCACAGACCAACAATCAAAGACTTCATCCAGTGATGCGGTGTATGAGTTTGACCACCTCCAACCTTTTTCTGACCTGCAGCTGCTTCAGCTAACAATATGCAATGAGGCAGAAGGTGATTAGGCATGAGCGAAATATGTCCCAGATACGTAACCTCTTCAAGTGACTAACCATTTTTTCCCAAAACTCTACGTTTGACTCCTACTTTGTTCACATGACGACACCATAATATATGGGCTATGCTTCAAAAGTAACGGTGGTTAAACACCTGAACTTTTCCTTATATCTTTCACCTCTAAAGACTGCGTTTCAAAGCCACAGTGGAACAAACAAAATGCAGTGCAGTAAACTCTACTCCCAATAAACAACAGGATGCCACTGCGACGCCACAAATGGAGTAGGTTGGCGAAAGACAAGCTAGCCTTTCGTATTCAGACAAAGATTTCGTGGGCCACTGACTCATCACCGCTGATCCAAGAACATTTTTGGCGGAAAGGTATTTTGGAAACGTAGAGGATATAAATTTCAGTCAGTGTGACACAATGAAAACCATTATTCAACTAGGAAATTCCCGAATAATCGGATTAAATTCGTATTAAAAATCAAGATTTCAGCTATCTTGTATAAAAACTAACCTTAACTTCTCGATATAAGTTTGATGATGGTCAGCTTCATTTGCCTTTGATTGTAATTCATGCTGTGTATGAACTAGCTCAACTTTCAAGTTACTCAATTGATCTTGAAGTTCATTGGTTCGATTGTATGCATGATCCAGTTCTACTGACCGTGAACTTACAAGTTGAGTTAATCGATTCACTGAAGTAAAACAAACGCATACAGAAAAAATATTACTTGTCCGTTATAAAACGAACGTGAAGTAAGTAATAAGGGAAATGTGGCTAAGTAATTATAAAATAAGTTGCTTTTGCAAATGATAGCATCAATTTGACAATATCACAAATATGGATTCAAAGGCAGGAATGAAAACAAACTTTCAAAATTGATGCAGAAACTGTTCAGCTTCTCCACAAAATTAGGATATAATGCATAAAAGCAGAAAGAAGTTACGCAGAACCTCTCAAATAACTGTCAGTTTGAGCACTACGCTGCAGTTAACTTTGTCCTTTGGCTATGAAACATAGTCATTAAATGTAGAGGAGATGAGAAGACTTCCGCATCTCAAGTACCACTACCTTTGTAGAATAGGCCGGAAGTTGTGAAAACCACTTAAGCAAAGCAGTGATTAGACAAAAGGTTTCGGTAGGCCTTCTTCGATTGAAGTGGCTAAGAAATATATCATGCACTCCTACGGACAACTACTTCAATGTGATATACCGGGGTTAGACTGGAAAATATATAGTGTCCAAACCAATACATGATATGGTGATGTGTGCTACTTATAGGCATACGCATAAGCCCTATATGACGTGGTGACACTCAAAGCATCAATTAGAGTTGACATTCGATCAGAAGAGGTTCTAGAGGAGGAGACGAGAAACGTAGTTCGAGGATACATAAGAAAAGCAAAGAGGCGGGAGAAACTGAGAGACAACTCTTTTAAAATGTAGAATCAGCCGTCACTTTCATGAACTATGTGGAATACCAGGTATTAACTTGTCAATACTCAGTGTAATTCCTGAATAAAAAATCTATCGGTCTTCACTTGTGTTGGGTTCTACAATATCAACCTAGACAGTCGATGACACTGATCTTCGTTGTGTAGGGGAATGATGATCTACAGATTAGGGTTGAAGTAACACCTAAAATCGATGGACAGAAAATTTCGATATGGTTTAGAATGGATTGCAGTAGTGCAGATATATTCACATTTGTGATATCACGTATCGTTATTTAAATTCATTCCACAGTTTTCTACGACTGCATAGCAGTATTTCCACGTTTTCTTACTTCTGCTTTATTGCCTGGTCTCATGTGTGTGACATGCAGTAACTAAATGTCAAGCTCTCTATTGGTGTTACCTGACAGATCATGCCACATAAAACAGCCTAGCTTAGCAATAGAGCAGGAAATGATAGAAATAAAAGAAAATATATTAAGGAAACAAATTAGTCGTGAACTTCATACAACTTCAGAACTAAGTGAAATTACAAATTTGAATTAAGAAAATACAATTTTGATAATTGAATATTTAGGAATGTTCCTAGATAAATTGGTCGTTAGATTAACGCTTATAAACACAATTAAGTTACAATGCTGATAAACCTTGCACTAGTTATAGTGATACTGCTTCATGCTTCAAACTAAACATGCAATTAGGTCAGGAGGACTTGAACGAATTTCAGCATTAAATCCCTTCTAGTAAATTTTTAAGATAATTTGTATGTGATTGTCTAAATATTTTCGTAAGACAGAGAGTGATATACTTTCATAGATAGTTAGTGAATAAATTGGTGAATTAGTGAATAAATTTTCAAAAATAGAATCACATTAAGAAACACTAAGATTTGAGTAAGTCAAGTTAATTCAATTACACTAAAATCCCTTCAGTGAAATAGATTTAGTTGTCAAATTTTCAGATGACAGTAGGAGATCAGCACGAAATTGGTTGAAATTTGTGAAAACATTTATGTGACTCTTAAAAATAAACAATCTATTTCACTTCGCGAGATATGTCAGATGATGTATTCTTAAAAATATGAACATCAAAGTAGAAGCGGTTAGGTTGACCAAACTAAATAAAGTAAAAAAAAGTGAATTTAAGAGCAGTGTGAACAATTTTATATTGGTTCCCTTTAAAAACTTTTCCAAAATGTAGACTACACGGAAACATGTCTATATTAAGTTAAAGAGATCTAAGGAGGTACCTCACTACAGAAAATATTTGCCTTTTAGAGTTATCAAAAATATTACTTACTTTCTTCCACCAAAGTATCAGAACGATGAATATGAGTTTTCAGTTCAGAATTGAATGAAGCTTTTTCCACATGAAGAACTTCTATGAGACATTTACGAAACTACAAAAAATAATGGGCAAATTTAAACAGCAAGTAATAAGCGTGCAAAAACAAATTCAGCTGTTTATGAAGTGAAATACATAGTGGAAAGAAGATTTACCTCATCTTCACGTCTCATAAACGCTGTTATCCTTTCTGTCAAATGTTGTATGATTTTGCATAAAATATTTTCAGTAAAACGATCCATCAGATTCGGGGGTAAGGCACTGTTGTTTTGAATTATATCGCAGGTCTGATTAACTGAAGAAGTGAGAACTGAAAGCCATAATTTTTCATCAGAATCCAAAGCTTTAGACACTGAGAGAAGTAAACGGCTAACAAAAATCCTCATTGTTTCTTCAGTATCATCAAATTCCGACTGCTCCTTATTTATCCATGGATTGGTATGTATAACCTACAGCAGAGAGAGAAAATCGCACCTGTTACAAACACGATACAAGGCAAAATACTATTTTGACTTGTAGAATGTATTTTTACCTTGGTAACTTCACCGATTGCTTCTTTTAAGTCAGTATATGTATCTTGGATTTCATTTATCCAAGGAGAATATGCTTCGGCTTCAACTTTTATAACATCCTCGATACAGACTGGGTTGTTGACAATGACTCCTGCTGTTCTCTCACAAACAGATTGGCGAGCGGTTGCAATCGCAGTTGCTGTTGCAAGGCGAACGCTTTCCTCTCGTAATCGGTTGGTTAGTGTCTGGATTAAAGGTAAGTGGACATGAAAAGTACAAGGATTTTAATAATGTGTGTAAAATAGTGAAACATAAATATCATAGTACTATAAACGTGCCACGAGAAACGCAGGATGCTATGCGAAATGAAGGACTCACAGCGAAATATAAAGTACAGAGTGCAATACGCTAGTTAATTTTGGTTTGAAAATACAAGAAACGAAATTGACTCACGGACAAAACTTTGTTTGAATCATTAGGATACCGTTTTTGATAAATAGCTGGGAAACATCCATTATTCTACGGTCCAGAATGATATAATAGTAGGAAACATAAAACATTTGGTCAGACCATCAACATGGATGTTATACAATGATTTCAATAATTGGTTGATAGCTTCTGCGATCATCAGACACGCGCCACCTAATCTAATTATCACGAGTATGTTTTAATATCAGAGAACTTCAAAAGTGATAGAGATATTTGTGGTCCAAAAAATGAAACCCTCTTACGAAATACATTGTGTAATATTCTTGCTGTATATCAATTGAAAAAGTTAATTATGAACTATTTTCAAAACGATATATAATTGTTCTGCTTTTACAAAACCTAGAGATAAAAAATATGACTTTTCCTCGATCAGACGTAAGTTCCTAAAGATCCAGTGATAACACGAGTATATGCTACACAGTGACTCATGAAAGCGCTTACTGACAACTTGTATATCCAAAACAATCGCTTAATGCTTTACTCATAACGGAGCCCCAGCTCATCTGTTTAGGCATCTGACTATCAATCGGTAGGTCACAGGTTCAAACCCCGCTTCACCTACTAAATTCCGAGCAACTAGATAGTATAATTCGTCATTACACAATAGATGTGGAACATTCTCTACCGCATAAAAGCGCATGTGGTTCTTGAGTGCATTCTAATATATGCCGGTGTTTGCAAAACGAGTGCAACACCGCAGTAGTGAATAAATGACACTTCCTGTTATATCTCCTTGGTAAAAATCGTGATTACTGCAACGTGATTATCACATAATATTGAGCCCAAGTAAGATTAGGTTTCTTGCAAGACCACATCTACTAGCTGCTAATGGAGAATATACTACGACTTCAGGCATATCATTCTTATGTCTGTCGCAGCGCTGTTGTTTATGAAAGGGTATCGAAAGAAGACAGCAATGTGGATGTAATAAAATAAATAATTTTCAGCTTTAGGTGATTTACCTTCGCGAATATTGATTAAAATTTTGAGGTTAGTTACAAAAACGAAACTAAGTACACAACTGAAGATCATAAAACGAAAATTTTGTGAATCAACATTTAAAAAAACTAAAAGAGGGACTAATATACCATCTGAATAATTAAAATTACATTACCAATTCTTACATTTAATTCAGCTGATATATTTCCCGGTATATCATCCTCCGTAGACAAAAATGTAGAATTGGGAGAGTCCTCTTCTTTAGGAGTGGATGTTGCCCATAATTGAAGAGTTCCTGTCTGTACAGGATTCAGTTCTTTTTGATCACAATTGTTGTTTGTATTTACAATCTTGCTTTGATCATAACCAGACATGGATTGTGTGAGTGAGTTAGTAATCTACAAGACAAAATTAGTGATTTATGGAGAGCGAAGATAGTCAAGGCATATGAGAAAACAACTTTTTCCAATCAACAAGCTACTTGAAATTACAGCTTAACAGTCCTGTATGCCATATCTCATAACAGTGTATCAACATACAAGGCACCAAGATGTAAAACATAAAAGTAGGAAATGAAATGTAATCAGAGATGATTTAAAGCCATCAGAAGAGAAGACGGAGCTTGTGGAGTCACCAAACGTGATATGATAGTGAGGATGAAGATATTGTGTGGAAGCATATGTGACACTGCGATCGATGTTACATGGACATCAAATTCTCCATATGACCATACACAGATTAGAACCTTTTCCTTAGGAAAAAGAGTTAATTGTTTCTGCTTGTATTATCCCGTCGTTGAGTGGACCGAATTATTCGGTTTCTATTGGCATATGGGCTGCAGCGTGGATGCTTCAATATTGTCTTTGTTTGAGTTCTAGTGAAAACGACACCGCTCACTGGTAGGCAGGCACTTCCAGCCGATGAGTCCAAAATAGGATGAAATGCCCATTTAGGATTCCACTGCTAGCCATTATCCATCATTAATATAAAAGAGTTAGGTATTAATGTGAATATACTCAATCGTGTAGATCAAACCTCATGAAAACAAAGATCATTTGAGCACCTTTTCGCACTCAAGGTTCAATGTTGATCTGTCTTCATCTGACAAATAAAGTGTGACAACGCTCTTAGCATTGATGAGATACTGGAAGTAGAACGCTTACTTCTTGCTACTTGTAACTTATGAGTTTAATGCAAATGCATCTCAATTTAGATTTTCTTTTGTGTTTGAGTATGTGAACAGTGATCTCAAAAGTTCAATATTTATCATATGAAACAATGGTGGGCTATGATACGTGGCACCAAAAATATCAAGTGAAATTAAAGTTTACTATAGAATGGAAAGCATCACCTCCCAATGAATGTTTCGGGATCGCAACCGACAAAGTTACAAATCACAATTTTAAAATTGACTTACTACAGTCGTTTGAACAGCTTTGCTGTCAAAGAGTGGTTGAAAAGCTGGAAACTCGGTTTGTGAAGATACTGATGAAAAGTGATTGTCTGATTCAATGGATTTCACTTGACAGCGCAGTTCTTTGATTTCAGATTCTAACTCCGTAATTCTTAATTCTAACGATTTCTTTAATATAAACATATAAAAATAAGGGAAAAAATTTCAAAATGAAAGAAATTACGAAAATATAAAGAATAGATAACCTAACTACCAACAAATTAACGACATCGTGCTAGATTTCAGAAAACATTAATATAATGGAACCGATAAACAGAATGGGATCATATCTTGTACGCCACATTTACTGCGAGAGATTAAGAGAATGTCGTAGAACCCAAATTCTTTCACTTAAAGGTTGCTTATATCAAAATATGTCTCCGATATTCACGGAGCACGTTTCTAACTGAAACAACAAATAGTTTCCTTGAACACATGTTAGGGAGGAACATGATATTATTTCAAAGCTGATAAATATCAACAGGCAAATCAGAATCTTGACTGCAAAACGTATGATGTTACGTTGACAAACTTCACACAGAAGAGAACGGAATACAATTTTATAAATCGTACAACTAGCAGATGAGATGAAGTAAATGAATAATGATTTAGTGTTTGGAGTCAGTCGACAAGGAGTTCCGAACCTAGATTTCATGGCTGTCGACAGTAATTATTTACAAACATGTAACGTGTAAAGCGAAATCACTACTCATCCGATGCTCAACCCCATATCATTCAGTCGTGAAGTGAGAGAGTTTACGATAAGCTGGAAAGGTTACAAATGATAATCTGTAGATCCAGATTACGTATAAGAATTTGAAATGATCAGAACAGTTATTGATGACTCCCACTGAACAGATGCATCCTATATTCAAATCACTTCACTTTCGAAAACTTGATACTTTGGTTTTCTTTGCTTTCTTAATTGTTAGATATTTTTGATTTTCTTTCACCACCCTGTTACAGGACAATAAAATGTGTCTGACTGCTTCATTTCTTTACCCACTAGGTTAGACTGATCTTCAAAAATTCGTAGTGAAAAGCTTATGGATTAAAGCAATCTATGAGTAAATCTCAGTGGTGCACACGCATTTATTCTTAAATTTCTAAGCATTAGATGTTCAATAATTTTTTGCGTATTTACTTCTTGTTTTCTCATTAATTTACTTTCTCAGTTTGCTTTAGCCTTTGTTGGTTTGTCATGTCTGTATTTCTAACCCAGTATCAAGTTTGACAACTTCAACTGATGAAGTTACTTAATCAGAAACAAAATCTACACACTAACTAATTACATGTATGCACATGTACAAACAGCAGAAATTGTAGCTTGGGTAAAAATATATTAGTTATCCTAATGTCATTGCATAGATAAAGGTTGAAGTAATATAGTCAAATGTTATAAAACTCACTTTGTCTTCATTGAGAAGGAAAAGGTCTTCATCTCGTTCTGAAATAACATCCTTACGTTCCAGAAGTTGATTACTGAGACATTTACATTTATCCTAAAAAAGAGTTTATGCAAAAATGTAAAAATTGGAAGTGAACGTTTGTAAAATCAGTTGTCTAGGTCTTCTGAGAGCTGAAAAAAATGCTAAGAATGAATTTATGTGATTATCATAAAAATATAGATTAAAATACAACAAAAGTTAAAGCGTAGTTTTTCAAATCAACGACCATAAGATTTCCTTCCAAGTCAGACTTGTTAACTAAAACATGGCGACTGAAGGTAGACGACATGAGAAGGCTTCAGGTATTTGATCACTATTGCCTTCCTAGTACAGGTTGTGTGTCACGGTATCAACACGTGAGTAACGCAGAAGTAAGGTGTAGAGTTTTACGAAGGAGAAGAAATTCAGCTGATGATGCGGTTGTTAACCTCCATCCATTGAGATGGCTGGGACGTGTATTACGCATGCCTAGTCACCATCCGCCTCGTAGTACAATACTGACTGACGTAGGCCCAGGATGGAAAAACATTATATTTGGTCCAACTAAAGCACGCCAGAACTGAATGAGTTCCTTGACTGTTGGTGTGAGCTATATTGGGAGATGCAGACTAAACGGTTGGGGTCCATTTGACAGCGGAAACCAGTGGTTGGAAACTCTAGATGATATGACTCAGAATCCATGTCAGTGGTGCAGATTTATCCATTTTAACTGCTATGCTGAACTTAGTATTTTATCTCTCCCACTTATGCTCTCTTTTATTGCTTTCTACTGCTTTCGACCAACTTTCCTTTCTTCTTTTCTCGTGTTTCACCTTACTGCTTTGCTACTTGTTGTGCTGACATGGGGTGTGGCAACTTGGACCGTTACGCACTGATGCCTGATCCTACGTGGATTTCGCTTGATTGATTGATTGAGACTTGTTAATTGGTAGAATAACTATTTCCACACAAACATGTGTTATATAATAGAAGTGTTATTGTTACTACACTGTCATCGATGTATGAAAACTACCTAAAGAAAAGAATGCGCGACATTATTGGTAAGATGGAATCGAGTTTATTTTAAACAAACTTAAGTGAGTAGTGCAACGTGTGAAGTAGCCAACTTAGGGTGTCGGGATGCTACCACCTTATTGTTAGTCACCTCACTTCCAGTACGGATAACTTTGACAAATAAAGCACGAAGTGTGTAGCTAAGAATAGCACAGGAAATATTTGAATACAGAGAGAAACTCACAGATTTTTAAGTGCAATATACCAACAACAATGAAGCTTGTGCATTGGATCATGAACTGCAATCGAAAGCCACCTAATTATTATTTCAGTCCATAAAACTGAATATCATGCAAAAACCTTTCCATGTGAAACGACTTTCAACATAAAAAAAACCAGTGTCCTGACACACTACTTTTGAACTACTTCATGCTTCTCTATACATAACACGATGACTAAGCATGTTACTATTTATTGATTAAAAAAATTAACAATATAGACTTTGGTCTGAACTAATAAACACACATGACGAGTATTTATGATTGAAATGTCACGGTTAATTCACAAATGAACATCGTTAAGCGTTAATGAAAAACGAAACAAGCTGAGGAATTACCTCTGTTTGAAGCAGCTGCTCAGTAACTCGAGTAAGATCATTTTGACGTTCCACTAACATTTCATGTACAGTGTTATAATCTTTTTCTAATTCCACCTAGAAAAAAGCGAGTAAAGCAAAGGCATAAACTCTATATATATATATATATATATATATATATATATAGACAAAACTAAGTACTAATTAACTCATGATTTCGCAGCAGTTGAAGAAAGACTACTTTCTCAGTACATACGTCAAAGTATATATAGGTCATCAGTTAGATGACTGATAACATTTCTGGTTATAGATAATGTGATTGTTACAGTCGAATATCATAACCAGATTACTGACAGAAACCAGTCACCAGGTGCATCGGTTATGAAGTAAACTTCTGATTTCAGCTGAATGAATGACTCAATACTAGTTTTGCGAAAACTCTAGACACTGATACAACATGAACCAGTACTTATGAATGTTTAGTAAAAACTCAATAGGTCCATATCCAGGTAATACAAATGAAAGTTATATTTATTAAAGAACTGTATATTTGTAAAATCCTAAAGCTATAGAAAGCTGCTTCCTTCGAGAATGGGTTTCAGTATCTCAGAACGATGGTGCTATGTAACAATGATATAGATGATAGACAACCTTGGTTATATCGATTGACGTGACAAAGCGCGTAGTAGTAATGTTTACAATTATATGAACAGCAAGCCAAAAATGTAGTTACATAAAAAAAACCACTGTAACGAAACGTTACTGATGGTATGGAACTACAGTCAGCTGAGTTTCTAGATAGCCCGCACTAAAACCTTATGGACATGTAATAGCAAGTAAACCATTTAAATATGTTTGTGCTTTGCAAGACTATGAAAATTTTCGACAGTTAATTTAAATTAGAAAAAAAACTGATTGAGCGAAGAAACATATTTCTTTTCAATTAGGTCTTCGTCTTTGCCTCTACACCAATAAAGATGAAGGCCTAATTGAAATTGAATATATTTCTTGGCTTAATCGATCTTTTCTCTAAATACCAAAATGGGAATATTCAATGTACTGAAATTCAAATTACACAAACCATATTTACAAAGATAAAATATATTTTGTAATATTACCTCAAGGACAAAACAAAATAACTTATTACCTTATTTCCAATACTAGCCTATTTCAGGCTCTAAGAATAGTGTAAACCAGAGTGTAAAACAAGCACAGTTCATCAAACCAACCAAACAGTAGTCATAATATTTTTTCCAATGAAAATGATATACAGAAGAGGAAATATTACAATGGTGCTAATGATGAACAGGCTTTAGTAGTCAATGGTTATCACACCTTGGAATATATGTTCATTCATCATGAGATACAACTGGAAGTGTTTTATATTGCTTAAACAAATGATAATCCATTTTAGATAATAAAAAATAGAGAAGCAATAGAATGCAGGATATCTTTGAAAAAAATTATTTTCTACTTTCAAACATAAGATAGGTGTTCTAGCCATGTTTATGTTATCGAGTATTTCTAGATCAAAGGGTACGTTTCTTCTATTTATCGAACTTGTGAATTTAGCTTACTAACAGTAGATCAATAAGAATACGGGAAAAAAGGCATACAAAGTCAAAAATGAGACTGTAATTCCATAAAAGTAACGTTATTCATAATTCTAAGTGTATTTCTATCCTGTTATTTCTTTAAAATACACTCCAAAAGGAAGAACATCTCATAAAGCTGTGATGTGACTCCAACTGCTACTAATTTTATCAAGTGAAAAATCATGCTACATGCTTGAGCCTACGCAGCTATATATGATGCTTAACTTCCTATAATATACAGATGGAAGAACCCCTACAACAACTAGCAAATAAAGTCTCACACATTTCCCGGAAATGTATTATATGCATACAAATAATGCATCACATGAAGTATAATGTACAAGAAATTGGTCACGTCACAGGATCAGAGTCATAATGATTTCATTAAAACAAATAACTAAAATCTACACAATAATGTGATCAAACAGGTAAGTGATTGAATAAATAGTTCACAAAAAGAAAATTTAGGGCCAAAGGAATTTAAAAAAGTCATGACAACACACACTGAAATGAAATTTCCTGTTCCAGTAAGAGCATTATAAAAACAATAATGTTTAATATATAAACCGAGGACCAGTTAATCAATGAGGATTACTGAAATGTGTATAGAAAAGTTCCACTGGGCATTCATTGGTCGCTAGGATCATTGATTGACTTACTAAATGGAAGGAGGTAAAACCTCAAACCGTATTGATTCGCAACATTGAGAGGGGACAAACAATGAAAACGAAACATTTTGAAGATGTTAGAAAGTAAACAACACAGAAGGAAAAATTGGAGTTCACCGTAAAATGTATTGACGAAGGATAAATAAATCAGCATCAAAGTCATTGAATTTTATCTGGATCTTTATTAGATCACTTCCGCTAACCTTCGAATCATAACATGAGGAGCGAATGCGTTAAGCAATACTGAGACAAAGTGATAATGACTACATTGGTCAGAGCTTCCACTGTTTTACTTTAACCCCACTGAACCTCAAGCCAGTACAACAAAACATGTACTCTTTCACATAAAAGCTATTGATATTACTCTGTTAGATATAGTTCACTGCATAAATATTTATACATTTTAGATTACGGGAAAATATAATTGAAAGCTGCCACTAAATGACCGATAAAATCAACGCTGAACCTTGCACAAGGGTACATAGACTCAAGTTGCCAGATAAAGTTGTGTGAAAGAATGAACATTTGAAGATAAAGGTAATTAGTTTAAATAGTCCTGGAAGACAACAAAGAGTGAATACATCTGCGCCACTAAGACCGATTTCCGATCATTTCACCAAGAGTCCTCAGCAAGGTGGACCTGCATTCAGCATTTTTAGGTATTAAGAAACACTGAAACGAGTTATATGGGAATATTACACAAATTATTCGACAAAATAAAATGACACTAAATAATTCGTATTGTGTGAAAAAGTAGAAAGAACTTACTTGGTATTTCGTAAGATCACTAATTTCGTTGCGCAATGCCTTAATAAGTACCTCTGAGTCTGTGAGTTGTTCGATTAACTTTGACACTTCAGAGAGTGGTACCTAATATTTTAAATGAAAAAGAGTTAAATACATTTGACTACTCTAATTGACAACAGGAGAAAGATAACGGGTACTTTCGAAGTAAACTACTGGTATGTGTTTAGAAATCGTTGTTAGGATTTTTTACTGTATCGCTCTCCTTCTTTATATATATATATATATATATATATATATATATATATATTTCTGTGTTGAGGTTAGTGGTGGTTTGTTTTTCAGGTAGCAGTCATCGGGAAATGATATCAGTTGGATAACCGTTGGAAACGTGGGAGCACTGGACAGCTTTTTCATTCCAATATGGGACTAATCAGACGTAAACATTCACAACCCTGCTAGCAATCGAACTCATGACCTTAAGCTTTCACGGCGAACGCGTTAACCATATATATAGGGCAAAATCTAATAATGAATGAAGTTTGCCATTTAAATGGTCAAGATTCGGTACGCAGATGTGTACATGGATTCCTGAAGATGTTAATTTATCAGGTATTTGGACTAAGAAAGTTTGAAATGAAAACAGAATCAAGTTAGTACTGAATAATAACCTCATATCGCCAACGCCTAAATGTACATATTACTAGGTTCTTCTACAACATAACCAATAACTACATCTTCACAAGTAACAATCAGTATATCATTTGAAGTCTAATTTGAGGTCGAAGTTCACTCAGAAATCATGTGCACATTTGTGCAGTAGGGCAATGAACCACACACCATATGGAGAGTAATGATACTACCTGGCAGCCCAAACATTTATATGTGGGGTTAGGTTGGAACCCGTGACCTATCCACCAGCTGGAAGTCCGGTACGTAGAACAGCGATGTCTTAAGTAAGAAGAAAATTTAGTTATTGCGCCATTATTCTAAGTAACAACCGGCATTGTATTTCACTAATAGTTTGAAAGGATGGAGTAATAAAAAAGCCAACAACAAGATTCACCAGTGTTTTCATATACGTAGATGGACCGCATACTTAATAGTCAAACAACCACAAAAAAGAAACAATACTCGATACCGATGCTACTACATTATAGCCTTTTGAAAATTAAGATCCCAGTGTTTCTCCGTATCTAGTACTGGTCTATGCGATGCTGAATATTTGTAAGCAGGTGCAACACGGAACTGGTGCGGGGGGTAAATATAATGATCAAAAAAGAACAGTTAAACACCAACTACCTATCTATGCAATCACATTTGTTTTTTATATACAGGAAATGACAAGAATGACACTAAATAACTAAACTTCAGCTATTTACCTATTCGCTTTCTAGAGTTTCCTGTTCTGCATTTTAATCGTGCTACCAAAATATTTAATGTCAATTAAGCCTTTTTAGGACGGCCGTAAAAGCGATATCAGAGGTAATTATCTTGCCAATACTTACCACTAGCATTCATTTGATGCAATAAATCGTTTATAGTTGTGCAGAAGCTAATTTATGTGCCACGCTTTTTCCAAACAAAGGCAAAATAAAGCATCTACTCCATCGAATCTTAGAATAATGAGCCAAAAAACACACAGAATCTTTATAGTTCCATATATATATAAACATGAAGAATTACCATTGCTGATGTATCTTCAGCTTCACCACTGTTAAGATCCAACAGTATGGGCTGAACAAGATCGATGCATTCAAGAGGTTCATCACAGACATTGTGTTCGGGACTGGGAGATGGACTGACTGAGAGGCGATCTGATAAGAGCATTATCTCCGGAATTTCTTTTTCCATGTCATCATCTTTGTCAGATATAGGAGATCCTATCAAAGTTTGCAGATTTTCATCTTCAGGTGAAGAACTTCTTACACTCTTTACTGAAACTAAATCTTGAACAACTGGAGACTTAGTTGTAGGAGGTGTTGTGAACTCTATACTCTCTAAATCTACAAGATCTTGAGACATTTCTACTCCTGTATCTTCAGGATTTGATGAAGAAGAAGGTGAAAATAAAGTTGGCAATGATCGATGGTGCTAGAGAAAATCAAAATAACAAGATGGAAAGGAACTTAATGTAATTCAAGAAAACAGTATTAATGAATACTTTTACGAGCTGTCCCTAAAAAAAGAAATAAAAGGAATAGATACCTTAGGACTCTATATGATAAACATAGGTCACTGAAACAGTAAACACAGTTATAATTGATCTGTTGGCAGTGGAATCCAGGATAAGCGTTTCATCCTGTTTTGGACTCATCGGCTGGACGAACTTGGACCCTTGCGAGTGATAGCCTTTCCAAAGGGATTCAAAAACTGTAAAAAAGAGCTTGAAACCCAAAGGCGTCATCCACTAGGCCACTAGAAACAAAGCCACCTTCTGTGCAACTGGTATTATTATTATCATTATTATTATTGCCATTATCATAAGTATCAACAAGTAATAATACCTAATATCCATTGCGCAAAAGGTAGCTATCATACTACAGCAGCATAGTAGATAATGCTCTGGCGTTCGAAGCAATGAGTACGGGGTTCCAATTCAGATGGAAACATCATCACTCACTAAGGTGCAGGCACATCCAGTTGATGGGTCCCAAATAGAAAGAAACGAACGTCCCGGATTTCACTGCTAGCCATCATTAAGCCAGTAATGACAATTAGTATTCAGGTAGCATCCATACGTTCAAATTGGAGCCCATAAGCCAACAGAGATCGGTCAATTGGACTCAGCATAACAACAGGGAATCACAGGTATCAACAAATATTAGTAAACATAGTATAGTTATGCACGATGCACGCGACCAACATTATCTAAACTGTCTTTTTGAAGGGTTTAAGTTGTTACAGGGTCGATAGCATTTCATAAAGTATATCGTTCATTGTTAGTGTCAAATAATTCACTACAATCTGGCTGTAAAGGCATTCATCAAATGACTGATTAGGTTTTATATTTTTCCATTTTTGTCCTCCCAAACCAACTACGTTACTAGTAAAATTTCCAACAAATAATCTACACAGTATCCAAACTCAATTTTTCGTCAAAAACTTCATTTTAAAATTTTATGTCGAAATACAAGATATAATCTAAATTTATGTGACTGGACATCATAACACCTGTAAATAGGATTTGAAAATGCAATATTCACTCGGAAATATAGCTTTAAAGCTTACCTTTTTCTGAAAAGAAGATGTTTCGTGTGGAGTGAATGAATCCTTAATCTTAACTTCATGAGGACATATTTCATGACTTAATACAGTGGTTTGCGTATCTCTATCTCGCTTAGAATGTACATCCTACAGGAAAATGAAACCATCATAAGAATATGATTGTTAGTGAAATTCAATGTTTAATAGAAGGTTAATATTATGTTTACTTCTTGAAAATTAAAATATGCACTTTAAATGTTTAAAGTAGTTTTTCATAATAGATTGAAATCCCTCGTAGAACTATTGAAAATCTGAAAGCACTGAACAGCTGTTTTATCTTATTTTAGGACTTCTCAGAAGGGTACACCCATAACTCCGTGAAGAATGAAGTGCAAGACCTTCAGTTCGATCAGTCCCAACAAACCATCGACCGAGTTGAACTGTTGTTAGTCATTAAAGAGTTTTGAATCGACAGAAATAAATCTTTGAGAAATTCAAGTTCTTATCCTATTTCGTACAAGAATAATCGCTTATATATTCACTCGTTAATGCAACTCAAGATTCTTGAATTCTGTCAATCACATTTTTATTTCATTTACTAGTTTCAAATTCACAAGTGAAGACGTCTAAAGTTATTGTCGAAATGGAATGCAATCCTCTTAGTTGTATTATGTTCTCTGAGCTGGGTTGTTTACTCGTGAAGCTTTCATCGTCCTTCTAGACGATATCATCAGCACTAACTTCAGTATGAAGTGAACTGTCAATCTCTCCGTTAAAGTTTTAGTAGCTTGCATTGACGAAGCGGTCTATGATTGGTTATTTCCTTTGATTGTTGTGTCATTGACTGTATAGATTTTCCTGTTGGCTGTCCCTCTGCTTGACAGCTCACTTCATAGTGAAGTTAGTGCTGATGATGTCGTCTAGAAGGACGATGAAAGCTTCACGATTAAACAACCCAGCTCAGAGAACACAATAAAACCAAGACCATCCATTTCGGAATGCAATTCTTTTTTGATAAAATCCTTGCATGAAACTTGACTGACAAAAAGAAAGAGGTGATTTCTGACGTTCACTAAGGTCTAGAGACTGGATATTTGCAATTATGACACATCCACTGACAAAATATTAGAATGAAACTCCAACCAACTTCGATTTTAACTCAGTTTGAGGAACAAATACGCAAATTCTTCGAAAATTGAAAATTATTGATTAAAATAGAAAGCAATGGTATTGTGAAAAAACAGCTTACTGTTACCGATTTATTTTGTTCCATTTCATTTTGATGAAGTTGCTTTCTTAACTGATCAACTTCTTCTCGGTATTTATCCAATTGGTCTTGAAGAAACTTCTGCTGATTAGTTTCGGGTGTAGCGTCAGATAAACCTGGTTCATCCACAACAGTCACTACAGATTCTTCCTCTTCTTCGGTAACAACAACATGACTGACTAGAGCAGCAGCTGACGTTGTATTCAAAGTACGAATTCGAGTAGTTTTTGTAGTCCGAGTAGGCTGACCGACATTAAATGTATCGTAGGGATCAGTTGTTGCTGTGTCATCATTTGCACAGCATCCGTTATCAGGAGTCGGTTGTGGTAAACTTAATGCTTCATAGGAATTCTGAAATCAAAATTTTCAAAAAGCATAAAAAAATAGTCAATGATAAACTTTTTAAGATCATAGGGAACGTGAAAACCAATAAGGGACCAATAGGGAAGAAACTGTTTAATAGCTAATCAAATGGCAGTCATTCGACCACAGACTGTAAATAGTGTACGAATATTGAAACAACCAATTTTTCAGAGAAAATTGATGTAGTTTACGAACAAATCCGTTTCATCGACCTCAATCCACATAATCCAGTAACCTTATAAGTAACTATGGCTACCTGGTCTAAAAATCGACTTCCAACCAATCGGTAACGGGTTCGGACCCCACTCCGTCTAATATAAATAACTAAAAATATGTCTTTAGAAAATTATAGAACACCAAAGCAACTAATAACAAATATAAGATATCATACGAAAAAAATTGTTGCTAATGTCTATATTATTTGTAGTTAGTAGACCAATGATGATGTTAGAAGTAGGAACCAACATGATAATGAAAGAACAGTAACATGTAATACTCGAATGAAGTTCAGGCTATAGTAAGTCACTGGAGGATTTTAGATATGGTTTAAAATTCGGTTTCGTAATGCTCCGTTGATGAATTTGCGAAATAGAAAGAAATGGTTCAATCTCAATCAGGACTTGAGCAATCGACCAACTTGAAACATCTTTCAGTGAACAAGATTAAAGATATTTCAGTGTGATTCAGATGGGCCTTAATGTTCAAAAAAACTAATTTTTCATACGTTAATTCATAAATTTATTTGAAAATGTAAATGAACAAACCTTTAATTCAGGGTTCATAGTAAATTCATCAGTGCATTGAACCTCTGCATCAATAAAACGAAAAGTCCCAACAGACTCATCCGATTCAATGAATTCAACCTGCAATAAGACGGAAAACAAAAATTAAAAGTGAGTAGTCATTGAATAGGAATAACTGACAAAAGTAGCAGGGATCTGCTTTCCAAGTTATTATGTAAATAGTGTTCCGCATTCAAGATGAATAGGACGCTTGGGATAAAAGTGATAGCTTTCTTTAAGGGTTTAAAAAGACAATGTTGGTGAAAAACCAATTTTCGCAACAAAAAAAGCATCATAACGATTAGAAGAGTGAGTAAAAAGAAAACAACTAAAGCACCCACCTCAATCTCAATGTTGAACACGAGTCTGGGACATACAATCTTTATGGGGTTCCTCAAGTGATCTTTAATATCTCCTCAATAATGTTGATTACCCAAGTGGTTACAGTTACAAGCAAAGCTATATGTATCACAACCATTCTCTAAAGGTAATAATTCACAAGAGCGTAATCAGGAAAATTGAGGAGAAAAATACTGGGGGCTGGTAAAATCGTAAAAACCCTCAGGCAATCACTTCTGAGTCTTCGTCAGAATGCAACTGTGTACTGAATATTGAAGTTCAAAAAACGATCTTCCACAAAAACAGATCAACGCAGAACTTCGCACAGAAGTCCACTGCCTTAAGTCGTCACACCTCACAGCCGCATGGAAGGAAGTGTACAGAAGAAGTGATATTATAGTACATCCATTTGCATGAGAAGAGGGAATTTACAAATGAAAGTCAACAAAGTGTTTAGGACTTTGAAGATGACAAGAAGTGGATGTACCTGTGCCACTGTGTTCGAATTTCAACCATATTTTGAAGAGCGACCGATCGTATCGAAGACTCCAACCAGGCAATATACACCTCACTAAATGGTTCAGACCAACAGTTAAAGACTTTATGGACTGATAACACGTTTTAGTCTGACAACTCAGCCTTATTCCGTCCCGATACTACTAGAGCTAACGTAGCACACTAAGGTAGGCTATACATGCAAAAGACCTTCCGGGAAAGAGGTTTTTCCACTGAAGCCCAACCACTATCTTTAGAACTTTAAAATCATCAAAAGTGAACCTCAGACAAAACATAATCATCACCGAAAACATATATGAAGATACCTATACTCTGGAGGAACTTAAAACTCATGAAACGGAGATATTCGTTTGAACCGCAAAAAAACCATCCACCGTTGTAAATGGAGTCCAGCTGTTCCTGCCAAAGAGTAACTTGCATCAGAAAAGAATCATATTGATAGTTCAACATTATGTTTTACGCTGCTTAAGAGTCCCCTCGGCTTTCTCAGGTAGTTCTCTCATCTTTCCTGTAAAACGTGGATTCCTAAGCATCTTGGACGAATCGAGGTACAGGTTTGACAGTGAAGCCTGCTTCATGGTGGAATCTGTGGCATTCATTCATCTAATAAAGCTCATATTTCTATACAAAGATTTTGCATTACCTTGATCGTAAATGTTTCATGAATTCTGAGGCACGACGGCAAACAGAAGGTTTACATACGTTCAACGTTACGATCTAGTAGTCGCAGTTTCCTTTAATTTTTTATTGCTCCTATTGCATTAACAACTGAAAATTTGTCATGATGGTCGGAAATAAACTGAATATGGGACTTGACATCACTGCAAAATACTTCAAACCAAATGATGTCATGGTCAAGCCCAGGATGAATCACCGTAACATAGGAAACACAGGAAATGGCTTCCACTTCTCTACTATAGTTAAATTTACCACAACATTTTCTTTCATAATATGATTTCGCTACAGACATGAGGCATTATGTTTAGCGTGCTTTAGCAGAGAACTGATATTAGCATATTTTTCATGTTTCTGTACAGTAGTGATTACCAAAAGATGAGTACCAAATGAGTTGGACAGTTGCAATCTTTCATTGTGATTGACTTACTCAAAAGAAATTTGTTTGGTTTAACTCTCGATCATTTATCATTAATTTGACTGTTTTGCTACGTATTACATCAAATTTCAACTGTCTTGCTGAAATTACAGTGAATTTCGACCTTGATTTCTAATGTGGATCACTTATTCTTTCTTGATTTGGTTACTTTTTAACTCCTTATTTTTAAAGCTGTAAGAAAAAACAGAATATGTTCTCTTGCTGTAGAGCAATCATTGAACACTTTTGATCTATTATCTTTAACGAAGCAAGTTTCGCTATGCTTCTATAAATAGTAAGATAATAATAAGGTCGCCTACAAAAGACACAACAAGAATAGTATGCAAATGCACTAAAAGGTGAGATTTCCCTATAGTACAATAAATAATGAAATTTCCAAATGTCCTAATCAAGTACCAGGCCGAAGACTACAAATAAGCATACACACTACAGACAGACGGACAAATAGACAAAGCCAACGAAATATCTCGGTCAATGGATGGGGTTTATTAATGTCAGGTCGCCTAGTTTCACAGACAGAATCAACGTAGAACCTCGCACACAAGTGCATCAGTTCAACTTACCACACTTCACAGTAGTATACAAAGAATAGGTTGACACAAAAAGAGTGATATCAAAGTAGACAAAGTTATGTGAGAGAACAAATAATCTAAGGATAAAGATTAATGTGAATATTCAAACTTTAAAGGATATTAAAGAGTGAATACATCTGCGCCATTGTGACCGATTTTCAGCCATGTCAACTACTGATTCCTTACGTCTCGAGAACTCCAACCAGGCAGTCTAAGTTGCCTCACACGAGTCAGGCTAACAACAGTCAGAGACTTCATCAACTGGTGCCACATCTTGATCTGGTCACTCTGAATCCTCTTCCAAACTTATCCAACTCCCTCCTTCTGCATATCACGTCGAGGGAGGTGTGGATTCGGATGCGCAGTACATGTCCAAAGCCAACTCGGTCGACTAACGTTCACAACTTCATCAATCGACTTGACTGTCTTGTATAGTACCCTTCAACTGACCTCAACATCGCTCATACGATCACTCCAACAAACGCAAGCAATTCTACAAAGACATCTATGACCAAAACCCTTCAACTGCTTCATGTCTTCTGCTTCTAACGGTTGTCTCACACCTTCACAACAGGACAGAATGAACGGCAGCGCCGTATAGTGTTTGATTTACCATGATATATCTAAATCCCAGTTTGGTTCATCAAACCTTGTAGTAAAATTGAAACGAAATACAAAATAAACGAACAAAGCTCCTTAATCAAAAACAACGGTTAACAAATAAAATGTACCTATAGGTGAATGCATATTACTTACCTGGGTACACGCATCACATGATTTCAAAACATGTTGTATATAGACATTTGAATCATCAATTAATTTTGGCTGCTTTATACCAACTTTGTCTGGATAACTTTGAACACTATAGTTATCAGGCGTATTTCTTTGAGAATCTAAAAAGCTGCTATTATCAATCATTGATGGAATAGCGTAATTGTACCATTTATTTTGGCTATCTACATATTTATATTTGTCTTGTGATGAATTATTTACATTCCCACTAGAGATGTCGTCGTCAGAATCATGAGGCATATTACATCGTGCTTCGCATGATTTTGAATTCATAAATGCTTGGACATTTGTTTTAACAGAATCATTTTGAATTAGACCCTCCAGTTTCAAATCAGATATCCAATTAGGAATGCAATTATTCTGTACTACTTCTTTCATACTGCGTGGTGTAGCACAAGAATCAGTATCACCTGGATCCATTAACTTGTAGGACATTAATTGAGAACTGTAAAGAAAGAAACATCAAATAAGTAAATTGTAGAGCGAGTCATTTACATAAAGACAATAGTACTTCTCTGACTGATCATAATTAACTTTTAAGATGATTGTATGTTATTTGTAAATAGCAAAGTAGTTTCATAGTACAAGAGCGAATACTGATAGAAGTGAACACACACAGAAGCACAGACTGAATTAGTTTAAATAAATAAGCATCACGAAGAGTGAAGGGATTATTTAGAATACCTTTGGATGGCACTTCTTTGGAATGGTTACCTCCCAAGGTTCATTGAAAAAAAAGCAGGCCGAAACAACTACAAGAACAAATACTTAATGTTCATAAGAAGACCATATTCATGAATACTGAATTCAGCAGGGACAACGTAGCGGAAACACTGAAGAATCGTCTCTCCAGAGCATTTAGAAAAAAACATTTTATGCGGCCGAACTGCGAACTGTCTGCTCCAGCCGAAAGCTGATTCAAGGTAGTATCAAACTACCGCTTTTGGCCACATCTGCGTGCGTCTATCTGTGTTACCTGGTCTTGTGGAGCTGGTTATGCGGGCAGCGCAAAGTACAATCCTTCCAAATGCACCTCCCAGCACCATCCTGCGTGGCTGTCCAGAGGCGAACGCAAGTCAAGCAAAAGTTCCATCTTGGATAATTTGGTCAACTATGGTCATGTTGCTTCCCTACAGTTTTCTTCAAAATCCTGTACAAAGTCAAGCCAAACGGTTCGAAAGGTGTACGGATTCGTCACCTATGTATAGCTGAGGTGTTGGCAATTCAAAAATTAAAGCCTGAGCTCTGTGTACAGAAGAGGTAGATGCGTTCTCTTATTCTGCTGCTGTCATAATCCTTTACTGAGTTTCTTCTTCGCTTCAATATTTATCATACTCTTACTAACTGATTAGGACTAACTTTTATTTCTATTTTGCGTTTTGCTTTCCCACATCTTAACATGTTAGCTTCAATCTCCCATTAAAATTCACATATTACCCAGATTACTGATTATAATTAGTAATATTATTTTCGACCTGCTTGTTTTATAACCCATTAGTCATCATGTTCATCTTCTGGAAACTTTTCTTGTACACACTTGATCACCCAAACCCTTTATAACTCTATAATCGACCCACTATTTCATCCTAGAGCATTCCGTTTTGATAACCTAATGTTAACGTATTAAATAATAATACACCAATCTGTTTGTTTGTTGTTACTATAAATACAGTTGTACAGCTACTGAAAACGACTCATCTAAAAAATTTCTTGGCTAAATCAATTTATGTTTTTAAATGTTTCAACAGGAATTATTTCTGATCTAGGAAGTAAAATATGTTAGGAGTTTGCAGTTTCGACGACAACCATCGGATCAAATCGATCACAAACATAGTATACATTCACAAATTTCAAAATTTGACGAATAACTAGGTACTTTAAAAGTAAACATTTCATATCAAATTTAACAGTGATACTAACTTTTTCATTTCTAGTTCACTTTTAAGACGATTTAACTCAATGCGAAATTCTTCTCTTTCTAATTCCCTTTCTTCTGTTTGTTCATTTAAAAATCGTTCCTGACAAAAAAAATAAAACATACTTAAAAACGTGCTCAAAAATGTAAAGAACAGCCCAAACAAACAGGAATTAATTACAAATATATAAACTGTAAATTAAAATCACCTATTCAAAAGAGAATTCCTCAACTTAGCTGAAATACTGAGTTGACGACTTATACTAACAGAATAAGAATTCAGTACCGTGCCATAAGGAGGAGACTAACAAAACAGAAAATTTAGAAATATTTATACAGTTTAACTATTATCATTAAACGAATATCGACACAATTGGATTACAAATTTACTATCAATGTATGTATTTTTCAGAACAGTATGAAAAGCAGATCAACGCCATAAGTCTCCCTTCCCCTGCTCACACGCGAGCAGAAGCAGAGACCATACAATACTGAATTAAATTCAGAAGAGTAAAGCAAACCAATAACTGGAACGAAGTAGGTCCTGATATTGGAGTGAGTATGAGGCATTGAGAGAGGACAAAGAGTATTCAACAAAGGAAAGAAACAAGTGATGATGAATCGCTGACTGAAGCAGCGTAGCTACCTGCAAAGTGTGACGAGTTCACCAAATGGGTTATATTGAGAGTAAAAGAAATAAGACAGAAGCACAAATGTGATTCAACTAAGGTATGAGAACCAATTTATAAAGTCACTGATTGAGATATGAGCCGTAGAAAGGTAAGTAAAGCTTCCTGGCCCATGTTCTCCAAATATCATGAATCAGTGACTGCATACTACGTGATACAAGTCAAAATCAAATCACACAAATGTAGTTAACAGTTATCTTGCATTAGGTGTTGTACGTTACACGTCAAGTTTCTGGATTTTTTTTGGCTTTTTCAGCCATAAGATTTGAGTAACTAAGCATGGGAAACATTTAGATGGTAGGTGATTGATTTGCATTGCTTTAAAGCAGAATAAATGTGATTTTTATAGAGAAACACGCCTGTAACTGAAATAAAATGAAAGAGAATTATATTATACGAATGAATTACTTTAGCTTGAAGTTTTTGTTGCATTGAAGACAATTCATTTTTTAATTCACGATTGGTCACTTCCAGTTCATCGAGTTGTTTAAGTAAATCGTGTCGATTTGTTTCCAGCTCCACCAATGATGCAGTATGATTTCGTTCGAATTCTAGCATTCGACGGTTCATTTCAGCTTGTAACTGAATGCGTTCTGTTTCAACAATTTGAGTTGTTTCCAAAAGAGCTACAAATTAAGAAATAAGAGGAGGAATAGTAGAGAAACATGAGAAACTATACCAAAAAATTCCCTACTAAGGTTATAAGAGAGTTCAAACAGTAAGTCGCCAATAAAACCATACAATTGCTGACCATCTCAACTAAGAACACAAATGGTACAAGGAACTAAATAAACGTTTCAGCTTAATTTCAAAATACTAGACATGTTTGACTGATAGAAATGATTTCAATGTTTTTATCGATCCACTCAGTTCAGTTACAATATGGAAGCTAATCGGCTAAATCTTTCATCAAAAGAAAAGTAGTACTAACAATCCCAAACCCAAGGAGATAAAATAGAACAGTATATCTGCAGCAGAGCAGTCATGCACTGACGATAATTTACAGAATGCTGTGTTATCCAAAATTATATATATTGGTAGGCGATCCCCAAAACCATTTTGAATAGAAGAGGGTTCAACCTCATGACTCAGTTTGAAATTACGCAGTTTAGATGAATGGATTGCATCGATTGAGATAAGAGATTTTAATTGATTTTCTGTACCTCACAACACATGATATCAAACAAAGAAATGCATGAATGGACACAAAATTATAAAAGATAACTTTTACCATTCTTTGTATCAACGGGTAATTTTTCCGTTAACAACTGCTGAGCGGTGAACAACTGAGCACGCAATGTACGCACTAATTCGGAGTTTTCAATATCTTTCTCCACGTTAGTTAGAGAAACTTCGCAAGTCTGATTTACTTGTGATATACTCCTTGATGCAACTAATTGTTCACGTCCAACTTTACATTGTGTAAGAAGACGATCTATTTCTGGCAATAACTGTTCAACTGCAGCTGTTTAGAAAAATTTTAAAATCATACCGTTAACATAGATAATACAATCACAACTCACTGAAATTAACAATAATACAACTGTAAATGTTTATATACACTAGAGGTGTTGTTCTCCTAACCAATCGGCTATTGCACAACATGTCAAAATCTAACCATGATTTTGATGGTTAATTAGTATAACACAAGGCATGCATTTTCTGACTTAATGCATCATTATACATTCCAGTTACTGACAGCGTGTGTGCAACTTTGTAAATTACAACCTTATCTAATTACCAATGCACAATTTTGTTTAAGAATTGTCAACACAACCCAACTAGAAAAAAACTTTGTCATGAGCATGACCAGATGTCTTCAAACTTTCAAATATGTATGGATCATAAAAATAAGCTAAGTAGATATATCAGCTATGCATCAACAGAACATTCGAAAACTAAACCAAAAGAACAGAAAACACAAATGACAAAAACCTGTTTCCAAAAACTAAGGAATACCAAACACTTGAAATTAAAGTTAACGTTACATAAAATGAGAGAAGCAGAATCAATAAAATAAGGGTGAGAAAATGCAGTTGAACGACACAGAGTAATAAAGCGAGTGTAATACTCATGAGTGAGTAGCAACATGCCATTTTCTTTCTTGTGTCATAAGTTAATCTTCAATATCAATAAATTCATTTGAAAGCTTGTCTTCTAGCCATTACAAACAGCTGTAGAGACTGTTTCAAGTTCAAATCATAGGTGCATACAAAAGTACACATTCAAGTATAAATGTCACCGGGATAAAAATCATATTTGGCTACTAAACTCTGTTATAGTAAATAATATCTACATTATTGATGAAATAAAACGAGTAATCATTGAAATGTAAGAAAAGTCGTTTTTAATCATATAAAACCTGCTAATTATAGGAATGTTTCACGTGCCACATCGTAATACACTCAGTAACCAGATATACATTTGTGCAGTGGGCAATGAGCCACACCTAACGTCTGAGAGCTGATGATACTATCTCACTGTCCCCACCCTCGGTAGGTGGAGTGGGATTCAAACTAGTAAGCAAGTGGTTAGTAGTCACGTGCTAAAAAAAGCATGCCACTCCTCACCAAAATGTTGATATGGTGAAAACTTTTAACTCAGGAGAATCAATTCAACAGTGTAGCATTCATCAAGCTGAATAGCTGACCAATGAAGTTCTCATGGTAATAATACATAAAACATTACCACTTACCATAAAAGAAGTCAGAGATAAAAAGTTCTTCATAAATGACTGAACTACATGTTTCGATTATGCGCAGTATAACTTATTATTGTCTAATAAATGCAGTATTACTGCATCAGAGTACCTTGATGAATTAATAGTTCATTACCTTCTACACTGACCAGAAGTTATGATCTACGCTAGCTCGCCTAATAATAAGAAATGGTATTACATCTGAGATCTCTGGTGAATAATTTACATAGTATTTACCATGGACTGACAGTAAAAGAAACATTGGAAATCTGGGAGCACTGGACATGCGTTTTGTCCTACAGTTACTCAACGACGTTGCGTATAGGTCACGGTATATCGTGAACTGACAAGCGTAGGAAGTGTGAACCACTGGATTCCGACATAGTGGCTCAATGGTAACATACAGGCCACGGAAACTGGAGGCCATGGATTCAATCCCTGGAGAGGTCACGAGTGGGCGCTGCTGAGGAGTTCTATGCTAAGACGAAACGATTGCCCAGTGCTCCCAGGTTTCCAATGTCTTCAACTGGTGTCAGTCTACGACATATACTAGTCTGGAATCCACAAACAAATCCCTAAAAACTTCCAAATTGAATTTACATGGTCTTAATTCACGATGAACGCATCCCCGTAACTATATATTCTGATGCTTAGAGACTAACCCATACAAAAGCGAAAGAAAGCTTTATGCCACTGGGTAAATAGTCAATCTTTTTATGTTACAACTATCCACAGACATTATTCAAACACTTGCAAATCGTAATAGTATTGAGTCTCGAAAAAAGAATTTCATCAATTGCTGCTTTTATAATAACTACCATCATTATTACTACTATCGATGACTGTAAACATCCAAACAACATTAAAGATCACCGACTAAATAAAAATATCATTTTAGTTGAGTTCAGTTTCATTTGAGTACTTTAGGTTTTGCTTGTTTAACCGCACTGATTGATATTCAGTATTTGCAAAATTTATCGTTATCGTATTTCTGTTATGAAACGATCTTTCCTATGGCGCATATTTACACTTTTTGTGTCTTATATACGCTAGATGCCAGTCGCTTTTGTGCATAACCATATCCGGTTTCACAAACTATAAAATAGTCAATCAATTCCTGCAAACTAAGTAAAGTAATCAGATAATTGTGACGAAACTTCATAAAAAAGCTGATTTCTGAAAGAAAACTTGAAAATTACTGAAGGAAAAATAATCAATAACACTGAAAATCTATATGCTTCACATATCGGTTTCATGAGAGTTACTGAAAAATATATCAACGTACATGTTAATGACTTGCAGTCTGTTTGGAGATCATCGATAAATTTTGAATCAGATATAACACCGGTAGCCAGTAGATGGTTACAATCATTCAAGAAATCATTAAGAAATTGAACTAAAGAGGGAAAAAAACAGATCACGTTAAGTGCAATACAGTTCAAGAATTTTGAGTTGACAATGTATTTTTATTCAAAAAGTAGGAGATATATGAGATATGAGAAATAAATGAAATGCACTCAGTAGCCTTGCACACACTCATGTGGTAGGTAATGAACCACACCTATTGTGTGAGGGCTAGTGATACTATCTGGCTGCATAAACCTCGGTGTGTGGAGCGAGAATCAAACTCGCGACCCAGTGGTTGAAAATCATCTCCCTAAACCAATGAGTTACAGCTCCACATTTTGATAAAAAGTCTAGCAAAACTGAAAATTGAAACCTTTCGACTGATTGTGATCATCTGAACGTGAGCATATTCATAGGTAGCACAGGAGATGGGAAGTAGGAAAGATGACATACATAGAAGTGTATTTGATGACTAGTGAAACTTTGTCAAGTGGAAATCTTTGACAGTATTTAGTTCGCTAGTCCTAGCAGACTTTTTCTAAGACAGACACAGAAATAGTGAGTATTCCCGAAAATAATGACCACCATCAGTTTTCGCGTTTAATGGTAGTGAAGCTTGAGGTACCACATTTTGAGTAACGAATATTAGTTTTCCGTGCCAACTGATGAACGTTTAAAAAAAGAGAAAACTGCTTTACTAACATGAATCATACATATAATTTTAGAGTACACAGACCTTAGTGAATTCAGTAAGTTATTTTACATAAAAATGAAACCCAGTACAACTGAGCAGCGACACAATTTGCTACTCCTCACATTAGCATACAAAAATAGAAGACACTAAGGTGAAAAATAGAGAAACTGAGGAAGAAAATGGAAAAGAAAGTTGTGGAAAGTCATAAGACAGAACGTAAAAAAAAAGTATAGAAATGCGATGTAACGATTTGGATGAAGATAGAGTGTGAATGTAACTACACTACTATTATCAGTTCTCAGACATCATATAGAGCCTCAAAGCACCTACTTTGCTTGCCACATACCTAGCACCTGGAACTCTACACCTGCCTACGCAGCTCAGACCAAGAGTTAGAGATTTTTTAGCTGCCTTTAACTTCTTTCTTGTCTAAGCCTACTTCAGCTAGGCTTGCGTAACACATATCTCAGCTACGTAAGTCGACTAAAGAATACAACCGACTTACCACGTTTGCTCAAAACTCAATGCCTGACTTTTTTGTTACCAACATGATGATTTCATGACACAACATGAATGCTAAGAAGGTAACACAGGTCAAACATCTAAAGACTTGTCATTTGATTCACACTTAACAGCTATGTTTCACAGCCATACTTAATATCGCCATTTTCAATCGACACTTTTTTCTATCAGAAAGAAAAGTAACGCTGAAGTTTTACGACAAAACTAGATGTAAATGGCGACACTTTGACAGTACATAGCGATAAACATTTGAAAAATGAACTCTTATGCTAATTAATTGCATGTGAGTTAGTCAACATTGAACAAAATAGTATGATAGACGTAACTTAAGCAGCTACTGAGGAGGAACATCACATGTTGAATATTCGACTAAAAAAAGCATGACTCTGGATTCTATAGCAAAAATAACAAATTGTTAGACATGTAGCTCTAGGCAGAATGCAAAGCCGCGTGACGTAAGGATGAACGATCGATAGGATGATGTATTGGTCAATAAACAAACAGCATGCCAAAAGGTGAAAGTAATAGTGCTATTGTAGCCAAAAGTATTTGCAGGAAAAAAAATCAGACGTTTGCTGCTGTCTGCACGAATAAAAAGCAGATGATAAGCAAGACCACAACATGCATTTGCATTGAAACACATGAGTAGTTACTTGGACTGAACTGCTATTTAAGATGGCAGTTATGATTTCTATAGTGTGTGAAACTCATAAGTATGCAAAAAGAGAAAAGAGAAAAAGAGTTAGTAAGAACTAAATCTACGGACTAAATGTCGACATTCAGCTCATACACGTTTTTCGATGAAGTGAAATAGGAGGAGGATAATCACGAATGAAACTACTCTCACATATTAGCACGGTTTCAACAAAGAAATGTGGATTCTATGCTGCGAATGCTTATATTTTCATTTTCTCCGATTTCAAAAGCATTATTACACCCCGTCAACACGCTAAATAACACGTTCTATTTTCGGAAAATATCCATCCCATTTCACTTACTGATCCACTAATTACCTAAAATACCAGTCAGACTTTAATTATTACTGTACGGTCTTCAAATTCACTTTGGTCGAAATGATCAGACATATTATCTGACGGTTTCAATGAGATATACTGGAGAAAAAGTAGAGCCAGTGTTGAATTGGGTAGTTAAACAAACGTGTGATAGGTTGAAGACTAAAATTAATCTTGTAAAACCTAAATGGGATGGCTCGAAACTAAGAAAAATAGCATACATAGGCATCGCATTTACTTTCAATACCCTCATCTTGTTAATTTCTTAACTTTTCTGTTGACTCTTTTCTGCTTTGACATCATGCACTTATGCATTACTGCTAGAGTTGATAGCCTGAAAATCTACATCTTTATGGAGACTCCAGGCTCCCATGTCTGTTTGTACAGTAGAACTTGTTAAGCAGTTTACAAGTAATAATTAGTGTGTGCATCGAACTATGAAAGACATATAACATGTAAGGGCTTATAACACAACTCGGTTATCCAAGTCAGTTTTTTTCAAACCGAAGCAACCAAATGAATCATGGCATCAAGATACTTTATGCAGGGAAAGTCATTATATTAACTACTCACACGGCTACAGTCAAATGGTTGATTATGCATTACCAGAAGATACAAATACTTGCAACAAATCTCACTAAAAACCACCATAAAATTGTAAGCTCAAAGATAATTTACAAGACAAAAAATCGCTTACCATTCAGTTCATCACTCTTCTTCCCTTCATCCTTCCGACAATTTGTTTTATTATCATCATCTAATGATAAATCACTATTTGCCTGTGAACATCGATTAACAATATGTGCATTCAACTCATGTTTCAATTTTGCACTAACATCAATTATGGACAAAATCATTCTGTGGTAAAATTCTAGGCCTGTTGTACAGCTATGAACACAAAAAAAAAGGAAGAGTATTATTGATTAAAATAATGTCTCATTCATTGTCGTCGTCTTTCTAAAATACAGGTTAGCATCCCATTTACATATTATAAACGATGTCAAGAAAATGTTCTACGGCGACTAGTGAACGAATAGAAAGAGAGAATAGCAATAACATCATTAGTTCAAAAAAGAAAAAACAGAAGGCGTAGATAACTAAAAGGTGTGTATATACTCAAAAACGATTGAATATAAACACAAAAAGACTATAGGAGACAAAATGTGTTGCTTAAAATTTGTGATATATATACCTTTTTGAAATTCTACGCCTTTTGTGGCTCGAAGAAAATACAAAGAAAAGAATTAACCAGTTTAACATGAAGAATAAAAATTCGCACTAAAATAAAAAGTGACTAATGTCTAGTAATTTTGACAAAAATGACTTCCGAACTTCGGTGTACAAAATATGCATGACATTAGTCAATTTACCGAAGAAGAAATCATATTAGATCTACCACTAAGCTGACTGTCAGTTTGATAGGAAAACAAGTGCAAATGATATTTTCAATGAGCACATTACATTTCATGTCTTAAGCGTCAAATAACAGTGTAAACAACTGGATGAAAAAATCAAGGAACACGTATCACTATATTTCAGTACGATCCCTTCACTGAAAATGGATCGTGCTGTCGATAATGCAAAACTGAGGTAATAGATAGTGTTCAGACTTGAAAAAATACAGTAATATCAGCAAAAATAAAATAAGTATTCATTAAACTGAAATCCTGCTGTGAAACATGCCTCTAAGTGACCATTAGTTACAGCACCCAACTGTCAACTGTACTATACATTTAAAGGTTTTAGAAGACATAGTATCATTAGTAGTGAAAGTGTTGTGAAGTAATTGTTGACTACCAGTGAGATGATAGAATGATGATCAATTGGTAGGTTGGATATGAATACTCTACAATCTAACGTGGCCGAGAACGGAACTATCAACCAACTCATTGCGCATTGAATATTCCCATTTAGACATTTAGAAGAAGGCTGAATAAGGGAATAAATATATTCCTTTTCAATAAGGTCTTCGTCTTGGGCTCCACACTAATAGATAGTTTCACAATTCAGTCAAAATACCAATCAAGTGGTGGGGGGTTGGTGAACAATAATTGTAGATTTTAAGTAAGTCATGAAGATGGTGTTTTAGAAATTAAGATGTAAATGCTTACTTCATATAGCAGAGAGGATTGCAATCCACCTTTACAAACCTAACCTTTAATTTAAAAGAAGTTTGCTTGACCACTTTCATTATCGCGGCCGTCAATATGATGTAACTTTTAGTACTACTTTGTACACCTCTTCCCCCCCCCCCCATTGTTTCTACCAATATTCGTTTGTTTTCTTATTATTATGTAATAACCTACTGTTTGTGACTAAACACCAAATCAAAAATCACTCTACTTACCTACGAATAACCTGCTTCATGTTTACAATTTTAATTACTCTGTTGACCATTTACATTTTAATTACCAAAACACCATCTTCATGACTTACTTAAAATCTATAATTATTGTTCACCAACCCCCCACCACTTGATTGGTATTTTGATTGAATTGTGAAACCATCTATTAGTGTGGAGCCCAAGACGAAGACCTAGTTGTAAAGGAATATGTTTCTTCGTTCAATCGGTCTTTTTTCCCTCAAAACTAAGTGATAATATATACTGTATCACAAATCGTGTTACTTAATTAAATAAAACTAACTTGCATGCCATGAATGAAACTCAAAAGCTAATACAGCTGAGAAACGAGCAATTGATTAAAGGTAGGTGGAAAGTTCAAAGGATAAATCATCAGTCCTTATCCATATATTGCCTTACTGTCGACCAAATACGAAAATAAGTGCGGCAAGCGAAGCTACAGGTATCATTTCAGTTCATTTACATATTACATAGATGACATAGTGAAACAGTATTCTTAGCTGGTTGACATTTCGAGCACAACTTACCACGAATAATCATACCACAGTAACCACATAACATTTTGGTTGAATTTCAAAGTTCTACTAGTTTTCTATTCTTGGATTTTATTACTGTCCATGTGATTACCTACAATAACTTATGTTAGAAGCCTCTGACAGTAAATAATACTTTTTCAGTATGTGAGATAAATAAAATAATCATTTACCACAGTGCCCAAACTCTGATCAATCACAGACATAGCCGGTTTGTGAGTTGCATCTGACTCTGTTGACTTCAAACGGTTAAAGAATTGTACATAATCCAACCATGAAATTAATTACTACCATCTGAAACCAAGCTAATGGCTAAAAATCAGTAGTCTTAGCTTTTTCAGGATTTCGGTAGTTGTAAACCTAAGGTGACAAATATACATTACATTTTTATTTATATCTTAAACACTATTAGCATTGTAATAATGGGTAGTGGTTGGCAGTGGAATCCAGGACGTGCGTTTCGTTCTACATGGAACTTTATTCAGCTAAAGACCGATCAATTCGGTTCAATCAACGACCGGAAATTACAAGCTACAATGTAACTTTTAGCACAGCCCAAATTATTTTTCGCCTTTTTCAAATCTTCTTATGACTCATACTTCTTTCAAGAAAGATGATCAACTGAAAACTTATTGTAAGAAGTTCACTGTGTATTATAGTCTGATTGTAGAGTTGCCTTTAGTACAGACTGATAGCAAAGTGGTTTATAACTTGTATCTAAATAATAACAATACAACTTCAAATCAAGAAAGGAAGAGAACTTTGGAAACGTTGACTTATCTGGTCAACTCGATATTAGAATATTAAGTCTTATCACACAGCTATCGTACCATTAAACAAGATACATGTACATATCTAATTTCTCAATATTGTCAAAATAAATAAAATCAGTGACAGGATCCAATCTTTAGTACTAAATCGTCATTAAGGCTATTGAAAGGAAATATAAGCAGAAAGCGTTTAATGTAGTATCATTCTCAGAACTACTACTAAACATTATAAAGTAGGTGTGTGTAGGAAAGTCTACTTGCCAAATTTTACTTAATGCTAGAGTTCAGTAATTTTGAGTACACTTATAATAGAAAAAGCGAAAGATTGAAATAGCGAGGAAGTTTAGCTGTAATAAGATACAAACGAAGCAAGACTATAATTTATAGGAAAAATATACTAGATAATAGAATAGACTTAACAACAGTAAACAGAATTATTTTACGCTTCACTCAACACGCGGATTTTTTCATAATCGAGAGGAAATGAACTAATCCCTTACACAACTGATCACCGACTCACAAAGTTAAATGGATAATATATATATATATATATATATATATATATATATATATATATATATATATGTCATTAGGGTCAAACCCTGGGTTACTCAGTGCAAACAAAAGAATTTAAATGATTCGGATACGCTAATAACAATGAAACTTTATTGTTACTGCATGGTCCATGTTAACAATTCCAAAGTAATGATCAATATCGATTATTAAGCTATCTTCACTGGACTATTTCTCAGAAGAGAAGGGTGATAACCTATGACTCAAGATTGTATGCTACCATCATGATTTGCAAATAAAAAAAGATAAAAATGGTTACTGCCCGTGATAATACTCTAAGCATGAAAAGATTGAGCAAATTCAAATAGGCTTTAAAGTCTGAAAGAAACTCATTATCTATATATTTATGAGAGAGCCTTCAGACAGACGGTATGCAGAATATGCATGGTGTGGTGGCAGAAAATACAGACGCCACTTTGCAATAAAGTGACTGGCAGCTAAGTCAACTGATTAGCTAACAACATACCAATCTCAAGAGTGATGTAATAAATAAACCGGATAAGCGAAGAAACCAATTTACAATGTAATGTAAAATAAACGAAACGTGCTCAGCAACCTTGTATACATGCAGGAAGTAGAACAATGAGCCACATCTTTTGCGTGAGGGTTAGCTGGTTCCCAAACTCTCGGTAGATGATGCGGTGTTCGAACCCATGACTCACTGGCTGAAAGTCACAGCCTGGACAAATGGGACTGGCTTCAATATTTAAAATGTAAGTCAGCATAAAACTTTGAAAGAATCATCAAGACGAAGATACAAAATTTACTTACTTTTTCAACTGACTATCAATCAAAGTCATGTCCAAATCAGTTTGTGAGCAAACAGACGGTAAAACATTTTTCATCTATGAAAAAAAGCAAAACATAAGAAAACCAGCTTTCACATACATTAAAAAACAAAATCGCGCTACTTCTATGCACCTACATATGATTGATACGCAGAAAGATCTGATATAACTAAAAACTTGCTATACTGTCCAGTATGATTGTTCAGATAATTTAGGTAAGCACAAGATCCTGGAAATCCTACTTAACCAATCAACGTACTCTTACAGCTTTCGAGGAAAGACAGGTCATCATGCACGTAGATATCACATTGATTCATGAAAGAAAATCAACAGAGAATATCCTCTTAGAAGGGTCTGGAAATACCCAAGGCTATTGAAAATATATTCAAACCACTGTATTTTATACGTTTTGACGTTGCAATATAACGTCTGTTGTTTTACCACATTTTTTTCTGAGGCACTGAGCCGTCGTGAAGATTGAAAAGTTAATCGTCTCAAACGTATATATCAGACCGTATTAGAAGTGAATAACAAAGAATGTACCGTAAAAAAACAGACACTGAGTAAAACTAAAGTCGGAATTAAAATTTACATAGATTCAGCAATATTATGCTCTAAAGTGAAATGAGATTGCTGGCAACTTCTGTTGACCAAACCCTTGTAATATGCAAATAAAGATAAAAATTTTGTGATTGAAATTAAGCTCAATATTCAAGGTAAATCAGTTTATACAATTTCCACCAGTTTTGGATGAACTCAACTTGTTAATCTAGGTACACATGTAAGTACTATTTGTCTACTTAGACCATTCAGATGTAGTTTAAAATTTCGCAGCAAGATAATGGGAAGTGAACGAGTACAGTAATATTTTAATCAACTCAGAAACCATGTTAGAGTTCGATCCATATCATATGTGTTACAGCCAAGTATAAATTACCGGAGGACGTTTAATAGGGTTTGAACCTATTGGTTGCAGGGGATAGAAATAGAGTAACTCAATCCATAAACTATAAAATGCCTAACATAAATGACACTTTAAAAACGTCTGAGACGTGGAAAGATTAATTCATATGTTATTTCAAATGCAGTTGTTTTATAAAACAATTTGAAGTTTAGATTTATACAACTGTTAACACCAGTATTCACAGCACTATACTCCTAATAAGCTATTTGCAAATCCTTAAACTCACTTCACCTTTGCATAGTTATGGTATTTACCGATTGGTATAGTAAAGAACGCTGCTATATTCTCATTATAAATGAAAATCATGATTTAGTAATTAAATGCTTAAGCACAGTGGGCCAACTAGTCTCATCAATTTATTGACTGGTTATCTGTATACCATGCAATTCGCAGATACAATAAAAGATGGTGACTCATTGATGAGTTTGCATTCGTCAAGATGGACATTAAAAGTTTAAGGGTGTGTCAGATGTTTCTTGGAAAGGAAAAAATATGTTTACTAGCTGTTACGCCCCTAGTTAATATAATAGTGGTTTAAACAACAAACAGTTCTCATCTAAATAAAGAAGACAAATACCCTGAAGGTTATCACAGAGGTAAAATAAGAAAAAAAGAATGTCATGGATGTTTATCAAGTGAGCACATGCACCGACCATGTGACATTCTAAATTAAAATGAACAATTACCATTCAAATGTGACTTATTGGGTAATCACAAACACACTATTATAGTTGTCAAACACTTCACTAAACAAATGCACCAATTTCAAAACATGCTTTCTAGGCATCTCAAAAGAATGAAAAACTTCAAAGTGTATCATTTTAAGCTCCCGAACAGAAAATGAAAGTCAACAAGCACCCAAAGGTGTTTAAAAGATTAGTAAGAGTGAAACCTAGTGAACTGAAAAGTTTCTAAGATTAAGCAGATGAGAAAAATACACATGTAAGGTAGTGCGACCAGCTCTATTTAATAATAACTGCAGTCCCAACCATCGGTGATGTGATGGCATCATATTGGAGGCTCCAACCACACGGTCTACACGTCTATACAGCAACTAGACAGATAAGCAATAGCTCCATGAATCAATGTAAGACTTCAGCCTAGCAATTACAAGCTTCTAACTAGTCTAATTTTACTTCATTCAGCATGACAGTTCCAAGCAGGTAACGGTTTAGCCAGTGTAACAGATGAAATAATCCTACGTTTTCTTATGTCAGTCAGTCTAATCAATCAGTTTTCTTTCTAGTTTTCTAACTCCAAATTCTAAGTCATAAAAATCGTATCCAGACAAATAAACACAGACAGACAGCAGTATTATGTATTCTGAGAGAATAGAAAGTAGCTAATTTTAACCACCTTTGCTTCCAAAGGAGTACTTCGAAGCAGAGCCAAAACAACCTAAATACTACTTTTGTATAAAAAGGGAACTGAAATTTCCCACAGCTAAAAAGGCATCTTGTTGATCAATATAATCAAACACAACAAATGACTCCTTATATCTAAACCAAAATACAGCAGAGTGCAATTTGGCATCACCTAACTTAGTAGTCAGATAGCGAATTCGGTCGAGGAATTTCTATTAGCAACATCAGTGCAAACTGCCAATTAGTAGGGAAAGTTATTTCATAGCACTTCATTTAGCAACCTCAGTATGTTGAGCATTCCCTACAAAAGCTAAGACTGATTAAAAACCACAGAGATTATTTGAAAGTACAGAAGACAAGATGTGATTTCCTACGACCTATCGATGCAAAAGAATAAGTAACGTTTGGAAGAATGTGATTTTACAGCTCAGAATCCTAATCAAATCAAACACTGACTCATTTTCTCTTAATCAGGTTAAACGAGCTAAAAAAAACAATGGAATTCGTTTAGAATCCAATTAGGTGTTCGCCTATTTCCAATCACGATGATGATTTATAGGTTTAATTTCTCTTTTTACTTTTATAGCAATCTTGCACCACTCTATATGGGAAAATATAATAATGTCCCTGTAACAATTTTTGGTATATAATAAAGTGATCGATAAAGGAATAGACAATAAACACCAAAGGACTATTTCGTAGGATAAACAAATAATCTAATAGCTCCGATAAGTATATACGAATGCGCTATGAAATGAATAAAACGATACAAGTGAAGTAGTAGGGAAATCTGTAGCACTAACGAAAGGTATAGATGATATCGAAGTGTCTTATCGACCACCACATTTGCCTGGATACTGTGACTGGTTTTATCACATATATAAACGTAATGAAGTAGCTGTTTCAGTGAAGCTTATATGCATAATTGCAGTTCATTTGAAACCATAGCTTGGTAACACGAATACAACCATCAAGCACCTGTTATTCCCTACTAATAATCATGATTCAACATTTTCACTGAACATAATTGCATCTGACTTTCAATCAAAGTCGAAATGAAGCGCTGACATCAATCTATCAACTCTTTATCACATTCAGAGTAATAGAAAGATCTGAAGACTGTTAAAACGATATACAAAGTTCAACGACACAATCATGACCCCCAACTTCTACATTTCGAATTTTATCAACATATACCTAAATTAGTTGGATAGAGTTGAACTGAACCATTTACCCTTGCAGAAAATACACTGGTCGCAGTTAAGTATATATGCCTGTATGACGTTAATGAGCTATTTTTCACCCTACTCTTCATTTTCTGACTTTGGTAAGCGCGAAATCAAAAGTTGACAGTAAAATAGTACAAAACCGATCATGTCATGGTGGCCCCAATGAATTTAATTGCCATTGTCCTTCAGGTCTAATATATTCGGTTATGCAAAACTTATATCATCTCGTGCTTTTTTATTTATTTTTATATTTTCAAACTTCCTTTGAACTTTCCTTACTGTACTGTTTCACATTTAACTGATATACCATTGTATCAGATCCTATGCTGCTTCACCTATCTACCTATTAGTCAACAGATTACCAATGGATAGATTTTAGGTATGTCAGGAAGTGCTGATTTACGACAAAAAAGTACCGAACAAGTTAGTCGATGAGATTTTAAACTTCGACTGTGATAGCGTTGATATTTGTTCTGCATATCAAGCCATGGCATCGGATGCTGTGAATTTTGGTAACTTGAACTGATGAACTTCTGTACAGGGTTATACATTAATGTCGTTCTAAAGAAGGATGATTAGAATTTGAAAAACGGAGTTTTATATTATGTATGATGAATATATACAGCCTTATTAATTTGGATTTATCCAACAACACTTAGGAAAATAGAATCTTACCATCGAAATAAATAAGTAAGAGCAAGTGATAACTTCCAGAACTCTAGGATACCTACCAGAAATCTAAGCTTTGCTAGCAGGCAGTAAACTGAGTGGATCAGTACATGAGTTGGGATACCGACAACAGATGAGAGATAAAGCTGTATACCGACTAGATTGTTGTGATTATGTTTACTACTAACATGGAAACGCGAATTCAAGAAAGATTTCCAATTACACAGCGATGCAACACTGAAGTTAATCTGTACGCCAAAAACAAAGACTTTACTTTAGGGAAGCAGTATGAGAAAACTAAAACTGAAAAAGTGACCTTAGCAGTTCATAGGAATGCAAGACATTTTACTATCTACATGGTAAAACAGTGAAATAAATAGAAATCAAGACAAACCTCAGAATCTGTTTGTGTACACATAGTGTCGTTCAATACACGCACGAACTCTTGTGTCTCCGTTGCAACATCAACCTTTTGTAGTGTTTCAGTACATTGTGAATCTGGAAACAAAAACTCTTTGTCATAATGTACGGAAAGTATGAGTATCAGAAAATTACAGAAAAGGTAATTATACATGATACATAAATCAGTACTGATGAATATATACGTTTAGAAACTTGAAGAATTATGTTCACAGTTTCTACAATAAATAAAAAGTTCTCAACTGCTAAAGCAGTTAAGAAAAAGATTTTTTTTTCCTAAAGTTACTCTTTAATAGTCATACAACAGGTTATTGAAAATTCAGAGATCTGTAACCTTCTGTACAACATTTATTTTATCGTTCAAAACATCCTTCAATTTCCAAACGATGTCTGCTGCTGCATTTTGAAGTCCAATGTAAATATCTTTGTGAAAATGTTTAAATATGACAAAACTTAAAAAATCCTAAGAGATTTAAATAATTAAAGGTTAGCAGTGTACACCTTAGTTTTCGTTGAGATACTAAGACGTTATTGACCAATTTTAGAAATGGTACACAGACAGGAACCAATTCACTACTCTGAACTCAAATGTTAGCTGGATTTTATTGACCAAGAAAAGACTAACCACATGATAATTACCATGTGATAATTAACAGTGATGCAATGAGTGCTCTACCGAATGTGAGCAAACTCCAACATATCCTTCTAGATCGGTCATTCATTCTCAAGTTATGTTCAACAAAAGTATAAGAGACAGAAAACCTGATGTTCACAATTATAACAAGATACAAAAATGACATAAAACAAGTGGGTAAGGAAAGCCCTCTTAGTTGACAGAAGTGCAAATACACAACAAGCAGAATGACAAAGTAAAAATCATCAACCAAAGAATCATAACTCATACCGGTTTTTGTGTTCGAAAACACTTGTTGAATAGATTTTTCTTTTAACTGAAAAAAGAAAAGAAAGAGATATTAAATTATTTACTGTGGTTAAAGGGTTTCAGCAAAGATATTTACGAAGTAAAATAGAACTAAGACCAATCTCAACATGACTTGTCATTTCCCCTTGTTAATTGGTTCGAACTAAATAGATTGATCACTCTTAGCTTATAAGCGCTTGTGCCGATGCCTTGATATATCTACTACTTTTATTTTCTATGGTAAGAAAGAATACTTTAAGTGAAAGGCAGAGTGCTGATTTCGTTTTGCTTGAGAACAGCGACGCTCACTAAAAGATTAGTGCATTCGGGTAAAATGCATACTCTAGATTCCACTGCTAGTCGCTACCCATTTTTACTATCGATAAAAGAAAGGCTTTGTGAAAAACAAACATTCAACTTGCTATATTTCTGTAACATCGTAATTACACTGGGAATTAATTTTTAACAGTATAACTGTTTGACAGTAAAAGAAATACAATAGAATAAATAATCAACACGCATAACTGTCTTCATTTTATACAAAACAGTAACATATACTTTACAAACACCTTCACTGTTGTTTTTTTTCCTTCTCGATTAAAATAAAGCAACGACTTTCGATTTAGACATTCAAATGACGACAACAACAGACTCGAACTAGATTTCTTGTAATAGATATTACACTTAAATGTAAAATGATATGTGACAACCTAATATATAATTTTTAACTGATACGTATAGAATACTAATCTCGTACACATTGTGTCCAAGTTTTTTATTTCCTAGAAGTGAACTATATGTATGCGCGGCAAACAGATTGACTGAAAACACAGAAGCTACGCAATCAGTACATAAAAGCATGTAGTCAGTGAGAGTCATTCCATTAGAAGAGCCGCGTATAAGATAAATGAATATGAAAACATTCTATTTCCAATACAAATTCACGAGAGGCAACAAACTTTATTACAGCAGGACTTATTGAATTCATAAGTTTCGGTTGGGCTCTTCAGCTTTTTACTCTACATATATGATCTACATACTGCTGTGCAATGGAGGAACACACACACACATAATACAGACAAAAACATTGAATGACGCATGGCAATACAGTAAATAGTTTAACTAGGTCAACTGGGACTATAAATAGATTAGAGGAGAGTAACGAAATGATAATTAAAAATAAAAAGGCTAGAAATGAATTACATCGTTTTGAACAAAACAGTTAATATAGAGGTAGTATTCATCATGGACTGACATCAGTTGGGGAACCATTGAAAATCTGGGGGTACTGGACAGCTGTTTCATCCTAGTATGAGACTCCTAGACAGTACGCACCCACGACCCGGCTAGGGATTGAACTCAGGACCTTCCGGTTTCACGGCTCATTAGTGAGATGATTCCAGATAGATATCACGAAGTTTTAATGAGGAACCATGACCTGTGGGGTCAACCAGTCGGAAGGGAAGCGGATGTCAACTGAAGACCTTGGGTGCTAGTTGCACTATGTCGTGAATTGACAGAAGTTGGAAACTGTGAACCACTGAAAACCAATAGTCGCTGGATGGTTAACGCATTCACCGTGAAACCTTCAGGTCCTGAGTTCGATCCCTAGCCAACTCGTGGGTGCGTACTGCTGAGGAGTCTCATACTAGGATGAAACAGCTGTCCAGTACCCCAGATTTTCAATGGTTCCCCAACTGATGTCAGTCCGTGATGAATACTACCTCTAAATCAAAATCCCCATACATCTTACAAATACAAAACAGTTAACAGACAACTAGATAGAACCATAGGTTTTAAGCAAGCAAAAATTATAATGGCAGTGAATGATGGGATTAGCCATGAAAGTTGAGAAGACTGAAAAGACTAAAAGTTACGTGATTTCGGATATCCATTAACAAGCCCAGTAACTATTGATCAACTAATACTCCAGCATACTCTAGTAAACTGAAGTATTAGTTGATGGATAATAATAATAATCATAGTAATAATAATAAGGCACTTATCTACTAAACGAAGTTCAAGAGGAAATGCCAATGAGAAAGAATAAGGATAATGGATAAATATATATGCTGAGAAAAGGAAGAAATGAAATAGGGGAACGAAATACTAATATGTTCACGATACATAGTGAGCACCGTCTCTAATCGTGCATGCTTCCACGAGCGCAAGCATTTTCTTATTCCCCTGTCTGCCAACAACCAAGAAGACCTTAGTGGCACTAATGTCGTGACAGCAATTCATTAGATTCTTCATCATACAACTCTATGGAATTCTTGCTTCAGCTTCCCTTAACCATAAGGCTAAACATGACTTTCTATACGATGTACGTATCCGTTTCTATAAATACATTCCATAGTGGTATATGCAGCTTGATGCATCAAGATTGCTGTATCTATCATCTGGCGGTGCTCAGAAGTACTAGCTTAGCTGCGTAGTAAGTTTTTTCAATAGCGTCGTTCAGCCTATCGTAACTATTTCTAATATGTCGTCTCCTTTAAAAGACAATTTAATAAATACTGGATACCTTGGAACCGTGGAGACCGCTGTTTGGCATTCTCTATTTTTCGGGTACTTAATGATAGAGCCTTCAGGGTAGCCAGTTTTGGCTAGAATATGATTCACTGTTTCTATTTCATAATCAATAATGTCAGAATAAACTTTCTCTGCTCTTTCGAGTAGGGTTTTAAGTTTCTTTTATACTAGGTCAGAATAAAATTCTTGAAGTGCAGATACTGCAGGGAAAATGAAAGCTATCTATAGGTGGATCTTTTTATAAATGCATCATTCTACTTTACCAGTGAAACGTCTAGGAACCTGATATGATCATTTTCTTTGTTCAACTGTGAAGTTGAGGTTCAAGTAACATGAATTAAAATTCTTCAACAAAGTCTCCGCTTCTGTTCTACTTTTACATGCAATAAGAATTTTATCCACGTATCGCTAGTACAGATCTGTCTGCTATATTCAATTGCCTTGGGTTACTAGTCGCTAGACTTGAGAGAAACAAGTTGCTGAAAAATGGTCCCAAGAAGCTTTCCCATTGTGACACCATCGACCTGACAACATAAACGGCTGGTGAAGTGCAACTGAATATTCTTAGTACATAGAAGCGACAACTTCCCCACCTCTTTCTTTATTGTATAACAGTATATAAAACCATAGATGTCGAGTAAAGAGATGACGAGTCCTACTGAAATTTATGAATTCAATGAATCCTGCTTTATTAACGCTTGCCACTCATTTTAGAAATGAAGATGACACACTACCTGATTTTTATCTCATAGTCAATGGGACATTTCTAGATACAATCCAACAAAGTGGTAACACTTTTGCACTAGACTATAAGTAGCCTATAGTGTATGGTAGCCCATATTATTATTGTGAAAATATTTTAACAGTATAAACAATAACTTCATAGTATGCATAACACCTGAGTGAGTAGATTACATTAAGTCAAACATTCACTAGATTTTAAACTTTTTTCATACTGTGCAAAACAACCTTCGTCATGAAAGTGAGCGGCTCTAATTTTACAAACGGCAATCAAAAATTATACCGAATATTAGCTTTTATGGCCTTACTAAGCTATACACCTGTTCTACAAGCTATGAGACTAAGATTTGCAGAACACTAAATACGAATTAGAATCAGTGAGTATTTCAGTAACAAAATTTCTTTTTTGTAAGACATTAGTAACAAGTTCACGTCTTTGAATAGTCATGTCTCATAGTTCTGAGGGAAACATAAACGTATTATTGAGCTGCTGACTACTTACCAATTGACTCCATTTTACGCACTTATGATTATTTAACTATTAATATATGATCAATACTACACTCACAAGGCGATAAACTAAAAACACTACAATGTTTTAGTTACATTGAATTTTAACTGCTTTTTTGTTGGAACACGGTCTAATTAGAGTTAAACATTATTTGTACTACTCTTCCTACTAACCGATTTATTTGCTGCGTAAAATGCATATATTCTTTTTTGCTTTTAATGTAATTTGGAATGTTAGTCTGCTTTGTTCTAAGCTGTTTCACATTCTTAATTAATTCGATAATTTTTAATTCAAGAGGAAGTACAAGAGAGCAGTACAAGTTTTTATATACAATAGCTCTTAATTACCACTTCGAAAAACCTTTTTTCAAGATATAGTCTGCTTGATAAACTGACTTAGTGCAATGCATGTCTACGTAAACACGGAAGGAAAAATTAACAACGATAAATACTAGTAGCTTAAATTTCTTTGTAATATACATATTATTTAGTTGCTTATATAATAGAATTTATTACCAAAAATGTTCGGTATTCAAAAGCAAATGTTCTACTCAGATCTCATTTTTTTTCCGATGTAGGCAAATTTGAGGTCACCTCAAACACCTTCTTATTACGAATATAAATGAATGTAATTTGGTTAGTCTGACATTAAAACTATCAATGTGTAGAGAGCTAACATAGCAGACTGAAAAACTAAAGTCGCTTAAAAAATGATGTAGTAATCATTCAACCTTACAGTAGGAGGTTAGAATGATGCAGAGCATTTCGACAAGCAATTTTAATGACATTTTTTAAAAGAAGTAGTAAAGCAATAAAATACTTTGACGCAACACTGAATCATCTATTGTCTACCTTATTTTAGCCTTACTATACTACGTTGTCAGAATAATCCAAGGAGTTGCATAACTGTCTAGTCATACTTTGAAGAAAAAAAAGACATATGAGTGTTGCATTGATCATGGTAGACAGCCTAACGATAGCTCTACTATACGCTTGTAACATCCACTACCCTTTCTTAGTCAAATAGGTGATCAGTATACGTGAGAAACGCAGGTACTGACTAAACTGTGCATAATACACAAATCTTTCCTAACATTATCAACTCTGCCCTCTCAGTGTCTCAGCACCAAGAGGATAACAGTGGTCAAAATTTGTAAGGAAGTTATAATACTGGAATTTAACTATGACCTTCCTAATCACATTCATTTAGATTGTCTACTCCATTAACTAGCATCTATTCGGAAAATGTAATTACGTAATGTTGTTTTAAGCTGTATTCATAAGGTGTATGACAAAGACAACTTAAACTCCATTGTTTGTTCTGCTATTCTTGATGTTTGTTAAACACAATGAATGTATAATGCACGCTGGTGTAAGCAGAACAATATGCTGTTATAATTACACTTTTAAAAATTAATATAAATTAAAACTCACAAAATCTTCATGAGCTGCACATAAGGCTTCATAAGTAAGGATTTTCGCTTGAAGTTCAACACAATGATTACACTGAGAAATATGCATAAAAAAGTGAATTCCAGAAAGGCATGTCAACTTCCGGTAAACATTGAATATAAGTGGGAAACAAAAAGTAAGGTAGGAATGCAAAAAAACAGAATCAGAGAACAAAAATAAGGAAATAACACCAGAAACCAATTACCCATAGGAACGTTTGAAATGATCTAATTGGATCAGTATGTGTCTTCGTCTCCACAAGCTCATTACTAACATCATCATCGCTACACTTCATCACTTTTTGACATTTCAAGTCTCGAATACTCGCTGACTTTCGTTGGTGTTGGTAATAACTATTAGTTAAATGATTTTCAATCTTTCCAAGGAAACCAGACCGTTTACCACCAAATTTAATTTTTGACTTAGTGCTGATCAGTAAATTATTTCCATTATCTGATAACACTGGAAAACTTAACCAACGAATTGGCTTGTATACATTTTCAGCACTAGTCCCAATACTGGCAGGACTAATACCTGACGATGGTGACATAGAACACGTTACTTTCTTTACAGCTATCTTCATATTATCACCAAAAAGTCGCTTAAAAACCGACGATAGCTTTTTCCGTTGATGCTACAATTGTAATAGTGTTCAGTGGTTTAAAAATATAGGCAAAAAATCAACAGAAACAAAACTAAAAACGGAAGAACAAAATTGAAAGGGTGGGATTTTTTTCAATTTTCCAAAGAGTAACACCCCATTTCCTCTGCAGATACAGAAACGGTACACGGAGAGTTACCGTGTACTGATATCAGTCAATTTTAGCTGGGATTTTTCAACAGACTTGACGCCATAATGCTGACAAGGTTTGAAAGTACTCAATGTCGATAGCAGTGGAAGCCCGTGATATATATAATAGATAATAACTACACATAGAAATGAATTGCGATATATATTCAGGATTTCTGGTCAATTACAATTTTCTCACGTTCATGCTACAATATAAGTAGGAGTTTGAATGCACCACGGCCGTTTAGCTTTTTATACTTGAAATAAACACAAACATATTGTAAAACATAAAAAATATGTTCAAGCTTTTTTTAAGACAGTTATATAATTCTGGATTTATTCGACACTGTTATTTGTGTACAATAAATTAAGTGAATAAAATGAGTGGAAAACCAATGACTAAAAAAATAGTGGTCTGAAGTTTCGCTATGATCGTGATAAGGTGGAAGTCCACTGGTTACCACCATGCAAAAATGAATGTTCGAGTACAGACACTGCAACCATAATGAAATTTCGAAAAAATCATCCCAACTATGATCAGCTATGAGTACATCAGCAATCTAAAGTTCTGTAGGAGTGAATGTACAGTAATAATAAAGAGAAGGGATTTAAGCAAGACCATGAATTTGCAAAACGTCGGGTGAAAGTGACATAAGTAGTAAGCCAGGTACCTTATTCCAATAGATGTTCCAAACAAACATTTAAAAGAGATGACAATTTAATCGACTACTATTTGTGCATCATTTGCACGGGCTAAAAACGTGTCCTGGAATTTTTAAAAAGATGACCAGTCAGTCATACAGGAAAAGCATAAGATACTTTAGTTAGGCCTAAGGTCGGTTCATTGGTTCTTATTTGATTTGCTGTCGAGACTTCAGCTAAAAACGATCATCGAACGGCCTTTGTGCACAATGAATGAGCAGTAGACTATGTTACACAAAAGCCTAAGAAACAAAGATCTAACTTACAGGAGATGAAGACGTTTTAATAGGCGTATTTTCATCGGTACTGTTTTGAGATTCACCGGATTTACTGATATCCATATGCGTTTCCATTTGTAAATCACTCCTATTTAGTGACCAATCGTATAACCGAGTTGATCCTGGAGCACATGGCAGTAGTAAACTACTACGTTGTTGAGAAGAATGGTCTTCAGTTGTTGAAGCAACCTGCGATGAGCAAAATTTATGTAACAATCAACAATTTATAAGAATCACCAATTATGGAAAATGAATACTGATGTCATACAAATAGGAAACTTCAGCGAAACTTGTAGCAATACTATCCAGCAAATAAAGGTAAACTGATAAGCAACGAAGAAAGCAATGCATAAAATGAAACTGACCTCATCTTTCAACTCTAACAACTGAGTCGTCAAACCGGGATTATAATGCCGCTTATCGCTGAAAAATAAGAATGAAAAATATAGACTGTATCTTATACATATGTTCTTTAGGTGTGTTGGGTTTGTCAGTCTTTTAAAAATGAAAAATCTAGAATAGGAAGCAAAAGTTCAACATGCAGTATCGCAATAATCTACCAAAGCGATATAATCAAAAGGATGAATTCTATGAAAAGCTGATAATTTTACTACAGGAAACAAAACGCTCCTATGTAATCATAATGGCAACTGACTTTAAAGCTCAAGGAGGGAAGGTGTGAGTTAATTGGAGAGGCATCTGGTAGGTATTTACAGGATCCCGTGGCAACGAACGGAAGACGGTGATCGTCTGTTGAGATTTTCTTCCGAAAACTACTTGCTTTTGGTCAACACTCACTCCAGGCATAAGGAGGGACACTGTTTCACATGGCATCCCCTGACTTCAAACCAACGATGGACACATAAATTTAGCTGCTTTAAGCCATCGTTGGAGGATTGCAGCTCTTTCTGGAGTACCTGTTTGGAGTCCGACCACATCCTAGTACGGGCTCAGATATGTCTGTGCTTTACTGGTCGTAGGAAACAGGCGATAATAAAGCCTGTCTACGACTGATTGGAAGAAATACCTAAGCATTTATGTGAACTTCATAGCAATGCTCATCCTGAGGAAACCTGGAGTCATATTAGGTCTACTGTAGAAACAACAATCAAGACAATTTATAACCTACACCCTAAGGTTAGCAACCGTCATTGGATTTCCGCTACGTCATCCGAAATGATTGATGCGAGAAGATCGACTCCAACTGGCTCTGAACACGATGAAGAACGAAAGCAACTCAAACATAAGTTGACCAAGAGTCTTTGCGTCGATCCCGAGCAGTGATGGGTGAAGAAAGCGAGACAGATGGAGAAGGCATCAGCGTTGGGTAACACTCGGCAACTGTTTACGCTCATTAGGGACACGAGTAAGAAGAAGACCATAGTGAAACCATCAGAGAAAAGGATCAAACGCTGATAAACTACCAGGACAGGCGGCTAGAACATTGGGTAGAACACTTTGAAGCACATTTCAACTGGCCCTCAGTAAAGCTTCGGTTGCCAAACATCCGGCGTGAACCTGAATTAGACGTAGATGTTAGTCCTCCAACTCTCCTTGAACTTGAGACGATCCAAAGCAGCAGGATCTGACAGTGTACCACCTGAAGTTTTCAATAATGGAGGAAACTGCTGATTAAGGTGATGGCGGTACTAGGTAGTGTATGGCAGTTAGGGGTAGTGTCGTCAAACTGGTCTACTTTATTGACCATTGGAGTCTGTAAGAAGGTAAAGTCTTCTTGTGACAACCACAGGGGAATTAGTATGACTAATAATGTGTCCAAGATCCTGAGCTAATGGTGTCCGGTAGTGATTCCCACTGTCTCCATTCCTATTTAACTTCGTCATGGACGTATCCAACTGACATGACCTTAGGTACGTTTGACTGGAAGCACGAAGACGATATCGTCCTGCTAGGTGAAGATACTAACGAAACGCAGGAGCTTCTGAACGCGTTGAGCAGAAATCTGAATATATTTGGCATGCGTCTCACCCCTGTCAAATCTAAGATGATGCTCGAGGGCTGGTCTGCAACAAGTACTCCCAGCTTAATGATAGGGATTGAAGTAGTAGAATTTGCCGACCAATTCACTTACTTGGGGAGTTGCATCAGCTCGAATAGGCTGGTTGCTGACAAAATCTCAGTTCAGACACAGAAGGTCCGTTTAGCAATTTCCAACTTGCGTCATCTGTGGCCCCAACCGGAGAGATATCCGACTACCTATCAAAGGAGTATGCTGCGATGCAGTTCCTTCTGTCCTGTTTCACGGCTGAGACATGGCCGTTAAAAGCAGAAGACATGAAGCAGTTGAAGAGTTTTGATCATAGATGTCTTTGTAGCATTGCTTGCGTTTGATGGAGTCACTGTGTGAGCGATGTTGAGGTCAGGTGAAGGGTACTAGACAAGACAGGAAAGTGGATTGATGAAGTTGAGAACCTGAGTCAACGGAGATGACTTGGGCATGTACTCCCTATGCCAATCCACACCTCCAGCGACGAGACATGCAGAAGGAGGAGGTTGGATTAGGTCGAAAGAGGATTCAGAGTAACTAGATCAAGACGTGGCACCAGTTGATGATCTGAGTCATCTAGGGCGAAGTAGACTGTTTGGTTGAGGTCACCGAGACGAAAGGAATCAGTAGTTGAGAACTCTTGCAGACATGGTTGAAAATTGGTCACAATGGAAAGGATGTATTCACTCTTTAATACCTTCTAAAGTTTGAATATTCACATTAACTTTTATCCTCAGATTGTCTATTCTCTCACACTACTTTGATATCACTACTTTTCTATCCACCTATTGCACAATGAAGTAAATTTTGCACGAATCTAAAAGTGTCTACGACAACCAGAATAGCTAATAAAATCCTACTCTTTCAATGCCTATTAGTTCATTCGACTTCAGACACAAAATAACGTAGTAATTCAAAAATATTTCGACAACTACTTTGTTTTAAAATATAGTGAAAACAAATATGAAAGTATTATCCATTGTGCAGTTAATATATCACTTATTAAGTTCACATTCGACTTCAGAAAATATATCGAACAACACGATTGTAAAGAAGGAACAATTGGTTCAGGGATTCACACACCTTAATTTGAACTATAGAAACCCATTCGAATAAAACTTCATCACTTAGGTTTCTGAACCCAAGCAGTATCATCGTACAACAGCTATTATGTTTGGCTTGCTGCACTGGTCTATTAAAATTTACATATCTTTTTCTTAAAACTGTCTTCAGTATATAATAGAAATGTCACCAAGCTCATCATACGTACATGAGCAAGAAATAAGTGTCAATGGTACTAGTAGCAAAACATTTTTTAAGACAACAAAGCAATGATCACTGTGCACAAACTCAAATGTATGCAGAACATCTAGTGTCAATCAACCAATCAATATCAGCATAGGACCAGACATTACTGCGTAACGGTCCGAGTTCCCACACCTCATATCAGTACATCAAGTAGAAACGTAGTGAGGTGAAGGATGAAGATAAGAGAATGCAGTCAAAAGAAATATAAAGTACGAAGAGAGAGAAACGAAGAATGAGAAAGTGGTGAAATTCGGTATAGCGTCGTTAACATGAGGATAATATGTGTATACATCTGCACCACTGACATCGGTCCTCAGCCATATCATCACATAGAGTCTCCAACCACTGGTTCCTCTTGTCCCATGGACCCCAACCACCTAGTCTGCATCACCTCACATGGCTCAAACCAACATTCAAACACTTCATACATTGATGCCATGTTTTAGTCTGGCCGCCTCAAACCTTTCACCAACCTGAACCTACTTCGGACAACATTGTGTGACGAGGCAATCGGTGACTGGGCATACGTAACACGTGTCCCAACCATCTCAACCGATGAAGGTTCATAACCTCGTCAACTGACCTACCTCTTCTACCTAAAACTCTACACGTGACTTCTGCATTACTCACGTGGTGACACCACGGAATACGTCCTATACTACGAAGGCAACGGTGATCAAATACTTGAAGCCTTCTCATATCTCCCACTTTTAATGGTCATGTTTCACAGCCATACAGTAGAACAGAGCGGACTGCTGTGCAGTACAGGCCACTCTTAATAGACAAACGGATATCACAGCGGCGCCATAGGTGGCGTAAATTGGCAAAAGCCAATCGAGCCTTTTGTATCCGTGCAGAGATTTCATCGGCCACTGACCAGTGCACCAGGGCTGATCCTACTTCCCAGGTAAGTGAAGTGGTCGACACACTCAATCACTACACTCTCTATTTTTAGCCGCGGCACCTCTGAAGACCAATCCTGGAGCAACAATTTGCATTTGGGTGGTGAAAATTGCATCCCAAACATTCTCAAATTCCTACTCAAAGTGTTCAGAAGACTGCATCTTATCAGCGTCTTCACCTAACAGGAACTATGTCATCTGCATATTCTAGGTCTAACGAAAATTCTCCAATGATTAGGTCAACGTCTGTGTGACCTGGTGACGAGAGGGAGACCTCCATATGAGTATCTATGATGAAACTGAATAAGAATGGAGAGAGTGGGCATCCTTGATGGCCACCACTCGATGAGCATAGCTCCCTGGACAACTCACCATAGGCTCTAACACGCCCATAAGTGTTCCAGTAGACAGCTTTCAATAAGGTGATGTACTTACTAGACACGCCTTTCAGTGACAGACATTGCCATAAGACTTCTCGATCAACGGAGTTAAATGCCGCCTTCATGTCAAGAAATACAGCTATTGTCAGGCGTCTGCAAGCGTGCCTATGTTCCAGGACCTGGCGCAGTGTGAATACCTAGTGTAATTTAACACGATAGCTATTTTCGTGAGTAGTGAAAGCAAACAGATTGGTAATAACCAAATTTCATCAATGAAGACAACCGCCACTTTAAGTATATAATAATACTCCCAGTATTTTAATTCGACCGAAATTTTTGCAACGCTGTTCCAGGAAAACTGCATCCATAACTTAGCAATCACTGATTCAAATCACATGATGAACTCTGTTCTCTTTTCATTTTCATGAGGACTTCCACGTACTCCTAATGACTAACTCTTTTGCCGTCAATTAATATCAATATACTATGTAAAAGAAATCTTAAAATACTGTAAAGTTAATTATTCTTACGTTGTTAAATGTTCTCTGTCAGTGATTACTGGTTTAGAAATACTACCATTCAATTGAGCATTTTGACGGAGTAGTTCCACTTCCTGACGAAGCTCCTCCATTTCATCCAATAGACGCAAATAATCGACCTTTGATACCACTTCTTCCTGTTGTTTTGTAAATGGTGTGGCTTTCAAATCACTATAACATCCTATAACATCATTCGTAAAATCTGATGCAGTGATACCACTGAAAGCAGTAACATCAGTTTCATTAGGCAGGGATTTTCTAGGTGTACTTGATAATGCTGGAGACACTGAATTTAGAACATCTGCAAGTGAAAATAAAAAATAAAGTATAAAACAGCAGACCACCCGTGTGAAGATTAAAGCTAACATTCAGAGAGAATGCGTAATCATAATCATAACTCAACAGTCAAGTAAAGTTTTACAAAACTAGGCTGCAGGTTGTACATGTTTTGTGAAGCCCACTTAACTATCCAAAGCTCGGTAAGTGTAGAGAATTTCGCAATCCCAGCCTATCTATTCTCAAGCCATACGTTTTGGTTAAGAAATTTATATTTGTTTTAAGGTTATTCTTGAGTTACTTCTCATTGTTAGACAACCCAAACAGTATGAAAACTTCAAGGGAATATTTTTTTAAAGAAAAGATTTATGATGTGTATTTTTAAACCCTTTCACTAAATTAGTAAACCATAATGAAGCAAATGCCATCTAAATAGTTTTTTAATTAAAAATAATAAAAGCTCATTAACACTAAAACAAAGGAGGCTCAATCACATGACAATTTACAAAAGGTTAATCCTTTAATTACAAGTACCATTACTATAACTAGGTAAATTTATTCAATCATAACAAACACAGAAATACTACAACTATTTGATAGCGGTTCACTTCAAAATGAGTAGTTTTTCAAACGGTTTTTAAAGCTTAGAATTATAGTCTTATCACATTTAGAATATTTAAAAAGTCCATGAGGCGATTTTGAATTCGACCAATAACAGATATTATTTCATTCACCGCAGCTATAAACCCAAATGGTTATCGATTTAAGTCAATTTTATGAGAAGCCTAAAACGATTCCATGTGCAGTAAGACGTTTAAAAGGGGATGCATTGTCGATTATTTCAAAACTTGACATGAACACTTTCTGACCTTACTTTTATCTATTTAGATTCAAATAAATAATAGTAAAATAGTAACATTCATCTGATCGTAATGGTCCTTTTCATTAACTACTAGACTAAAAGCAATATTCTGGGGAACATTACGTATTTTTCCCACAACTCCTATAGAATTCAGTGGTTAGCTCCGCGAAGAAACGTTTGAGGACAGTCTTTTTGCTTTCAGTATGTTCACAAATCTAATAGTGATGTAGTAGAGATCATCTAGAAATAACAGAAGGAACAGTTTGTGCCGTCATTTTTTGAACCAGACACCTGTTTATGTAGTTGTTTAACTTGCTGATGATCTAAAGGCAATTAGAAGTTCTTATTAACGACAGATACAACAGATTAACCTTCGAAGCTGCAGCTTAGATCGTATAGTTTGAGATCATATATAATACAACATAACAAACAACAACAGTCATAAGGTATACAACTTTTAATAGAATCTTCATAACAGTAAGTTAAGTCAAGCAAACGTAAACAAATAAAGTGTGTTTTGGCATTATCCGGATTTTAGACAGCTTTCTTTACTACTCACATGCAAGAGAAGGAAGTGTTTGACAAGTGCAGAAAACTAAACCCAATTTCGATGAATCGAAAAATAAGTGTAGTGAAATAATATGAATTAGTTTTATCTCAGAGATCCTTAATAGCTACTTACAAACTAAAACAACTTTTTTTATTTTGAATATAGAAAAATATTTCAGTACTTTAATCGATTTCAAACAGAAAACTTGATAAACCATACAGCATTAAAACACTTATTCCATTTTTAGTAGATTTTCTATTCCGTCCAGTTCCTATGTTCGCCTTATGTTTGTCAAAACATTCAACAAAATACTTTTTTCGCTGACACCTGTATTAGTTAAACTCCTTTGTGTTTGATGACCTTGTATCAATGTCCCTGTACTGTTAACCCATTTTCCAGTATGAACTGTATTAAGGTATGTAAAAGCTTTTTTCATTGTTGATATTAAAACTGTCGTAGTGATAAGCAGTAGAAGCGAATCTTCAAAATATACTAAATATACATCATTTAACTTCAAATCCTTTTGTTTTGTTCAACTGTGTAAAGGGAACGAATCGCATAATGATTGTCGCCTTACGCTCGAGATAAAATATTAACGATTTCAATTATTCCAATATACTCTTGATAACTGAATATAAAATAACTAATCACAGCTGAATCTGTTTTACACAACTGAACGAGTAATGAAGTGAATAAATTTCAAAAAATAGCAAATGAATCGATAAATACTAAGCCAATGATATTCACTTATTGATCAGACAAGTACATTTTTTATGAGAGGGAAGTGGATAGAAACTGTACATAAGATAATTAACTTTCTTTTCATTCACATCTAATGTTGTATTGAGAATGAACAGGTATTTTGAAGCGATATCTTTCAAACCAACCCATGAAAAAGTTTTCAGACAATTATCATTGAATAGTAATGATGGATAGTGGCTAGCAGTGGAATCCAGGATGCGGATTTCATCCTATTTTGGACTCAGATCCTGGATTCCATTGCTAACCAATACCCATCATTACTATATAGTTAAAAACAGGCAATATCGAGGCATCCATGCAGCAGTCCATATGCCAATAGAGACTGATCAATTCGGTTCAATCAACGACGATATAATCCAAACAATAATAACAATTATCACTAAAACTGAACAGGCTTGTTTGTGAAACAGATGATTTTATTTTACCTTACTAGTGCCTTCTGGTGCAACAAAAAGATGTGTCTGACAGTCTAGGACGTGACATTTCAGGTGAATATTAGATAAGATTCGTTTTACCTTTCAAATTCAACTTTATCCAAACCGTAAAACTAAGAGTGAACTGGCTTTTATGGAAAGATAACGAAACCTGCATATTTCAACAGATATCTAAATTAATCATCAGAAGATCATTTGCCCACAAAGGTAACAGTGGTTAGAAATATGATCAACAAAGCTAACCATCTTGTAGAGGATGAAAAGAAAGGGTTTAAGTTAGCATGTTATACACTAAAAGCAAATAACTACATCAAGAGCTTTGTAAAACTTATTTTCAATAGTGAAGTTAGTAATGTAGCGAAATATCCTCCGAAGATCTGAATAAACACCGCGGTAATTCTATATCGTAAGGAGACTTGGGAAGAAGTAAGATACATTAACAAGTATTATATGAAAGTTTAATTTTGTGCGATAAATACTCCACATTACATTTAAATGAAGGTTAAGGGTGTAATACCGAATGCAAATCAACAGAACTGTATTTTTTTGAAATAACGTAGTATATATGAAGAAGACATTGAAGCAGGTGAGTGTGAAGGTAAAGAAGCACAGATTATGTTCAAAGTAGATTTCAAAAAGCTGAAATGTTATGAATCGGGATAACAAATCGGCAATCGCATTGCATTCAACAGAAATGGAACGCAACTGAACTTGATGAGACAAAGGTTTGAGAGTAAATTTCGGGTTATGCTAAGAAAGAGTGGCTAAAAAGAGGTTATGCAGATGGCCAAATTCAAATAGTTTGAATAGACAAGATGGAGTACGGTTACATGTGTCTTGACAACTACTTATTAACTGGTAGAAATGATGCTCCTTGCGTTTATTTTGATTATCTTCGGATTAACATCAGCACACAATCTCCTTTGATTCGATATATTACTATTACCACCGCCAACATTATTATTACTTTTTATTCTGACAATTCAATAAGACAAAACCTAGTAGGGGGCTTTGTGGTGAGTCAATGACTTCAAGAAAGTATTCATACTACAAAGAAACAGCCGTCCATTGGGTTTTCGACGGTTCTCCAACTGCTACCAGTGCGTCCAAACTTACAGAAGTGATATTACATAAAATATAAAATGTCTATCTCCACTTCTATTGTTCATTCTCATAATAGCTATGACGTCATTTGTGACCTTTATTGTCTCATATGTAACAGGAGAGGAATATGACACACACACACACACACAGCATAACAAGATACATATGACTTCCCTGTGACTTATAATCAATACTTTGAAAACAATGATCAGACAAACAGGATTACTTGCATGTTTGTGAGCTGATATATGCCGTCAATTCTTTTTTATTTTGGTAATATCGGTAAGGAAGATTGGATCACACTTCCGCAAGAAATGCTGAGATCATTTTACGCCAAACACGCAGAGATTTACACAAATATAACCCATATCATATAAGTGAATTAATTTACACTGGCCTTATAAGCACACAAAAGAAAGGAAAGCTGAGAACAGAATCGTCACTAGCACCTTCTTTAATGAAGCCCGAGTCGAATTTCGCTAGGTCAACCTAAGTTTTTAGTCACCTTTTTAAATGACCAACGTATATGATGCGTCTCATTTTAACAGGAAGCAGTAATTCAATTTCTTCTAAGATATTCGTGACGAAATGGTTTAGATGCTTATAATTTCACTTTTGATTAGTCTTCAGTAGTTGAGATCTTGCAGTTTCGAAGCAATCGGTTCTTGTTAATGAAATGATATTTCTTCTTCTAATATTGATTATTGCATTTCAGTGAGCCTCTGATTAAAACCATTATTCATTACTTTTACTCACATCTGCTATAATTGATTCAAAATAGCAATTCATCTCTATAGGAGGTTGCATAACAGTAGATCAAATCTAATGGTCACGATAAGATACGCTGATAAGTCAGATACCTAGTGAGTTTAGCACCACACTAAAATGCAAACCCCGTATAAGGACAAAGCAGCAAGAGTAAACGTAAATTTCTTATGCGACACAAGCAAATAAGCAGATTGTTAAACAGCAATTATAAGTCTCAGCAACATCATGAGACTCCATCACTTTTCTTTATCTAACGCAAAAAAAACGTTTTACAACCGTATCATCTCAGATCATCAATTTTGAAAACAAAATTTAAATTCAGATGTTTATTGCCTACATTGCTGAGAACTGTAGTTGGGATATGACACCTAGAAACAACAAACTGTAAATGAAGTTGAATGGCAAACATCAACACAAAAACAACGGCTCAAAACGTTGCACAAAAGTACATCTCCCTTTAGGTTGTAATGTTTTGTGACGGCACAGAAAGAGAATAGCGATAAAAGTAGGTAGAAAGATATTTAGATGAACAAGAAATAAGAAGAGAGTTGAATACGAAACTTGACCGAAATTCTTGGCGAAAAAAAAGAACAATAATTGAATGACTAATTAAAAATATCTAAAAGACATGAAGTGTATCAATGTAAAGCGAACGTCTTCAACCATACATGGGTAGTGGTGCGAGGACGCCAATGATCAAAAGCCTATAACAATCCACCTTCATCGGTCAGGTTTCAAAGTCACCATAAACACCAGTCAGTTCAATTGGCTTTATAACAGACAGACTAACATATCCTCAGTTGTATAAATGAAGCAGAGTGACGAAGACCATAGATTTTTTAATTTTTGGCAGGATTTTGTCAACAAACAAATTGCTATGATGCGACTTCCCGAGTAAATGAAGTGGTCAGTACAGTGAACAGCTTTACTATCTGTTCTTAACGTCAGCGTTGATGAAGACTAATCCTACAACCCCACTTCATACTTGAAAGGTACGAAACGACAGCCGAAAACCCAGTTATTTACTCACTGTTTAGAGAAAACACGTGGTAAATCCTCTAACACTACGACGAAAATCGTTAACTACTCATCATACTTCCTGTAATTGAAACCACTGGGCCTATTTCGATAACCTGAGACAAAATCCGTTAAACAATTAAAATCGAATGATGTAAGTTGTTCAGGTGCTGAATCTCTCAATGCTTATCCTGAACCTCATTCCTTCACGTATTCTAGCTAAGGTAAAATCAACTCTTTAAAGAAGTTCCAGATAAGAATTTAAGATATCAACATCAAGTCTAGAGATTTTCTTGTCAAAAAGAGTAAATATTCATTTAGGAAATAACATTGGATATGCATGTAACATGAAAAATGTTGAGGGTAGACGACTTACCCAGAGAAGGTGAGCTAAGTGATGTTATAGCTTCCATGTCTTTCGAAGAAACATGATCTTCCAATGATGATTCCATAGCATGTTCTTGATTAGGTTGATTATCTGCATTGCTACTCCCAACTGTGGGAGTTGATTTGGCCATTTCTGTGTCTAATTTTTCTGTTTTCATCAAAAGTTCCAAATTATTTTCTCCTGAATTAGCTGTCGAATTTATTTCACAGGAAGGTTTCTCAGTGTCGTCATCTGTATCCTCCTCCAATGAATCAAAGTCATCATAAGAAAATGCAGTCAATGTTGTGAAACTTTTCGGATGATTCTATTTAAGATAAACATAAAGTAGAGACATGAGTGAATTTAGTTTTTCAGCGAAACCATTTGTATACGAAAATTCTTCAGTAATTATGTACAGAAAATGGAGAAGCATGTTTACAACCGTCATCTTTAAATAAATACCTAAATCTCCATACAACAATACTACTGGTCACCATAAATAGTAGTTCAATATTCAGGTGGGGGAGAAAGAACTTTTTTTAATTCTTACAACACAAGTCATATTGGTTGTTCAGCCTGAATATATGAAAGATACGGAAAACACTTGCTTTGAGCAATAACTTACTGGTAAACCACCGATCAGTCAAAAAGAGAGTGACGAGCGCGTAATACCGTGCACAGACTAGCTATAAGTAATAGTTTTGTCATAAATGTTCTCTGGATTTTCCTTATTGAACCAGCCGAGTCACTCATCAAACTGAATACTATAATTTAAATCAAATTTAATATATCACAAATTTTATAATTAATCATTCAACTTATTGTCTTTTCATCGGAATCTTTATATATGAACTACAATGCTACATTTTTTTTTGTATGTCGCTTAGCAGGTCGTTGATTGAAATACTGTTCTGTCAGTACCGTTTTGATCGCTTAACAGTAGCAATTATTCATCAGTGTTATACTTGATTGAACTATTCTGAAATCTGACCTACCGTGTAGCCTAACTACCTTCAACGTCCAGGTCTTTATGCAGATGGATGAGAAGATAGGTCAGGTTAGAATTATGGGAAACCTTAACAGTGGTGTGTTGTGTCTGAGAAACCCATATACAAGATTCCAGCGAAGTACCTCGTGGAACTTTTTTATATTTCAGCTCGAAAATTGAGCTATCCAAGAGCTTATCCTGGAATACTGTGGTGTTGGTAGTTAAGAATTGCTGGTGTCGGAGTCACACTAAGTGATAAAGATAAAGCGGCACTAGTTGACCGGGTTCCTATCATCAACCTCAAAATCAACATAGGACAAGGCATTACTGCGTAACGGTCCAAGTTGCCACACCTCATATCAGAACATGAAGTAACGAGGCAATAAAATGGAAAATGAAGAGATGAAAAAATCTGTTTCAACTGGTCTCCCGATAACGGTTGACCACAGATAGAAACAACAGGCCAGGAAAAATGTCTCTTTCCCTTACCATTTGAGCTTCGAGGAATTTCATCCTAAAGGTAGCTGAAGATTAATTCACAACCCAGTGTAGTCAGCAGATATTCCATTGCCAGCTGGGATTAAAATGAGTGGATCCAGCTTTTAAGTTCGCAGGAAAGCTCTTCTTGAGTTTCGGTGGTCATATTTCGCAAGTTTTGCAAGACATGCAAGAAATAAAGTCGTAATGAACAGGTCTCAGTAAGGTCATGGGTGTATTGATCACATGTTCAACCTTTGTCAGATGCCCGAACAACATCTCAAGTACCACAGTTCGATAATCACTATTTCTTGACATTAAAACAGCCTTCAGTTAGTTGGATAGGACTGTGCTTTAAAACTATCTGTTTAAGAAGGGGGCACTTGAAAAGTTTACTAACATCTTCAGAGCCATGTGCAACAACACTTCAGGTAGAGTGAAGGCATACAACCACCTATCTCAACTGTTCCAAACCAACAATCGGGGCAAACAGACTTTCCTATTTTGTTATTCCTCCTTAACTCTACTATCAATGATACTCTCTACATAGCCCTGAAAGCTGAGGTGGTGGTGTAGATTTGTTGCCAGGTCAACTAACTTTTAAAACCACATATTCGGATGACATCATCTTACTGTGTGACAACATACAAGCTACTCAAATCACATTTAATCAGTTGACGATGTGTTTATGAGTATGCTATATACACTGCACCGTTGAAGCGCAGATTATATAAAAAAGAATGAGAGAGGCTAGTGTCTCCACTCACTCATGCTGGTAGGCCTCTGGAAGTTACCAAAAATCCGTTTATCTGGGCAGCTCTGTGAACTATGACGTTTCTGCTCGGTATATGCTAATCTGAACCTTCTTTAGCGCTATAAATCTAGATATAAAAAGGCGAGTGTACAGCATATCCCTCTGTGAAATTTGGCTTTTATAGACAAGGATGTCCGATGACTCTGTGTTATATCACTGTTACCTCAATTGTTTGCATTCAGTAAGACCCCCATAAAAGTAATTCAGGGTATGGGTGGCACCCCTTAGGGACTGATGAGAATCATCACTCATTAAATGGTATAGTAGTGAAACATTGGCTTAGGTGGCATGAAGATATTAAAAATGCCACCCAAGGGACTCCCTACACCCCTCATTGTTTACCAACCCTACGGTTAGATGGAAAAAAGGTGAAAAGGTGGTTATGGGGCCGTGGTAAGAAGGGTATTTGTGACAAATTAGTATAATTTAAGGTCTTCAGACTACATAGATGGGAACCAAGAGATCATGCAACTCAGTGGCTTGAAACGTTATCGAATACGACTGAAAACGGGAACCAACAGCGACTGGATAGTAGCTCCTCAGTGTTTTACGTTTGTAAAAAGTAACACAAATGTGGTGGAAGCCTTTTTGAGAGTCAGTCAGTTAGTACCAACATAGTAGTGTACTTTGAGAAAGTAACGTTCTGATTACTCCTTTTTCTCTCATCGTGTATCTTTTGTCCCAAACTTTATAGTTTTATCATCTTGTAGCGCGTTTTTTGGTGGTTTCGTTGTACCACATTTGTGTTCCCAAAAAAGTTAAGGCTAATGATACTACTACTTTGTGGTGCAAGGAAATTCAAACCCATGACCCAACGATTGCCGTGTTACTGAACTACACAATTGCCAAAAGTTGTTAAAAGAAGCGAAGCTACGATTCATTGAAGAATCAACACAGCTTTTCTATTGTAATGTAGTTAAAACAGAATACCGGGACATTTCTGTAAAACGCCAAGTGTATATTTTTTTCTCTTTTATCAGGTATTAATGAGTGTTCCCGCATTTTGGGTTATATCTATGAAGCCATTTTATTACAGGTAAAAATAGAATCACGAAAACATTCCAGGTAAATAGATAATATCCTAGGAACACTGAAAAATGCGGAGGCAACCGGCTTAAATATAATTTATGTAAACCCATTACGTAATTACAAAGTTCAAGATACAGTACCAAAACTAATGTACTAGCAATATATCACTTAATACAATACTCATTTGTCGAACAAGTGTTTAAAATAAAATTTATGATTCTTTAGTTCATGGTATACAAAAATATTTTCTATAAAAATCCTGATAACTGTATCACTTATGAGACAAATTATGAAAGTGATCCACGACCTTGACAAGAGTTCACCCTTTTAAAATGTTTTTGTATTTACTAGTAACAAATTTTAAATCAGTAAAAACCTCTGTAGTCCTTGGTGATGTTACACGCTAAATTGTAGAGGATAGAGACTAAAACTCCGTTCGGTAGTTGAATAGAAAACACCACAGAGAACATAGCTGGAGGACACCATCAGTTTTCGAATGACCATGCACCCCAAGATTTTAGACATCACCTTAAAGAATGTTCAAAAGTCAAAGCCAGCTGTGACACCTTTCATCGCTCACAATAATTATGCAAATAGATTACAAAAATCCTAAATGATGTTTAAGAAGCATAAGAACTACAGTGAAACACGTATAAATGGAATTCTACAGTAAGCATTCTGAAGGGCTACAAAACAGATCAATAAAGAAGTGAGTCTTTCTTTAGATAGAGACATATACTTAACTAAGCTTCTCAATAAATTTTATTCACAATTTACGTCATCTTATTGTTTTGTCAAAGTTTATAAAGGGAACTAATTGTTTTAAATTTCTGAAAAGAAGACTCCCTCCGCAAACTATCAAAAGGTTAAATGAACTTGTTAACCTTAGGTGCAAAATTACCTCTGAAGGCGAGAAAATTGGATTTTACCAGTCATGTATTTCGAGTCATGTGTTTCCGAGACAGTCTTACAAAACTTTGAAATCTAATAAACTACAACCAAACATCTCTAATCCTCTGCGTCTTACAAATTCACATGTCGAAAATGGGCAGGATAAGTTGCATGATATGCTTTTACTCCACGAAAATGTATCAAATGTTCTATCGGATTTATCAATAATATGTCGTTTAAAATTCCTATAATTTTATGGTAATGTCATTCTTAAAACGAAAGCTAATATGCGTCGGAAGCTAAGCAGTTCACTTGACAGCAAAAATCATATTAACTATTTCCCTGTTGATCCGGAAAAGCACGTTACTAACCTTTCCACAGTGACACCGTTCACCTATCAGACGGAAGCCCTATCCCTTGAACTTAAATTTTGTGTTCCATGCACAGTTTGAAAACCTATATATAACCAGTTGAAACCTCTCGTCCCAACTTCAAGTGATGATCAGGGATGGCTGAAAGCCAAGATGGTGGATATCGCCCACCAGTTTTGTGATAGCCATCAGAACCAGAAAAGCATTCTAACTTCTGCACATTTTAGAGCTATGAAGGAACTACGAGAGAACCCCAATATTATTATCCTCATACCTGACAAAGGTTCCGGTGTCGTGATCACGGGTAAAATCGAATATAAGTGTAAAATGTCATCGATTCTTGATGAAAATAAATTCACTAAAAATTGTTCTTCAGAAGACGTACAATTGATACAGGGAACTGTGACCGCTAATCTAGTGAAACTGCTCGAAATGAACGTTATTATTAGAGAAAGATTAGACTTACTGAAACCAACTGAACCTCAATTCCCACATCTTTACGGTTTCCCCAAAGTACACAAACCCAACAACACCTTACATCACATAATGTCAATGTGTAAGTCGCCAACGCATGGGCTTGCCCAGTAGCTAATGGAATTATTGGGTCCTATTACGAAGCAATTCTGTAAGTATTCCTTAAAAGATACATTCAAAGTAATCAAATGCCTTGAGGATGTCAACATAAAAAGCAAATTTGTGTTCATTTGACGTTAAATCATTATTTACCAATGTCCCTTTGGTCGAGACAATTGACATTTTATGTGATTATATTTCTGTGCATAATTTTTCGATACCCATTTCTTTGGATCACTTAAAAGAGCTTTTACTTTTATGTACAAGCAATAATGAATTCACCTTTGAGGGCGAACATTTGCGCCAGGTTGATGGTGTTGCTATGAGAACTCCTTTAGGTCCCCTTCTAGCTGACATATTTGTCGCACGTGGAGAACTTAGCCGAGAACCTAATAGATCAAGTCCATCTGTATCGAAGATATGTTGACGATATCCTGATTATTTGTGAAAACTCAAATCAGTCTACTTCAATTCTAAACCGATTGAACGAAGTACAGAATAGCATATCCTTGACATGTGTAAGAGTGGAAGATGACTGCTTGCCGTTTTTGGACATATTAATTAGTCGAAGGCAGGATGGATCCATATCTGAACTACCATAGCTTTTGTCCAGTTCAGTACAAGCGAGCGTTAGTTAGGTGCTTATTCAGCAGAATTCAACGAATATGCACAGAGGATACTTTAGAAGATGAAAGAGGAACACTGACTGATATATTGTTGGAAAATAACTATCCATCAACATTTATCAGGTAGAACAAAATAATCAGAGCGCCAAAAGTAGATCTTCAGTTTGTCCCAAAGAAGGATGTCTTGGTCGTGTTGTGTTCTCTGAGCATAATACGACCGAGACCATCCATCTAAGCTACAAATATATTCCCCACTATCTCAAAGAAGCATATCTTTATCAGTCTTCCGTACACATATGACTCTCATAGTGCAATCCATAAGCAAGACTTAACGCTGTCGTCAAAAGGACTTACTAAGTAGCTAGGGTTCGATTAATAGAAACCACAAAGCCCATATATTCCCCAAAACCCCCACACCAAGTGAACGACAATGTCACATCCCACTGTATCTACCAATTCAAATGTACGTGTGGTGACACATACATAGGTAGGATTAACAGATCCATGCAACGTAAGGGTCTCGGAACATATTCCAAAGTGGCTTCAGAAGCAAATTAAATCACCTAAACTCATAAATGTTGGTAGCAGACGTCCAAGTTCTTCAATCGCCAAACATATCGTTGAGATAGGTCACAGGATTGATGTGGCTACTTCCTTTACACCTATTTACAAAACGTGTTGGGGACAGATCCTTAAATCTGTCGAGGCCTTAGCTATTAAAAGTTTAAACCACTTTTGTGTGTTCATAAACAATTTGTCACATTAAATCTTCCTTGGTAAATTCCATTATGAAAACCAATTTCGATGTACTATTATTTTCGCTTTAAATATTATTTAATCAATTAGAATCTCAGCGCTTTTATCGCCATAGTAAATCAAATGGCGCCGTATTACTACGTCTCGCTCTCAAATGGAACATGCACTTACAGAACATTATCAAACTACTCAGAACCTACGCTTATTCACATTAATCAAAATATGATTCAACTACACATAGAATAGTCCTATGGAAATCAAAAAGAAGGCTAGCTTCACAGTTAATAAACACCACAGAAGTTTGATCTTCATTGTCATTACTAATATCAACAACAATAGTAGAAGGACTCTCTCTTTCTTATGAAATCTCCATATTTAAGTGGTTACTTGCTTTTAATAGCATGGACGCTTAACGAAACCGCGAAAATAATGAATTTGATGGTCGTTTTGTGTTCACAATGCTTTTATATTTAACTGCGGATATTTTACTAAGAAAAATTCGGTTCGGGTGTAAAATATGATTTTTCTGATTGTTTGACTAAGAATGTCTAAGATTTTGTTTTTGTTGAACTCATTAACTGATCAGTGATAAAATTAGCATGTGCTCTATTTCTCAAAGCTCCCCAGAGGAGGGTTTAACATTTATTCACCTTCCAAACAAACGTTTAGCACTTACATGAATTAAAGCTCCATTTAAGTGGCACACGTAATTCTTAGTACAGCATACACATCAAAGAAAGAAATAAAACTGATGATCACTACATTTTATGAAAAATGTATGCTACCACTATGCTAATCAGAACAATATGTTTTTAGCAGTAAAAAGTACATCTACGTTACCTGTAAAGGTCTCTTATAAGTCAGAGACATAGGAGGTCGAGTAGAATCGGAAGTAAGATTCTGTTGATTAGTTGCAGGCTCACTCAAACAAAGTAACTCGTTACTAACGGATTTCCTGGAGTTGACACTACGTGTTGCGGCGATAACAGCACGCTCAGCTGCTCGAACACGCTCTTTAGCTTCTGCCAGTTCAGCATCTCGACTACTACGCAACTCGCTCATCTGGGCTTCCAACAACCGTTTACTGAGAACAAGCTCAGTAACTGAAATAAAATGTGAAAACAAAAGAATTACTCTGAAGTATATATATATATAAAGCAATAAATAAATGATGCAACTCTTTCCGGTACATTTTCTAGGTAACAGGCTATGAGCTACACACTGTGTGATGATACGACCTGGTTACCCAGATTAAAGTAGGTGTACGAGGTAGTGGCTAAAAACTGTTAGATGATACATCTTAACGCAGGTGAATACATCATACCAAATGTTAAAGAAAGTTACGTGATATATATATATATATATATATATATATATATATATATATATATATATATATATATATATATATATATATATATATATATATATATAACGTATTCGTATTCTAATTCACATTATATTCATGTAATTTTCTGATACAACAAATCCAGACCAACAGTTGTATGCAAGCGATTGCTACAAGTGTATGCATTCTTAAACGTAGATTGAAAATGCTTAAGAATGCATACACTTGTATCAATCGCTTGCAAACAACTGTTGGTCGGGATTTGTTGTATCAGAAAATTACATGGATATGATGTTTTGAATTCGAATACGAATACGAAATACGTTTCATGTAGGTTCTGTACCATAATAACTTCAAATCAAGTCCGCAGTTAATTGGCAATGATTGATTCTTTACTATAGATAATACGATGAAAAATTAGTGTAATCAGACCCTTTGGTTGCATTTACCAACGAACAAAGACTAATGTGAAAACTAACTAGATATAGTGGTATTACTTATCGAATACTAGTCTTGAATCGGCCACGGTCGGTTACGCTACAAAGTATAACAGACGGTTAGAGTCAAAAAAGCTAGTAATACAGAGTGTGTAAGGAATAATGGCTGTTACTTTAAAAGGTTGAAACGAGTAACTGAGATAACAGTTCTATGACGTTCAAATATCAAATGAGCAACGATATTTCAAAAACTATTCGCTCCCAACTGTCTGTCTTTAGTACTTTAAACCACTAAGTAGATGTTGTCACTATGAAGGTCAATACCTGTGAAAGGTTACTTTATCTCAAAATTTGTTTGATTTAGAAAAAGATAAAAAAGATCTACCTGAATTCATCAATGATGTGGAAAATCCACTACAAGCGAACTTACTTTGTTCGTCAGCTGCTTGCAAAGCTGTATGCAAACGTCGATTATTGTCTGTGGCTCGCTCCAAGCGAAAATGGACCTCAGACATACATTCCGAATCTTCTAATTCTGCCCGAATCTGTTGTAATGCTTCAAGCTCAACGGAAAGATTAGCTTTCAGTTGCAATGCACCTTCTATTTCTTCCAAAAGCTCTGATGATAAACAAAATAATAAAACCTAGCATATGAATAAGATCGCTAAAAACGTTACGCTAAATATATGTAAATAAAAGAATAGGTATTCAAATACAATCATGACAATGTTTTTCTAACTTGGTTACAGATAAATAACACTATTCATAAGAAAATACTGGTCAAATAGAAAGGTATGATGAATATATAACTAAGGAATACTCTTCAAGAAAAAAAAATACTAGATGGATATGACTAAACAGAATCAAATTGTTTCGGATCTTTTACAGCAAACAGAGCTTTCCATTTGACAGCTAGATGATCTATAGACCCACTGAATCTTACTAATCTACCACGACTTAACTGCATAATCAAGATGGATACTTTATGTATTGGAAGATGATAAAATGAAGAAAGCATGAAGCAAGAATCACGATACAGTGTTACTGACAATCTACAGGACGTCAACGCACAGCAGTCGACACAAAGTGATAAATGATTATGATCACATAATGAACAAATATTGAACCTACAGGAATTAACAAAAACCACGGTCCACAGAATGACTTTTCATACACATAAATGCACGTGTGTCATTCAGTAAACCTACGGTTCATTGGTCTAGGCACCTTTAACTACTGAGTAACGGGTTTGAATACTGCTGTAACTTCAGAGGTTAATGTCACCAGATAGTATTTTTAGCCGTCACAAAACGGGCTTGGTCCACTGGCTATTACACTAACGTGAATGTGGTTATTGAATGCAGTTCTTTTTCGAGGGGTATGTTAAATGAACATTTGTAATGAAACTTATTTCGGTCAGATTGAATAATACACACGTGAAGAGCTACAAAAATCGACCAACTAATCAATCCAAAGCGAAAACTTTACTCATAGGCATAATCCTCTGAGATTTGACATTTATTATGAAGGATGCATATTTGCATTCAAATGACACTAAAAACATGCAAGTAAATCTCAATGCATATAAACTAGTGATAACGCAACTGAGCAACTAATTACAGGTTTATGTGAAGCTTTACAGCTGCATTAGCGCAAGATTTAAGCATGCAACGAAAATCGAGTCGAATTCACTCAGCGACCTTGTGAACATTCATGCACTAGGCAATGAGCTATGCCTGTTATTCAAAGGTTAGTGATACTACCTGGCTGCCCAAACCTCAGTAAGTGGAGCGGTGTTCGAACCCGCAACCTTAGCATGTAACTAATCACCGGGAAGTTGTATTCAAAAGAATCAGCTACGAGTTCAACTAGTGTGGTTGCAAAGTTTGTGAAATTCAAAAATCGGAGTTTTGCAGAGATTTTATGCTGCTTTTCACTTACCCAGTTAGTTGATATGCACTTTCGCAGTTATGAATACCCCCTCAACTTTTAACACGTATATAACATCCTATAACCTCACTTTATCCACTTCAGTCGGAATTATCAGAACCTTCGTCTTCTCACTCTTAATTAATCAACACGATAATAAGTGCTATGCCGACAATGTTTGTCATAAAAACACTTAACATGACAACGCAAATGAAACATTTTTGGGTATGTAACAATGACGTTGCCAAATTAAATGAACACAAGATTGTGTTGACTGATTCTTATATTTACGCTTCTCTGAAACTTATTGGGTCCCTGCACTTCAACAGTGACTGTTCTTATAACCCAAATATATAAACAACGCAACACATGCTGATAAATTCATACATGACTTTCTTAGTAAAATAATTTCCCAATTATAAACAACGGAATCGAATCGAAATGCAATCAGCAATCACGTGCACGTTTGTGCGATAGGCAATGAGCCATACATACTTTTACGGCTGCTAGTAATGCTTGCCTCTTCAGACCTAGGTAGATGGAGTAGGGTTTGTACCCACGACCAACTGGTTGGAAGTCCAGTGCTTAAACCAATAAGCCACAGCTCCATATCAAAAAAGATGTGACAAGCATATTATAAAAGTCCTATTCGTTACCACGGATATATCATTAAAAGTTATATGAAGATCATTCGACTTTACTGATAGCCGCTACCTTGACACAGTTGGTGGGGTGGGATGTCTCAATGATCCAACAAGCTACACTGGCTGGAACGCTCTTTTCTTGAGGTCCTACCATACCACAAAAATGTGTTGAATGGTGGATAGTTGCTATAGCACTCCAAATAGTTACGTTATGATGAGTTCGAAGGCGAAGTTGTACTGCTGGCTGGACGATGTTTGACAGCGGTAAGTTGCTTGTCACCGATGATCAGCAGTACTATGTTGATACTGCCTTCCCTATGTGAACTGCAGGGTTATAAAAGTTCAGCCCTAAAAATAGCACACTCCTCCCTATCCTGTGGTATTCCGGTAACGACAATACTAGTTTTTCTTATTTGGCGTTAGTGTAATCAAATCTCGACACAACAATCCTTAAAAGATCATGTGTGATAGGCTTTGCAGTCAAGCCAAACTATTCCTTTTTTTCTCTTTCGGATACCTTGCAGGAACAAAATCTACGGTGTGTGCGACTGGGAGCTGTCAAACACCCGAACACTTAAGGTACTATACACAACGCAATCAGCCAAAACCTAACCTACCTACGTTTGTCTACCTCCTTTTCATCAATTCCTGATGACAGTATTAGGCCTCTTAAAACTTAGCTAACCTCTTACCACGCGACCATTGCTAGCGATCTAAACCGGCAAAAAATTCTTAGTCTCTTAAAGCTCAACTGTCGATTTCCCATTGCAGCTTTCAATTTCTGAACCCAATGATACAACGAAAAATACACATCTCTTGTTAAAACTCCGAAATCTTAAGTCGTGGATGTACGCTAAGTTTTTGAGACATACGAAACCTGAGTGTGGTTATTAGCTTGACCTCAATTGCCCATTGAGGTGAAGCTTCAAAATTTACTTTACGAGTATCCAGGAGTTCAATGGCTAGCTCTTTTGGACTCACTGGTGCAGACGCAGCACTAAATTGTAGAGCGGAAAGCGTACACGACTGGAAGCCAGTCAATAACCATCTTTGTGATATCCGACTGAACGGATATGTATGAAATAGGAAGGATCGTCTGGTTTTTACTTAATAATAATACGTTAGCTGCTAATGTGAACGGATTGAACGAACGAAAAGTTTCTATGAAAAAGCCTGGGGATTAATGTCATGCAAGATCATAAAACTTGCATGATTAGCATTTAAAAGCAACTCATTATGTGTATTTTTCACTAGTCACCACTGGCTTTTTCCCACTCCGCGACATAAGTGAATTGAGATAATATGAAAATACTAGTAAGGTTGAAACCATGAGAGATATCACACCCAAAGCTTCGTTAATTGTCATCATGTCATGGCTACGTAGGGGTTATGACAGTATTTCGCTAAGGTCTTTATTCAAGAACCTTTATTGGACAAAACGCAAACAGCAGAAGAATTGAAGCAAAACAGAATACACACTTTGGGCATAGACTACAACGTAAACCTTGGAGCTGTAAGTACTCGATATGGGAAAGTCAAAAAGACCAGAAGAGCTACACTAAAGGTTACTTAGAGGGCTTGCACCACAAATAGCCAGTAGATTGAATACAATATTCAGATTAACTCTAAGTTAATGGGAGGATGTGTAGCCACGCCTAACTACATGAGAGTCTTTAGGTAGTAGTAGTAGTAGCTTGACTAGTACTATCTTTTAAATCTTACAAAGAGCAACCGACAAAGTCATTGAGCCTCACCTGGCAAGCAGTATTCAACTGTCAACTTTGCAGCACAGTTTTCGCAGAAGGTCGTAATGGCTCTCAAACCTCCTCACAATTAAAGAACTAAAAGTTTGTAGATATCACTCACATAGACTTTAGTAGGATATCTGACAACCTGCCCTAATCCAAGCTGCTCATGAAGTTGAAAACTTTTGGAGTCACTGGAAATCTACTCATGTGGCTTAGAGTTCCTTCCCAGTAGGAGATTGACAGTAAGGACAAACTCCACACTCTCCTCCCATAATTTGACACAGAAAGAAGTACTACATGGTAGTTTTAGTTGTCTGCTATATTCTCTACGCACTGATGAACTACTGAACACAAAGCCTGTCATTTTTTTCCATGCTAGTGATAAGAGGTGGTAACTGAGAGATAGTGATGACATATGCATACTTCAGACACATGCTAACAGTTTGATGACCTGATCAGAGAATCGGTTCATACGTAATAACGTACATATACAGCCATGTACATAAGGCGTAAAAACAAAAACACATCGGCGAGATATTTCTACGCACAGTACTGTCTCCCAACGACCTAAAAACAATATGTCCAGGTCCCAATACTTTACCTGGAGCGAGTCACATCTAGAAATATGTTAGAGGACATGATATGAAAGAAGACTGGTTTGACTCACAAGAAATGACTTCAGAGGCTGAATATCTTTCATTTGTCATGTTGTACGATGTTTACGTAGGCAGAGTTAGTTATATCCTATGGGATTCTTACACATGACTTTAGATCTAATCTTTCTTCTTTTACTATCTTGAAACAAATTTAGACACGCATTCAGAAGTCAAGCCTACATTGATGCAGTAGACAATGAGGGCTAAATATGCTATGTTATGGCCCACAGGAAGGTGGTTGGGGTGATGTCTGAATTCCTAACCCATTGGCTGACAGTCGAGTTACTACAGCAATGAGCCGGAGCTCAACGGGAGGACATCATAGAAGCGTAAAAATTGGTTATAACTATGAATTACTAATTCTCGCGTCACTTGGTTATCTCTTGGAACTAACACATGCGCACTATTTTAACGGGTCGGCTTGCTAACAGTTTTGCTTTACCTTTGTACTCCAAGAACGTAGGTGAGTTTGATTCGCAATTAACTCTAATAATTTCAAGTGAGCTAACAGGTTTACCATCATGTTTAGTTACAAGAGTCACTTAATTGCTCGTAAAATCGACGTATGAAAAATAAGCATCACTGCGAGACGTTTGTCTTTCGAACTTTTGGGTCAAACGCTTACCAATATATGATACACTGGTTTCGATGCATAGTCGTATATATATTTTTACTTAAATTCAAGTTTCTAGAGTTCTAGCGATATTTTACTCCATGAGGCAATAAGTTGTTAAATACATGATAAGGTAATGGATTGTAACTTACCGTTGTAGGAAGGCTGAGTGAAGTCCGCCGACTTTGGCCTAGATATATCCATACTTTGACAGTTAGACGCATTGTTAAAGCCTGAAAATCGCCTTTGCAGGACGGCATACTTTTCTTCATAGCGTCTACTCCATTCTGACAAAATCTGGGACAGGCTCGTATCTTTACCTGCCGACAATTCATGGTAAACGACCTCCATGAACTCAGCTGTTTCCGACTGACCAGAAGAGAGATGCGCCTTCTCCAAGGACTTCCTTCGATGTTCCAATACCCAATATCTTTATGTTGCGGTTGTATAGACCAATATATTCTTTTAAGGTCTTTTAAAACGGTTCTTTGTGGATCTTAATGCAGCATATTTGCTTATTGGTCCGCTGTAGATCTGATAAGCTCAACGGGGGTTGGATGTTGTTTGAATTTGAAGGGATGGGTATGATATGTCCTAGGAAGCGGTGCAAATAGGCCCTTGGAACATCGTATCACCAGACAGTTTCTTGGGCTGGTCATAAAGAAAGGAAGGGATAATCAGGACCTAACTACGAAGAACGAACGAGAGGAGGGGAAAAAAACAAAAGTACTGAAAATATAAACGCATGTAAATTCGGGAAGACTGGAAAGAAAACAATGATATGAAGTACCTTTACGAATAGTTTCAGAACTTAAACAGTCCCAGGAAAGGAGATAAACGGCGAGAATCGTAGCAGAGACAACGGAAATGAAGGTAGTGACATTAGCATTGGTACTGTGACTGAAGGGGTAAGATATATAAAGCTAATTATATAAAGATATATAAAGCAGAGTTTCTAAAGGTTGTTAGTTGTATGGGAAATACTTTCACTGGGCAAACTTTCATCTCCAGAAAAAGTTGGGTCACAATGTTCCTTTCCGGTGATAAAATTCTCCAGGTGAATGGCTAACAAATACGTTGGACTAAAAGGTCAAACATCCAACTTCAATAAAGTCTAGAAAATTAACATTTTTTGAGCCCTAGTTTCTTAGGGTTGGATTTTCTCGTTCTTTTGCCTTCTGTAGTGAGTTTGGCAATCTCTGTAGCTTTCCTACCTTTCTCTCCGGTCATATGGCTACTGTCTGTGGATTTGTTTTTGCAACTTGTGGACTGAATTCGCTCAGGCGCCCAGGGTTAGTGCTAAGATTAAGAAACCATTTGATTCCCGCCTGTCAACGTGCTTGAATTAGGATAGCAGAGTCGGAGTAAAAGGGTTGTTAGGATGCTCTCAAAGAATAAATACCGATAAGGATTGGTGAAGTTAGTGGATGGCAGTCAAAAGATAAGGCAGACAAACTAAAACATGCAGATAGCAGTAACAACGAAAAGGAAGACAACGATAAAATAGCGAAAGGTTCGTGAGATCACTAGCACTCTGTTTTAGTCACTTTAAAGTTGCACAAACTGACATAGTTATCTAACCATTTTTTGGATGGACATATAAAGAGGGATGTAGCTGTCAGACAGTAATGCACTGTTATTATTTATATTTACTATTATTTGTCCCGTGGGTCCCTAGTGGAACATAGGGCTTCAGCAGCATGTCTCCATTCCACTCTGTTCTCAGAAATCCTTTGCACCTCGCCCCACGACTGCCCACGACCTCTCATTTCCTCCTCACACGATCTCCTCCATGTCACCCTCGGACGTCCAACTCGTCGTTTTCCATCAGGCTTCCACTCGAAGCCCTGGCGCGTGTCGCCCCCAAATGGTCTTCTTAGTGCATGCCCGATCCATCTCCACTTCTTTCTGTATATTTCTTCAGCGATAGGTTCCTGGTTGGTTCGTCGCCCGGCCAGAGTTCCTTGTTCCTTATCCCTTCTGGTCATCTGGGCATCAGTAACGAGCGTCGGTAGTTGCCGATGAATGCCTGCATTTTGTTGGAAATGCTTTTCGTGACGCGCCAGGTCTCTGGACCATATAGAAGCATTGACTTGATAGTGGTGTTGAAAATCCGAATCTTGTTCACGCTTTATGCTGAGTGCAGAAAGACCTCCACACTGGTTTCAGGTTAATGAAAGCCTGTCTTGCTTTTCCGATCCTGGCTTTGACGCCCTCGTCTGTGCCGCCTGTAGTTGAAACAGTGCTGCCTAGATATGTGAAAGAGGCTACTTCCTTTAAGTTTCTCCCGTTGATGGTGATTGGAACTTGTTGGTGGTAGTGGTGGTGGCGTTGGTTGGGTATCACCATTACCTCTGTCTTCTCTATATTCACCTGAAGTCCCGTCTTCGCTGCCACACCTCTTCCGTCAACTTGTTTGTTCTTCCCTGTGGACCTTCGACTTTATGCGATATTACACACAAATCATCACTACAATCCAAATCTTCTAGAGTCTTTCATCGGTCCGGCCAGCGTATGTCCCTCTTCTCGCTCCCCACTGTTTCTTGCATGATCCAGTCCACCACAATCAAGAATATTATGGGGGATGGTAGGCAACCTTGTTTCACTCCTGTCCTCACTTCAAAAGCATCACTGAGCTGAGCTTCCCATTGTGAATTACTTGGCTGGTTTGTGGCGTCTTCATATAGTTGTTGAATGAGGCGGATAAAGGTTTGCGGTATTCCGTAGTATTGAAGCAGTTTCCAAATTACTGGTCGGTCGACGCTGTCAAAGGCCTTCTCAAAGTAGATAAAGTTGAGGTGAGGTAGAGAGTTGACTGTCGTTCTATGCTTTGTTCTATGATGATGCGTAGGGTAGCGTTACAATTTGGTCCGCACATGATTTGTACTTCCTGAATCCAGCATGCTCCGGTCGTAGTTTTGAATCCAGCGCATCATTTAGTCTCTCTAGGATGAAGCGGATTAATATTTTGCTTGCTCTGGGTGGGCAGGAGCATGATTCCGCGCCAGTCCTTGCAGACACTCACGTCTCCCTCCTTTGGGAGTTTGACAAGGTAGCCCTTCTTCCACTCGGTAGGTCATTTCCTTCCTTGCAAACCTTCTGCAGTAGTGGTGTGAGCATATCCGTTGTTGTCTCTGTGTCTGTTCTCAGTCCTTCTGGCGGGATTCCATCTGGTCCTGCTGCTTCCTCGCATTTCAGTAGCCTTATGGCATTCAGAGCTTTGACTTTCGTCGGAGGGCTTGTGTTCACTGGTAGTTCTGAGGCTGCAGATGGTATTTCTGGACGACTTGCAGGTGGTGGTCGATTCAAGAGCTTTTTGAAGTGGTCAGCCCATCGTTTCCTTTGTTTCTCTTCTTTGGTAATTATATCTCCTTCATCATCTTTTATTGGTTTCATCTGTGTTGATCTGTTCCCTCCCAGATAGTGACCTGGTTATTTGATACAATGTTGTCAGGTCTCTGCGTCTCCTACCAGCAGCCTGTTCTGCTTCACTTGCCAGTGTGTCGTAGAAGTATCTTTTGTCTTTCCGTGCACTCTTCACTTCTTTGTCCAGTGTTTTATACATTGTGCTCAGTTCCTCTTGTCGTTGAGCATCCTCGCACTGGCTTGTCTTCTGCTGCATCATCTTCCTCTCTTCTGTCAGCTTCCATGTGTCCGTCGAGATCCATTCCTTGTCTTGCTTTTTTTTCCTTCCTAACACGGTTATTCAGGTTTCTTTCCATATAGCTTTCAAAGAGTTCCAGTGTTCTTCCACACAGGTTTCTTCAGGGATGCTGTTCGATATCTCCCATTTTGTCTTGATGGCTGTCGTGAAGATGTCCATTGTAGTTTCATCCTTCAACCCAGTTTCTGAGTGTTGAACTTGAACTGTAGTCTATCACCAACTTCTGTGAAGGCTTTCAACTTGATTTGGAAGGTTCCTTGCACCAGATAATGGTGTGAACCCACATCTGCTCCTCTTCTTGACCTTGTTTCAAGTAGACTGCATCTCCATTTTCTTGAGATTGAGTTAAAGTCGATTTGATTTTTAGTATGTCCATCTGAAGAAATCCATGTTGCTTTGTGGATATCCTTGTGCTTGAACACAGTGCCTCCAATCACGAATTCGTTGGATGCACAGAAGTCTGCAAACAGTTCTCCATTCTCATTTATCATTTCACCGAGCGCCTCTCTATCCATGATGAGTTCTCTTCCTGTGTTGTCTACCCCCAGTTTGGCATTCATGTCGCCCATTAGAATTTTGATATCGCCAGCTGAGGTCTTGCCCAGTGTTGATTGAAGTTGTCTGTAGAATTCCTCCCTTTTCTCTTGCTCTTCATTATTTGTGGGTGAGTAACGTCTTACGATTGTGACTTTCCTTCCTCTTGAGTTGAACCTCGCTGTCATGATCCTGATGCTGGTGGAGATTGGTTCCCACTGTATGAGAGCCCTCGATGCTGTTGGGTACATTATGATAGGCACTCCCTCAGCGTGCTCGTGGTTGTCGTCGGGGTGACAGTATCGGAGTAGATTATTGACGCCTCTCCAGTTGACATTTTGGAGAGCCCACTCCCATTCCACCCACTTTCGCAGATTCCTAGCGCCTCCATGCTATACTCTCCCATCTCGTTTGCAATCGGGGCTGCCTTGTCAGGTTCAAACATAGTGCAGACGTTCCATCCCCCCACGTTCACTCTCGCTTTCATCGAGATAAGGGGCATTTGCCAATTGGCTTCCCGGAGGCTTTCATCGACCGTCGTCATTTCGCCTCTCCGAGGCCAGGTTAAGTACAAATGATGATGTTAATATATTACGAATAATGAATTACATGAACACTAGCAATTTTTACAGTCAATATCCAAATAGGGGGATCGTAGGTCATCGACTTCGAGGAACTACTTGCCATTACAGCACTCACCTCCGTTTCTGCGACAGCCCGTGTCAAAAAGGATTGGGTGCTTCTTTTTTTGTATATATTTTCCCTTTTGGTCAACATTCACTGTTGTCGTGTGTGCCCACACTCTATTGAGGAGATTTAAATCTCCCTTGACAGCCTGGATACTACTGTTTTAAACACTTCAAGGCGCCCTCGCACATACACCTGGGAATCACAAAAATTAGTTACAGTATGAGAACACTGATTTGCCCTCTCGGTAAACGTAGGATAGTGTTCGCTTTTCCTGCCACCGCTTTATTCAAAGTATTACTGCTCACGTCTTCGAAGTCGTCAAGGCTTAAATTCTCCTACGTAGACCCCTTGGTGATGGCTTTGTTGATAGCCTTCTATTCAGGCCCTTATTCACGTTTGACTGCCCTTGATACACAGGCCCTGATAAATAGGCTGGGGCCAATTTCTAATTGCCGCAAATCGTTGTGAATCAATATGTGGTTAACCCCATGAATTTTTATGTCCTTAAAAGATGGAAGGA